TCATTTCCACCCACGACAGGCTGTTTTTATCGCATTTTGTTTTCTTTCTCCACTCGCTCTATTTTGCGGATGAAACGAAAATACGTAAAAGAAGAGTGTGTGAATGATATTTATCGAATCTTTAACACCTGTAAAGTATGCGACGACATAATATCGTCAATAATGTCGTGAAAGTAAAAGAAGTCGAATGAATGTGAATTGTTCACTTTTTTCATGACATCGAGAGAACACATTTAATCCGAGGGTACACATCGGAAACATCTGATGATGAAAATATATTGAATATTCAATGCTTAACGATTTAACGTTTCTGGATTTCAAGTGAAAAATATTCACATTATCAGAAAGGGATTTAACGTAAGGCTGCTTAATGTGGCTTTAACAGAAAATGATTCTTTTTCCTTCTATTTTTTAAGGTTGTTTTTCCCTTTTCAGAGCACGATGTGACGACGTGATTATGTAGTAAACGTTTTGTCATGGAACTTGAAATTGCTTTTAAAGATTGGAAAAGAAGAAAGTCTTTAAACGACTTTGTTGATCAATACGCACTATTATGGAAATCACCGCTGAGATATAATTAAGATGTTAACATATTATCAACACTCTCTTTAAAACTACGTTCTTGTCTCTTTATCTACTTATCTCATGAATAGCACATAACAACTTCAGTCTTCCCCCTTATCAGTTCTTAAAATTCAATTTTCGTCTGCATAATTTAAATCTCCTGAGATGTTTCCTTCCTTAGATCTTCTTAGAAAAGTATCTAAAACTCATATCAACAAGAAATGTAAATTTGAGCATTGATGGCTTTAACTTGTAATAAAATATGGAATTATTGTCAGCTTTTTTTAAGGACTTTAAAAGTGATAAGAGGATTTTGACATCAACTCTTTCTCGACAGTATTTATATTTTATTTCCGGGTTTGTATCGTGTTTGAAGTAGCCTAAGTAGTAGCCATACTTAAATATGTAAAAAGGAAAGAAGAATAAAAACTTTGGAAAAACATTTCATAAGCAAAAATTATCACACTCAAAACTATATTTACAGTCTAGTGTTATAAATTCAACATAAATATTCTTTAAAATCAGCAGAATTTGCAATGGACAAAAAATGGTATAAAATACTCATCCGCAACCAACTTCACTTAGTTGAAAAATCCAAATCTGCTTTACCGACATTTCTTTTCCCGTTTCAAAGATTAATAAATGAGTAAAATAAAAATTAAAAATAATAGAGCTTTGTCTGAGGAAATGCTTTCTGGCTTGCTTGAAGCTTCTAAGCTTCATTTTCCCTTTTTCTTTGATAATTCTATGATCTGAATAATTTAAAATCAATTTTGATAACGTCTTACCCATGTCTGAGTCGGAAGATTCAAATTAATGGAGGCCAGGGAATTAATGAAACACTTTAAGGATAGAAAATGTAATCCAATTATGTATCATGATGACTTTTAGTCGAAAATTACTTCATTAATTTTAGTGAAATTGCCAATTAAACATCTACAGATTTGAGAGTTAAGTAATTTGTTATTTAAAGGTCAACAGACTATCAAAATGGGGAGAAGGAATTCATTAATGTATAAAATGCACCACACAATCATCCCGTTCTTTTCTCCAGGTTTTTTAATTACATTTTCATGTTTTACGGTAATTTTTCTCTTCCCTATCTTCATTTTTCACCGCTTTTCTTCTCGCCATTTTCCTTCTCATTTTCTTGTCCGAATTCGTTGTAAAACTTTGACTTGTAAACATTAAGCAACAAAACCACGTGCAACGGAATTCAACATGCGTTCGCAGTTCTTTAATGTAAAATCTATTTTGAAACGTTCACGATTTTTCTTCCACCCCTACGCAATTCTCCACCCACATCATCACAAATAACCATCAAACCCCAAATGTTGCAAAAAAGAAGAAAAAGAAAACTTTGATATGAAAAAAGTATGTTGTAAATTACATTAACATCTCAAAGCAGAGGAAAAGTTTTTTTCCCGTTCTATGTCTGCCTTCCTTTCTCGGTCTCAAATGTGGAATGAGTTAGAGAGTTCAACTTCATACGAGCCCAGAATATCAAGACGAAAATAAAATGAAGCAATTTATGAGACGATCCCAGGCTGGTTAAAGGAAGAAATTGGATAAGAAAAAATAAGAAAATGTATCATTGCTAGGCGAAGTGCATTTCGTGATGTTTATTTTTCGGGGGAGAAAAAGTTTTTTTTTTCTTTTCTGTGAAATTTGATTGTGAAAATTTGAAATCTTCTCCTTTCTCTTTCTATCACGAGCTTAGTTTGTTTGAATTGCCGGCTTTTCGATATAAAGCGAGAATGAAAAAGGATATCACAAACATCTATGTTTCTTAGAAAAATAAATTTTGATTGTCAAAGTGTTTTCCTTTTCGTTAAGAATCTCATCTCTACTTGTGAAATTGAATAAATATTCAATCTTTGTTAGGGAAATTCATTAAAGTGACTTTTACCCAAACAAATAAATGTTGGAGTTATTCAAAAGAACCGAACATGACAATAAAATTCACATCTGATTTGTTTCAACATACCTGAAGTGTTTCGTGAGATGAAACTTTCTTGTCGGTCATGATTTGCGACGCTTCACGTTTCCGTCATATCGAGAATGTTGTTGAAATGGTCTGGAAATAATTGAATTAGAAAAGAGATGGTTAGTTGAGGTAATGCAGCAATTAGTTCGCATACTATTTAGATGTAAATGAAATTATCTCTCTCGTTCTCTCTACCGCTGTTCATTTTCCACCCCCACTAAAAATGTATGCGAAGGTTTCAGTGTAATTGTATGTAAAAACCTTCAAATAAATAGGCGAGGTTTGTTAACTTTAATCGAAATTGTATAACGAGATTTTATTTTGCCAATCATCAAATTAAAATTCGGGAACAATTTCATTAACGTTTCTCAATAGCTTATGAGTCGAATGAATCTAAATCATTCAATGAATTGAGATATTCGGGGAAAGGAAAAGTGATTTCTTCATCATACGACCGTAAATTGAATTTCGTTTTCAATCTCAATGCCCTCAACAGAAAAAAATCAATTTTCCTTTCAAGTGAACTAATTGAATTATGTGCGAGTGCACGACACAACAAAAAACAAGAGAGAAGCTTCCTTTCTTTCGTATCAGCAGATAATAGAAAAAATCCTCAATTTCGACTCTTACAGCCATTTAGATATTGGTTTTGATTTCAGAAAAGGTTGCATGCTTATATTTGCAAACTTTTTCATCATTTTCTCGGAAAATAAATAAATAAATAATCTTTCTGCTTATTTATCACCGAAAGCAACTCGTTTTGTTAAGAGATTTGTACAATGAAATAAAGAAGCGCTAGACTGTGAATGAGAGCTCTAAGCTGCAAGTTTGTCTTAAAACAAAAGTCGAGGATAAAAATCAACGTGCATGCTTTAAAGAACATGAGCGATGGTTTTCAACAGTCAATCGACATATCTGGTTTACATTCTGCGATTTAATTCTGTTGATGTTTTCGTTGTTGCTGCGTTTAACCTCATGGTTTATTCAGATTTTCGGTATTGGAGAAACCCTCAAAAGTGGAAGTTGGTTGAACTTGTCACACATTCATTCAACCTTTCCACTCACTTTTGTCATGATAATCATCGAAAGGACTTTCAACGATGTGGAAAATTATCACAGATTTCTTCAAACTCAGACACGCAAATCAAGTTGGTGAAATTTAATTCTCCACGTCATTCATTCGTTCATAACTTGCCATCAGTTGTGCCATTGCGTTGGTTGGAAACATTTCAACTTTTATTTATCCAAACAAATCATTTCTGCTTTGCGAAAAATAAACATCAAAAATCATCCCTTCTTGCCATCATCATCTGACCTGCAATCCTCTTGTCATCTCATTAAAATTTAAATTAAAATTTCATAAAATTCTATCTCTTTGACTCATTGTCACGTCGAGATGCGTTAAGTCGTGTGTCAAGAGAAAACAAAAATGTTTACTGAGGATGAAGAATTTTCCTTAAAGAACGTCACAGAAACATGAAAAGAAGAATTTGAAGGAAAATTTATAAATAATGTCAATGAAACTTTTCTTGCAACTCTCAAGATTTCTTTTTAATTTCTTAGTCAATTAAACTTGTTTTCAAGTTGAATTCATCTTTTTGAGATTAATCTCCCAACATACCCCCACCCACTTTACTCTAATTTAGACTTTTCCAGTAAATTGGAAAAGTTCTGAAAACTTCTTCAGAAGTTGATTGTTCTGTTTTGGTCCACTCAACTCACCTCTTTCTTGATTATCTTTTAAAAACTTTTTGAAAGAAAACACTTTTAAATATTTTATCCAATTTTCTTCAATTATTCACTCAAATTTTTCATTTTTAATTGGTGGAAAGTCACGAAAATGAAGCTCAAAACGTCAAACATCGCATGGGTTTGATTAAAGTATTAAAGAAGTAAAAAACTAATTAATTTTAATCTGCAGCGTATAAATCACGAGAGGTAATTACAAAGCTTGTGATAAACCGCAATTGAAACTTTTTTTATTCTTTTTCACATTTTTCCACTGCATTACCAACAAACTTTTATCACAATTTTCCACTTTTCCACGAAATTTTCTTAATTATGATTCGTGAAATTTGCCAGAAACATTTGTTATAGACAAACGGCATCTTTATTTCCATCATTTATCAATTGTAATCACTTGGTATCATTCTAACCACTTTGCAACGTGTTATTACAATTCCTTGGGTTCTTTCACGTAGATACATGAAGACATAATGAATGTTTGTCGCTGCAAAATGTTTTCATTTTGCAAACATGCACCGCCGAGAGAAAATTAAGATGTTGAAAATTTATGGTGTTCAAAACATTTTTATTTTTTTTGCTGCTTTTTCCCTGTTGGGGTTGAAGTGGAAGGTTTTCTCATCTCACTTCTCATACATAATAAATTTTTACGACACTATTTTTAACAGCACAATTTTATGTGTTTCGGAGAGAGAAATAATCTCTATTAATCCTTAATTGTTCGCATTAATGCCAATGGGGCGCTACATTGTCCTCCAATGACAATATTTTTCTTGTCTTTGTTTGCAAAATGATTGTGCTGGGCATTTCCCAAATGTGGTCTGATTTTTGAAGGTCTGATATGATTTCTCGATCTCATCTAATGAAACGAAAACAAATAATGTCACACACTTATTCCAATTTCAGAAATCTCATCTCCAGTGTTTGTTTCATTAAAGTAAACACACTACACGAATAAGAATAATCCGAATCGATAAATTTAAAGCGAAGCTTTTTGTATTGCGAACTCAAATTATCTTCTTCATGCCACAACACTCTCGGGATGGCGAAACAAAATTTGATACTTTTTTTTGCTTATGTGGCTGCCGTTGTCGACGATGAAACATCGAAATATTCAAAAAGCAAAATAAATGAAAAATTATTGTTCACAATAGAACCGAAATAATTTCGAATGAAAAGCGACTTTTGCTAGCGAAATGTTTTCATGCTACTGAGAGAAGTTTTTCTTTCTCCATTGAATCACCTACCAGATGTTGAATGATCCTGAAAGAGAGAAATTCTTGTAGATGTGAAAATTCTCTTCGGAAAATGAGAGAACCGATTCGTTGTTGAATGAAAATTGAGAGAAAAAGTTGGAAAATGAGAATTTTATTTAATGCTTATGTTCAACAAGAGATTTTGCCATGCCGGCATGTTGAAGATAATGACATAAAGTAAAATTCGTAGACAAAGGTTATAGCCAATGAAATTTAGTGTGACATTGTTGAATAGAAATTTAAAACTCTTTTAAGGCCGCAATCTTCGTAAGGAAAAAGCTACTCATGGTTCATTCAGTTGCATTATTCATTTATCAACATCGACATTCTTCTGCTTCTTCTTCTTGATTTCCACTCAATTGAAACCTACAAACCCATTAAGACGGCGAGCTCATGTTGAGAGCTTCTTCTTTTTCATCTTTTCTAAAAGGTGTAGATATGGAAGGAAAAGAAAAGAAGAAAAAGCTACAAACATAAATTATGATATTCTTTCTAAGATATTATGGCGAAAGAGAGAAAGCATACCTTAATGTATTTTTACCTTTCTCTAAAGTTGAATGTAGCAACAGAAGAAGCATCAACAGTAGTAGCATCAACACGAATAAAGTTTTAACGCCATTGAGGGAGAGAAAATGAAAATGCGTGTTGTTGTGAATTGGAGTTTTGTTACACTTTTGTTTCTTCACTTCTTTTTATTATTTCAAGGGATTTTCCATTTGCAAAACGGGAAAAAGTTTTTCATTTTTCGACTCTTCTTTTAAATGCTCCGAACATTTCATAAGCTTAAAGAAAGTCATTAAATATGGAAATTTCTTATTAAAAGTGGAGAAGTGCGATGAAGACGTTCATGTCCATCGTTTAAAAGCACATAAATTTTCTACCCTCGAGGAGGGAATGCTATTTAAACAACGTCACTTGGATCATGACAAAGATTCCTTCTAACATTGAAATTTCTATCGATTTTCCACTTTATCAGTTCCATAAATCCATCAGTGTTCTTTAACAAGGCGCTGAGAAGTGAAACCGAACTTTTTGTGCCTCTTACAAAAAAAAAACCGGAATTGTAATTTATGTGACGTGCCACAAAAAATAAAAGTGAAAAAAGGAAAATAACATTTTTATGATGGACATTTCTCTCTCCTGCTTCGTATTAAACCATTCGCCTTCATCAGCCAACTTACAGTTTTTCATACATAAATGTTTCGTTAACATAAAAGCTGTTGTCCCATGACTTTCAACCTGACTCGACTCGACTCGAAAAAAAATAAAAGCTGTAAAAAAGTCGTAAAAACTTTTATGAACTTCGTCGATAGCTAAGCAGCAAGAGTCTCATAGCACAACTAACAGGTCGATTGGAGTAAGTATTTGCTTTTAAGCTTAATCCATAATTATTTTCAGCCTTGTAATCCTTAGATATTGTTGAATAGAAATGTAAAGTGAAAATGGATCATAAAATTTCACTTAAATATTGAGTTCCCTTTACAATGTTTTGATTTCTATTCATAAATATTTATGTTTGTTAATCAAACAATCGAAAAATTCTCACATTAGTAAAATTTTATGTGTTGGAAATTTGATTTCAATTGAACAGTTTTGACGAACGATTTCCTGGAAATTAATTTAACTTTGGAAATATTACAGAACCTTAGTGATGTTAGAAAATTCAGCAAATATTTCATGCAAAGTGCCACAATAGACAGACATATAGAGGCGCCATCTGTCGAAATTATGAAGAAACTCCGTTCAATGTTTCGTCGTCAATAAACTTTCAAACAAAATCCTGAAGTCATTTCACAACCACATGTCATCCAGATTTGCTAATAGAAGGAAAAAAGATCAAAATAAAATGCAATTCATTTCAACGTTTCGATGATAAATCTTATTTTATTTATTTATAGAATTCATTTCTTTTTTATCATCAAATATTTATTTATGTTACAATATTTTCTGCATTATTATTCTTCTATTTATTCAAAGTCTGAAATATCAACCATAAGAAAATAAATTAAAACTTTAACAAAACAAAAAATGTTTAAAATATAATTCAGGAAGCACATGTCTGGAAGCAAATAATAAGCATAAACATAAATTATGTTCTAAGGTATAAAGCATAGAAGGAAAGATATGAAAATTTGAAGCTTTAAGAAGCTTGATTTAAGTAGCAGAAAGACGAGAATTTATGTAAAGTTTCTTAATGACGTCTAAACTGTTAACACTCGAAATATTTCTTTTAATTGAGCACTTTTAATTGTATTGTAACGTCATCAAAGAAGCATCCCCGATATAATGATTTTTGTGATGTATTAAGAAGTGTCATCAAGAATTGTACGTAATAGTTGATAGATTTTAATCGTTTCGATATAAACAAGAAAATGTTGGAAACGATAAAGAAATTTAATGACTTTTTATTACAATTTTCGAACACAAAACGGAAAGACTCGATTCATTAAAAAGTCTTCATTTGCAGTTTCTATGATGCTGTTTTTGTCGCTAAATTATTCATCTGCGGTCTTGGAGGCAGTTGTTGAATTCCTTTACACAACAAACTGATTTCTCTCTCCTTCTCTAAAAGGTATTCAACAACGTAAACATATTTCTGTTGCTTTGCAATTTGAAGTGCTGTAAATCCGTCTTGATTCTTCAATACGAGATCAGAACCAGCAGCAATCAATTGTTTGACTATCGGTAGATGACCGAAAAGTGCTGCAGCATGTAATGGAGTTTCTCCATTCTAAATTAAAGGATTAAAAATAAAAATCAAGACGAAATAAAGTAAAAAAAAACTTACTGGTAAAACACCTAAAGCTGGTCGATATTTAAGCAGCTCTTGCACCACTGCATGATGTCCTTTATGACTCGCTTTGAACAATGCAGTTGCACCATCATTACGAACAGTGTCAACATATGCTCCATTCTGAAGTAGAACCTTAACAATATGGTCATGCCCCATTTGACTAGCAATCCACAACGGCGTGGCGCCATCATTTCTTGGAACATCACAATTGGCACCAGCTGCAATCAACATTAGAAGAACAGTTCGATGTCCATTTTGTGCGGAAATAAAAAGCGGAGTCGCGCGATCCTAATGAGAGTAAAAGTTTATTTTTAAAATGTGTTTATTACTAAGCAACACATGACTCGATGACGTGGAAACAATTTCATTCGTATTCATGTCTAACATTTGTTTAAAACTTGAACTTTACCTTCATATAAGCGTTTACATTGGCACCGGCATTTAAAAGTTCTTTCACAATGTTAGCGTGACCACCTTGACATGCCACAAATAAAGACGTTCCACCATCAACACTTGGACAGTCAACTATCGCTCCAGCTTTGAGAAGAATTTTTGTAATATCAATAAAGCCACCTTGGGCAGCGAAGAAGAGCGCAGTTGTTCCAGTCTAAGTACGAAAACTTCCATAGAATCTCCAGTAGAATTCTTTTGTAATAAAATCACTCACCACTCTCTTTGCATTTACGTCGGCACCTTGTTCAAGCAGTTCCAAGACACATGCTGTGTGACCTCCAGCTGCTGCAAGTATCAAAGGTGTTGTGTTGTCCTAAAGAGTTTAATTAAACATTTCTTTCATTCTTTTGAAAAATTAAGTATGAAATCAAAACGAATATAATTAAATTAAATATTTAATTAAGTTTGAAGGTCATGAATGTCGCTCTTTATTTTAAACATATTCATGTTTCACTTTCCAACCACCAACCACGAGAATGAATTTTCTATTAAATTCTTTATAATGATAAACAAATCGTAAATCGCTCTACTGTATACGATTGTTGAAAAGAGCGAATTAAGTGCTTTAAGTAAATATTTTCTTTACAATTACCTCATCTTTACAATCCACATGAACTTTTCCACTGTCAAGAACTTTTCGCAGTAATATTTCGTCGCCTCGCAATGCTGCAAGATGAAGCTTAACATCCGATAAAGTTTCTTTCTATGATTGTCAAAAATGAATAAATAAATAGAAAACGAAAGTTAATTAACTTTTCATTTATCATTGTTTTAATTGGTGGATTAATTTTGTGTTTTTGACGTGTTCTAGTTTTCGTTCGATTAACTTTTTGTGTTGCTTACATTTTTGTAATTTGAAAAAAGTTTCAGTTCGATGATTTGCTGTTAATTTATCAAACATTTTCAGATTGATGTTTGTTGATAAAGTGAAGTTTCCCTTAATATCATTGAATCATTGAGTCGACTATTTGATTTACATAAATATGAAAAAAAAATTCTTTGAACGCATCGACGATTTTTCATAACATTAAATTTCGCTATCGCTGATATAAAAACTTGTTGTTGCACATTATGGTGACATGCTCTTGTTATGTTTATGATGAAAATATAAAACAAATTCACAAAAGCGATATTTTCTTTTGAATTAAATAAAAGTTTTTATTCGGTTTATTATTGCAATGATCATGTTAAAAAGTAACATGAAACGGAACTTTATAGCAAGCTTTCATTCGATGAAAAATCCAACACAATGTTGATATATGAACGAATTGCTTACTTTTTACGCAGAAAATTTCTGATGCTTTCCAACAACAAATAAAGCGAGCTCATAAAATTTTATGGTGCAAAAAATCTATTTGTACGCATTATAATTATCGACTAAGTAGGTAGGAAGCGCGCTTCGGTTATTGACATATCGTTTGGTCTGATGGCATCACTTTCAAAAAAGGAAGGAAAGAAAAGACTCAAAACTGCTGCGTGTATGCTGCTCATTAATTTAATGACGCACTCGTGAGTTTCCATTGATTGAATTTTCATTTTTCTTTCTTTTTTTGTTTCCGAAACGCAGCTGATATTTTCAAACAAAGTTTTGCTCATTAATTCTTGGAAGGTGGCAGCTCGGTCAGGCGGTAATGAGACATGCGAAAATAGATGAAAATAAAAGTTTCCAATGAACACAGACAGAGATCGTTTAACTTCTGTATGGTAACATCAATGTTTATTTATTTAATAAAACGTTTAGCAATAAATAATTATTTATGACGGAAAATTTTAAACGGAAAATGTGTAAAGATCAAAGAAGTATTTAAAATAAATCATCACTTTTATTTAGAAGTGAAAATTGATTATTTTTAAAACTTTATAAAGATGAAATCTGTCAGTTCTGAAGGAAACACTTGGCGATAATTTTTCATTTCAATTTATGAGAGTTTGTTGATCTCATCTTCGTCGTCGCTTTTAAATTGATTTCGGAAAATTTTCCTTATAAAATCCTAGATTTTCCCTCACATATCTGTGTGTGTGTGTGTGATTGCATCACATTTCACAAGATGTTTTTGTTGATCGAGAAATCTATTTTTCTTCTATCCGAAAGTAAATGTTTCACAGAATATCACGTCATTTGGATACAAAAAAGAAATCTTTGCGATATCAAAAAGCGTTTATAAATACCAAAATTGAAAGTCATAAAGTGTGCCCACCCGCTTTCTTTCTGATATTAAAAATTTCGTCAACCCATCTTAAGTGACGAATATTTTAAAAAGAATTTTGAAATTTCTTAATCGAAAAATGCTAATTCAATTTAACGGGACATGAAACAGTAAAATTCAATTCAGCTTTCGATGAATGTCGGAAAGGATGTTCAGTACAGTGACCTAGTAAAACAACAATCATCCTTAAATAAATCGATTGCTTTTTACAAGCATAGCGGCATTTCGTGACGTTGAGACATTTCTCAAAGAAGAAACAAAAAACCCGAGATTTTCCACACAATTTTCATCGTAACTTTATAGTTTCGAAACTATTTTCCACCATTAAATATTACCACGATGAAAATTTCAATTAAAAACTTTTCCAATTATGTTATCAGCGTTTAAAAGCTCTGCATGTTAGAGAACTTTAGCAAATTAACTTTGAGTCGACTGATACATGTACAAAGTCATTTGTTTCGTTGATTATTTCATTGTTGTGAAGAATACTTTAGATAATTGCTTTGAGCTTGAACATCAATCAACTTTCTTCGCTCAAATATTTAATCATAATGTTCTTTTAATTTCTATGGAAACGTGGAAGCCTCAATCGATTTCCAATTCTTTTTCCGCAGTTCATCGAATGCATTGAAAAAATTATAAAGTTGTAGGGAAGAACAGTTGATGAAACTGTCAGTATGACATAAATGAATAAGTCACACCTTAACTTCATCATCTTAATAATCTTCAGACTAATTGAGTTATTAACAATCGAACAAAAAAACATCACTTAACTTACCTTTAACGACATGTTTTTGTGTTCGCTTCCGTCCTCACTTAAGTCTTAAATCTCATTCGTCAATGATCGGTAAATGGCACACACGACTTCACACAGTACTTCTTAACTTCGATGTTGCTGCTGAAATTAAACAGCCAAGGTCCAACGTTAAAGAACAATTGAGACAAAGTTGAAGAAATGAAAATAAAAATTTAGAACGTTCGTTTGACTTTCTCTCATAACACTACCGTTAAATAAATCAAAGTTAAACAAATATTTTGATTTCATTAAAAAGTGTTAATAATAGTTTTTAAGCGATACTAAAAGAAAGTCGTCATTTGGGGATTTTCAAAACTCTTCTAAATGTTTAGTCGTCGGAAAAAAACACATTTTTTATTTTAAATTCTCACTTCACACAATGTGGATATTTAAATACTTACGTGAAAACAAATAGAAAATGATACGTTTTTCACTTATTTTTAATTAAGCGGATCAATTGACGTACATTTGTATGGATTTTCCTACTTTTTCAAGAATGTTTGTCAATCGTCGATATGAAATATTTTAGATTTGGTATGTATGTTAGGAAGTCAACATTCTAGGTGACACAAAATACAAACTGCCCGAAAAAGCAACGCGATTAAAGTTTTTTTATAAGTAGGTATTATTATCGTAGAACGATGACAGCGAGCGAACTAAATGTTTATTACCGTTTTGTTCGCGTCGCGATGATCAACTGAAGGTAGAGCGTAAGTTATGATTTTAAAATAAATAAAAAGCTTTGAAAACAGAGAGTTAAAAAAATGTTGAGCGTGTGAAGGGGTGCGTCTGTCAATGACGTAACAGAAACAAAGAAAAGTTTTCTTTCCTGATTATCAATTAACCAAATTCATGAAGAACCACCTGACAGTTTGAATAAACCTGCAATGCGTGATGACATGCATTTAATAAATTCCCCAATGAAATAAACGTAAATATCAGCGCGTTTTAAACGGAACCAGATATCGTACAAGCAATAAACTCAAAATTCACTTTGTTCAATGGATTTTCAATCCAATTTCTGTTTCATTCTCTTTTATTCTCTCATTTTACAACTTTTCCTATTTCCTACACATTCTTAGTAGTTTTTACTTTTCATTCATATTTCGATCACGAAGCCCCAAACACTTTGTAAATGTGTCGATATGTGAAAATTAAATTAATTAACATTTATGGCATTTGAAGTTCTTCGAAATCTTCAGACTCATTTTACACAAAGTTTAATTGTAATCTTATTTAACTTAAAATTTCTACGAGAGTTTCAATTAATAGCGTTACGATTACGATGATCTAGATCTTCTTAGATTAAATGTTAATCACAATCGTCGCAATCTTCTCTTGCATCAGCTTATTAAAATCGCGGATTAAATTGTACAGTTAATTCTTTAACTATGTTTTTCTTTTCTTCGTTAAACAAGAAAGCGCAATTGCCATCAAGAACGTGAGATAATAATTCAAGTTTCTGCGGAGAAAAAATAAGCAACATAATTTTTAAATGCTATATTGCTGAACACTCAAATAGCAGCCAATTTTCTACAGCTATTTATAGCGCAAAGCGTTGAGTGGTTGAGATATTTCTTAACTAATTTTATGATTGTTTTTAATGCAGGAAAGAATGATCTTTAAAAGACATCGAAAGAGAAAGTCAAAGTGATTAAAATTCTAGAAAATTAGTCATCCCAATATCCATTTCCTAATGGCGTAAAATTACAATTAATCTTATGTAAAACACTTAACTGTAGCATAACTGATGAAATGCGTTCAATTTGAGAACATCAATGAAAACCATAACATTCTATTAATAAATAATTTATGGAAAAGGGAAGAGAAAAACAAATTGAAATGAAGAAGAAATGTGTCAGGTTTAAGTGCTCTATCATCACGAAATTAATCTTATGCTTCAGTAAACAAACGCAATGCAACATTAAATGAATAATTTTTACTCAGGCATCTTCGTCGATGAATATTTTCCCACATAACTCTTATGCTTGCTTTTCTCTTGACTTCTCTGATTGATTGTGAAGAATTTAAAGAATTTAAAAAGCAATAAAAAAGAAAACTTTTGATTTCTTGTACAAACTATCATGTCGGATCAAACCACAATAAAATGTAGGTGAAAGAAAGAAGAAAACATTTTTTTGCGAGTTTTTCTCTTTTAGCGCGAATTGCATTATTGACCTAATAATGTGGATAAACACAAAATAATTCTTGAATGAAAACAGAAATCAACCTTGACAATGACATTCTTTTCAGATTCAATGACGAATTCAATGATTATTCCGTGATTGCATGTAATCATGTTGACAGGTTGCCACAGGAAATGAAAAATTTATAACATCGATTTTCTTGACGAGCTTTTTGATAATTTCCACTTGAAAAGGCTGTGAAGTTCTTTTTAACTTATCAGAAGCACATTGAAATACTATTTCATGGCAATAATGAATGTTTTCTATGATAACAAATTGATAAAAATGTAACCTTTATTACCTCTAATTCTCAAACGCAACCCACACGTATCACATAATTGGCACATCAATTGCTTTTGTTGATATTAAAAGCATCAAATATTTTACTCAATATTTTTTCAAATCTAATATCAATCTTTTAATCAATAAACTTAAATCACATTCACTCTTTTATTGCACTGTTTTAACTTATAATTTAGTTAATCATTGCACCAAAAGCTTCTGCGAACTACAATGTTTATATTGAGTGGGCGAAATCAAAGATTCAGGGCGAATTCAATTCACAACGCGAAAAAATTTAAATTCTTTGTCGTTATTATGTTTCCTTTATTATCAAGTAAATTAGGTATCAATTATGAAACTTTTATGAGTTTATAAAAGCTTACATAGAAGCAATTCACATAAATATTTGTTAGTCTTAAAATATAAAATAGAAGTACAGCTGTACATTTCATTCGTTAAATTTTAATTTTTGAATACGATGACTTACGAATTCTAATGTAGAAAAATTAGAAGAACTTAAGTTTGTGTCTTCTGAAGATACTTTTGGTGACACTAAGTTCTCCAAAGATTTCGACTTTTTAAGTTGAGACAATTTTATTTTGTTAAATTGAAGATTGCTTCCTGGTGGTTGCGAATGAAGAATTTGAGAATCCATATCAACTATAGCACTATCGTGAATATTTTCACAATCCATTGAAGTCGAGGAAGATTCTTGAGAATCTTGACTATTCGGGGCATCTGCATTTTCACTCTTTGTTCGTTGTCTATGCTTAAAAGGGATATAATATGGCATTGTTCCAGAACTAGCTCGTTTTCTAAATGAAGGATGTTTGATTTTTCTCGACGTATAAATCTAAATTTCAAATTGATTATTTTTAAAATTATAATTTGAAACTGGAAGATAATTTACCTGTGATATTGGAACTTGTCGTGGTACCTGTGACACCGTAAAACTACTCAAACCTACTTCATGTGACAAAGGACATATAGGATTAGCGAAATTCGGTTGCACAATTGGAGATGACGGTGAAGGATAAAGAAAATTTACTTTATTCTGTAAATATAGTTTACAAAAGATTCACGATGATTATAAAATTTAAAATGTGTTTAACAAGTTTACCTCTTCCATGTCATATAGCAGGAAATTTTGAGAAGGTCCAATAAATAGGGAAATAACACAGAGAATATTTTTTCTTTGAATAATTGTTTATTTTGTTTTTGGAGTACGTTTAATATTTAATTTATTACAATTTTTGAGCGAAAATGAGACGAACTCTTTCTTTTTGAACAGCCAATCTTTAAGTCAACATCATCTCCATAAAAAAGTAAGTTTTAAGCTAGAAATAAGCTTAAATTAAATCCATTTCTGGTGTTTACTAATACATTACCTTATATTTTAGATAAATTAAAGATGCAAAACGACGCTGGCGAATTTGTTGATTTGTACTGCCCCCGAAAATGGTAATTCATGCTTCATATTGATTATATTTCTTTCGTAACGAAAAGGGATGTCACATTATTTTTGTGCATAGTTAATTAGTGATTGTAAACACAATTTAACTGGCAAGAAGTGCATTAACTTATTAAAATACCTTTTTGGATTAGAGAGAAATAGAAACAACTTCTAACCTCAATATTTTAATTTTCTAGCTCGGCCAGTAACAGAATCATTCATGCTAAGGATCATGCCTCTATCCAAATCAACCTTGTCGATGTTGATGAGACAACTGGCCGTATGTCGGACACAGTAAAAACTTATGCTATTTGCGGAGAGATCAGACGAATGGGTGAATCCGACGATTGCATTGCTCGGCTTGCTAAAAAGGATGGAGTTCTATCGAAAAACTATTGAAATTTTCAATAATTAAAAATTCCATTAAATAAAACAACCAATTTTGGGAATTAAAAAATATGTCTTAAATCTTTATTAGTTTTTATATGAAAGATTTATTAAACCTAACGTTGTTTGAATCCATATTTTTTCCTCTCGTAAAACAGATCTGTTTTGCTTGATCCCAAGTTCACAATCTTAGGACAACCATCTCGGTCCTTCTCTTGGATTGTGCACTCTTTACAATAATAAGCATCACTAACTCCAGCTCCACCGCATATCACACAACGTCCCTGAAAACTTCCATAGTTACACTCATCGCAGATTCTGACCAAGGTGCATGGACGTACATATGAGTCACAAATGACACATTTTCCATCACATTTCTCACATAAACGACCGATCGCTTAAATAAAAAAAAGTAAATAAAAGAATTTTAAACGTTTTAAATGAAAAATTATCTTACCGACTCCAGGTTGTTTTCTACAAAAGATGAGATCAGGATGATGTTTGGCCATGATTTATGTGTATCTTCAACTATTTTAATTTATTTCTAGCGTCAGTAAATTAAGATATTTTGATAATTCTGTTCGGCAAGCTCCTTTCAGAAATGTTTTCAAAGTGTTGTAAGTGTTAGTGAATTAGGAGCTGTTCAGTAACTCGAACGTGGCAATATTTCGTTCAATTTTCATTCAAATCTTTTATTATTCACACTGAAAGAATTGCATAGAAATTTTTCATTTTTTAAATCGATAACCAGCTTATCTTTTAAAGTTGTATTAATTGATGTGTGGCAGTGAATCAAGCTTTAACATTTTGATAACAAAATTTTTATAAAGGTAACAATTAGATGTAAAAACGCAAAAAACAAAAGGAACAAAAAAAATTTTGGAATTACTCATCTCCACCCTTTTAACAAAAAAAAATCTAGCTGCAGTGTTTCATTAAATTTCCTCATTAACTCATTGAGTTCAATTTGTTGAAGAGGAAGTTGAGCTAAGACAAGCAATGCGTGTGACAGTGCTATACGATTTCACAAGCCAAATACAGAACGAGTTATCGATCATTGGTAAATTCATTTATTTGCTTTTATTGTCGTGTATGTATTTTAACCGATTAATCACGATTGTCTCGCAATGTTGATACAGCTGGTGAGATATTGACAGTAACGGATCAAGATGTTGGAAATGGATGGTGGGAAGGAGTTAACACCAAAGGCATTAAAGGAATATTTCCTGCTTCATGTAAGTTTTTGAACTTTGCAACTTATCGCGGTGATGTCATCATGTCCGGAATTTCTGTTTATTTCGCAGATGTTGAAGAAATTCAAACCCCATCTCGACCAGTCGCTCCACCAATAGTTCCACCAACATCGAACTCGCTTTATGGAAATGTGCCTTCAGAAGATCCTTGGTCACAGCCCGACCCAGTAGTTCCACCATCATATCAAAATGCTCAACAGCAATCGGCTAATTCACAACATCGCTACGATTATTCAAATGATGACAATTATGACTTTGACAGTGATTTTGATGACGAGGAAAATGCTGGGCGTTATGCACCATCAAGTTCTTCAAATACTGCTGGTTTTGGATCCAATTTGCCACCAACACCTGACGATACCCATTCAATGGCATCCAGTAATGTTCCAATAACTCGAAAGACTTCTAAAATGTTTTCAAAGTCATCAGACTCTTACATTATGGGCACTGCAAGTCCAACAGTTCCTGAAAACGAGCAGGTGCATATCTACATGAACGATCAAGGAATGTACTTATGGAAGCCTCTTGAGACTCGTTACACAGTCACTGTGACATCGCCAAAAATGGAATCGAAATTCAAAGGGATAAAGAAATTTATTGCTTATCAGTTACAACCAAGTTTTAGTAGTGAACCAGTTTCGAGGCGTTATAAGAATTTTGATTGGCTACATGAGCGGCTTGTGGAAAAGTTTTGCCTCATTCCCATTCCACCATTACCCGATAAGCAAATTTCCGGACGTTACGAAGAACAATTTATTGAGCATCGTCGTGCACAACTTCAACAATTTGTTGATTGGGTTTGTCGTCATCCAATTTTATCGAAATGTGACGTTTGGATGCACTTCTTGACATGTCGAGATCAGAAAAAATGGAAAGCTGGGAAGAGATCTGCTGAAAAAGATCCGGTAACTGATAATTAATAATTTAGTTGTGAATTTTTATTTATTCTACATTTGTTTGAAGCTTATGGGATCGACATTCTGCGCTGCCATTCGGATAACACCAGAGAAAGCTTTGTTGCCAACTGTCGTTGATGCTCAGATTGAAAGTTGTAAAAATTTTACATATTCAATGGATGGTGCTGTTAAGATGTTGGAATCAGCAAGCACAGATCAAGCTGCGAAATATTCAAATCTTTATCGAAAAGATTATCAACGATTGGGCGATTGTTTTAGTGAATTAGCGAAATCTCTTGACATTGACGAACGTCGTATGAGTACCGGATTTTCTCTTTCACAATCTGTTGGCAATACAGCTGGCATTTTCATATCTATTGGAAAAATATATGAAGACCAAGCGCGTCGTGATTGGCAACCGTTTTGCGATAAGCTTCATGTATATCGGGGGATTTTGAGTTCATTTCCAGACATTCTATCTGAGCATAAAAATGCTCAACAAAAGCGGAAAGAATGTGAAAAGCTGGCATACGATCAGAAAATGTCAAATTTGCAGATTCAAGAAGTCAACCGTAGAGTTGATGTAATGACAGTTAGCGTATTAGCTGAGCAATCTCATTTCAGACAAGAACGTGACACACATTTGAAAGAAGCAATGAAAACATTATTAGCAGAGCAGGTTGAGTTTTATAAGACAATTATTGGAAAGCTTCAGCAAGCACAGACATATTTCGAATAATTTGTCATAATTAACACGATAAAACCACTTCGCATAATTGAATTTCTTTGTTACTAACGTTTTCCTTTCTTTAGTTAGAATTTTATTCCTTCTCTTTCTTTTTATTGCCTCAATACTTATTATCATTTTGGGCATTCCAAACATGTGTAACATGATATTTTTATTAATCACATTAGCTTGACATTTTGTTCGTCGTTCTTAATGTTGCATAATTTGAAAATTTAGTTATGAATCATTGCTTATTATAAAAAATGTTTGCACATGTTGAACACAATTCGTTCTAGATAACGTTCTGCTTTTAAATTTTTTAAATCAAAAGCATAATTTTTTTACATGTAGTTATGCTATTAGCAAAGTTGAGCTTCAGGAATTTTCTACACCACGATGTAATCTTCAAGGGCCTTTGAAATATCTAATGTATTTACAGAAATAAAATTATAAATATATTTTAAATATTAAAAAATATTTTCATCTTACATTCAGCAATAATTTTATTTTATGGTTTGACAATATATCACAACGGCTTTTATATTTAAAAAAGAAAGAATTATCGAACGAACTCTTTTCTTGAAAACAAACAAAATTAAACGCACTCTACATGTGTTGGAAAAGAACTTGAAATTTAAAAGTGTTTTTGTTGTTTAAAGCTAAATAAAGAAAGATGGTGGGAAAGAAAAAAGCCAATCAATTGGGAAGGTCCCTGATCAAAAATCGTTTCAGCAACACACAGAAGAAGAAAGTTGAAGAGAATATGGTAAACAGATAAACAGTGTGGATTAATTTCGTCATTTAATTAAATTTAATTTTAGCTTCATGTTGCTGATTTGAAAGATGGTTACGACTGGGGTCGTCTTAATCTTCAATCAGTCACTGAGGAAGATTCTTTTCAAGCGTTTCTTAGAACAGCTGAATTAGCTGGAACAGAATTTGTTGCTGAGAAGCTGAACATTCAGTTCGTTAATCCAAAGTCAAATGTAGGACTTTTGTCAGAATCCGAGCGTAAAGAAGCGGAAAAGTTGATAGATGAAAGTAAAGGATTATTGAAAATTCCACGAAGACCTAAATGGGATAAAACAACAACACCAGAAATGCTTCATGCAAATGAAAATCAATCGTTTCTAGAATGGCGAAGAGATTTAGCAATTCTTCAAGAGAAAGATGATCTTCTGATGACACCTTACGAGAAAAATATTGAATTTTGGCGACAATTGTGGAGAGTCATTGAAAAATCAGATGTTGTGGTGCAAATTGTTGATGCAAGAAATCCGCTCTTGTTCCGTTCCGAAGATTTGGAAAAATATGTTAAGGAAGTTGACCCCAACAAACAAAATCTTCTTCTACTCAACAAAGCAGATTTCCTTACAGAAGAGCAGAGAATTGCGTGGGCGGATTATTTCGATAAACTAAATATCCGAGTAGCTTTTTTCTCAGCTGTTGAAGCTGAAAAATTAGAAAAGAATTATGAGAGTGAAGATTCTGATGAAGAATCTGGTGAAGAAGAAGAAACCGAAGTTCTTGAAGAGTTGACAAAAGATTTGTCTGTTGATGAAATCAATAATAAGGCTGAAGAAATCGCATCAGCATTAGATCAAGTGGAACAAGTTCTTGATGCTATCAGTAGCAAAAGTGATGAAAATCTTCACAAACCAACAGAAGAAAATGAAATTCAAACAAAGCTTCAATTGAATAATCCAAAAATTCTTTCACGACTTGAACTCATTGAATTCTTTAAAAATATTCGTCAATCACATCCATCGGCAAACGACAAGCAAGCTGTGATAATTGGTTTAATGGGATATCCGAATGTTGGTAAAAGCAGCACAATCAACGCATTGCTCCAAGAAAAGAAAGTCAGCGTGTCAGCCACTCCAGGAAAAACTAAACATTTCCAAACACTTTATTTGGAGAAAGATTTAATTTTATGCGATTGTTGTGGCTTGGTGTTGCCAAGCTTTTGTGTCACAAAAGCTGAAATGATTCTTAATGGAATTTTACCGATTGATCAGATGCGTGATTATGTTCCACCTGTCAACACTTTATGCACAATGATTCCACGTCACATTCTTGAAGATATTTATGGAATTCTCATCACAAAACCATTAGAAGGTGAAGATCCAAATCGACCACCGTTTGCTGAAGAATTACTTCTTGCTTATGGATATAATCGTGGATTTATGACTGCAAATGGACAACCTGATCAGTCAAGAGCTGCCAGAAAGATTTTGAAAGATTTCGTGAATGGAAAATTGCTTTATTGTAATTCACCACCAACTATGAAACAATTTGAGTTCCACAAATATCCCGAACGTCGTCATGATGAGCAGCAACTTGAAAATCTTCCACCTCGTCAACAACGTTCGATGAAGATTGTGACGGGAACTTCAAGTAAAGAAATTGACGCTGCATTCTTCAATGTTAACAACAGCACAGCTCATGTTCAAGGGAGAAATCTCGGGAATTATAAACAAGGCGCACAAATGATTGGATCGACGAGTTCACTGAATGGTGCTGTAGAGAAACCTTGGAAAGGTCAAAAACGAGAAAAGCGAGAGAAGTTGAGAAGAAAATATGCTCATTTGGATCAACATTAAAGAAATCAAAATTAATGAGAAATGAAAATTCAGAAATAAATTTTTATTGTTATGAAATTATTCTTTTATTTTTGTGAGAATTAGGACCGTTTAGAGTAATTTATATGAATTCCCATTGACATGCTAAGGTTGAATTTCATATTTTTGGAAAAAAAATTGATTTGATAAAAATATTTCTATTGTGGATTTGATCCAAGGATTAAAATATCAAACAAATGAAAAAAGATTTCTTATGTACAATAGAATTATTACTTCTTTTTTGGTTTAATAAAACATAATGCAGTGAAGAATGTTTTTGTTGTTTTCTGTTTCAAAACTATAACAAACTTCGTCGATTTCATTATCAAGATCTGAGGTTGCCGCAAGCATTGAAACGAGATCGTCAATAAGAAATGCACCAGCAACAGCTTCTTCGTGATTATCTGGAATATCTATATTGATGACATGAACAGGAACGTTGCTTGTGCTTTCACGGTTCTCTAAATATTCTATGACTTGATCGTACACTCTTTCCTCACATGTTATGAGGACATCGAATTGTTCGGTACAGGTTTGAAATCTTTCAGGTGCTAGTTTTATCCTTCGATTACGATCCAGCATATGTAAAAGACCATTTTGTGTGTAGCTAATAAGAGAAGAAAAATGTTAGGAAATATTTAAAAGAAGAAAAAATTAATTAAATACGAACTAATTCTTGTCCTTTTGTGCCAAATCTTCGAAAATTTCCGAGTAAGGAGTTCCAAATTCAAAAACATTGGGTTTGTCAACGGCTGTTCCAGGGAGTTTTACTTTATCACCCGTTCCAAATGATCTCACCTGAAACAAAAAGTTTATAAATAGTAAAAAAAGTTTTTTTTTCATTTTCTTTTTCAAACAAATGAATTCAAGAAGTTTTTAAAAGAGAATATTCTTAAGAAGGAATAAAAAGGATATAAAAATATTTAACAATCTCATTTGATTTTCCTCAAAAACATTCAACTTTAATCCTAGTCTCGGCTAAACATTATTTTTATTTAATTTCATAATGATTAAACTATACAAACTTTATATTTCTTTTTCGCAAGAAAATGATGCGCTTCCATACTTCTGTTCATATTTGATGAACATATTACAGCTACAGAAAGATTACTGACAAACGTCATTATTGAATTTCTGTAATTTCTACTATTTTAAAACTTATATCCAGTATACAATTTCTTAAATTTAATTCGAAGCTCGGGTGATTTTTATTTATAGAGGCTCCTCTTGAATTTATATTTCTTTACCTACTAGACTTGGGAGAGTTTCGGGTAGAGAGTGTAATTATCGTTACAGATTTAAAAGTGATAATATGAAACGAACGAAGTAAACGAAGGAAGAATAAAAATTACACCAGCGAAATCGGCTGCAGTGGCAAAGAAAAAGGAATCAAGCGATGAAGACTCAGATGACTCAAGTGAAGATGAAAAGCCAGCTCCAAAAAATTTTGGTATTTTTACGGGGTATGGAAGTAAGGCTAGCATGTAAAATAAAATTCTCTCTCGCAAAAAAGCCGAAAACGATAAAATTAGGAGAAGTTTGAAGAGGTGCTTTTGCCGGAGCCTATAAATAATGTTTTTTTATTTTTCTTTTAGACTTGTTTTGTTTCTATCTTTGGCTTTTCTAGCTAAATCACAAAAACCATTATAAATTTAAAACTGTCATGATGTTGAAAAAATAACGGCTCTGAAAAATTTAAATAATTTTGCATGTGACGTTATTTTACACTTTGTTGTTTATCACAAAAAATTTCTTCAAAAAATAGACGAACTTTAAAGTTAACTGAATACCGATTTATTTAGTTAAATTAAAGATTAGAGCAATTTGTATATTCGTGATTACTTTATTTAGTCTTATTGGAGCAAAAGAAGTTGGACGTAAGTCAAATAATTTTTTTGTTAAAACTGAGGGTATTTTTTTGTTTCCTTCACTTTAGCTTAAAAATTAGAAAAACTTAACTAAATATTTTTTTCCTTTTATTTTAGTGTCAAGTGAAAGCGTGTAAAGAATGCAAAGGAAAACGAAGAAGTTCCTAAAAGAAAATTTTATTCCTGAACATGTTTGTTTCCTTCTTGAGTGCTACGGAATAACTTTTTTACAAGACTTGCTTGAGTTTAATGAGCAAGATATATTAAATATTGAAGAAGACATTAGAAAAGGTGGAACACTTATTGGCTTGCCAGACTTCAAATCAAAAGCTACTTGTAAGAAATATTTGGGAATTAAATTTTCCAAAAATGTTAGCAAGTTTACATTCCGCCCGATGGACAGGAAGAAACTTTTGCTTTTATCAGCAGCTGCAAGGGAAGAAATTGATCCTTCACAGACAAATTCCCCTGGTTTCATTGTCGAGGTAAAATTAGAAAACCCAGACTATGAAGCTGATAGTTTTCCAATGAACAGCACGAGCAGGTAAACTAAAGATTTGAATTTATTATAAATTTTCATTCTTTCTAAAAATGTAAATTTCAATACGAAAGAATTTTTTTGCTTGTTTAATAATCATCTATTTTATATTTTTATTTTAGTGACATGTTCAGAGAAAGTTGCGGTGACGACTTTAAGCTTAGTGAAGGTGTTTTTGCTAATTATGTTGCGGCAATAGAATGCACAGAACCGAATCGAAAGAAAAGAAAACAAATTTTATCACAGGAACAAAAGGAAACAGAAATTCTTCAAAAAATTGAGGCATATAGTAGGAGAGCTATTCAGACTGCAAACAACATATGGGACATGACTAATATTGAGGAACGTGTGGATGAAAGCCACATTGACTCAAGATATGATGAGAATAAAGAACGTTATATAGTTTCTGTACAATGTCTCCTATGTAATACAAAAATTGTATTTAACCAGACTGCATATTCGTTGTCAGGTAAGCTAAATAAGGGAGAAAAATATTTGCTATTTGCTTGTTTGTTTATTAACTTTTCCATTTTTATTCATTTAAGATTTACAATTAATAATTTTTCATTAATCTTTTCTTCTCTTTTTTCAGGGAATAATTATAAAACTCATATTAAACGTAAGCATTTATTAGAATTAAATGAAGAACCAAAACCGAGACAAACTGTCAAAACAGAGTGCTTTAGTGACCCGATAATCCAGAGTGACCCGTTAACCTTCGAATGAAAATTTATTTCTAATCGTGATATGTACATAGATATTATGGTATTTGCGAAGGGAAATTTTAACATCACAAATTTGTATGATATCACATATAATCATCTGTGATATTGACATTTTGACTCTTACACAATATCAAGTCATTGTCAGCCAAAGAAATTTAATTGGCATATATTCCAACGTTAAGTTAAATCGTGAACTCGATGGATCAAGACAAAAGATGGCAAGTTCTCGGATAAAGATATGCAGCAAGCAGTACGAAAAAAGTGTTCATTGGCTCATCTTGTAAAATATTTATGAATTAATTTGTAAACATGAACAATTCTGTAGGCAGAAAAAAGCTAAAAAATTTGCTTTTTGGTATCTATATTAAATAGTAGATGTAAGTAAATCATTGGAAACTCATTAAGGTCTCATAAATATAATTTAAAAAAATCAGCAACAACAATCAAGCGAAAAGAGATTACAGAAAATAAACTGATTTTTCTTGTGATTTATAATATCTTCCTTTTATTTTGATAATGATTTGCAGTGTATGGTTATAACCATATTAACAACAATGATGATTGTAAATTGTGGGCTAATTCATGATAAGCAACATTTAGCAGGTCCTTTGACTCTCTCAGCTTTTACTCTCTTGGGATTTTTTTTCAGAGAGCGATTTTTCTCGTGAGAGAATTTTGTTTTATTAACTGGCCGAAAAATCTTCCCAAATTGTAAACACAAATTTATTTCGATCAATTTGGTAAAAATTTCGTTTTTAATTAAAAATGCCAGAAAAACCTTTAAAAAGTGAACGTCGAGATGATGGAGGAGTTGATCTTGAGACACAATTCATTTTACGAGTTCCAGAAGAACCTGCAACAGTTTTAAGAGAAGCTATTCAAAGTGGAGCCACAAATTTGAAAGAAAGATTAAGTATAATGCTAGAAAATGATTTGAGAAAGGGAATGGTTCGCATAGATGATCGATATTTGTATGCTAAAGTGGTAGACTTGCCATGTATTATCGAATCATTGAAAACAATCGATAAAAAATCTTTTTATAAAACAGCGGATGTTTGTCAAATGGTGAGTTAATTTTACTCTTCTTATTCTATTCTGGATCATGATTTCTGTTCTCTTAATGTAGATGATTTGCAAGGAGGAGCCTGATCCTGTTACAGATGATGAATCGCCTCAGAAAAATAAGAAGAAAGATCCAAATAAGGTCGACAAGAAGTATTTATATCCTCATGGAATCACTCCATCACTGAAAAATGTAAGAAAAAGAAGATTCCGTAAAACTCTGAAGAAGAAAAATGTTGAGTTACCTGAAATTGAGAAAGAAGTCAAACGTTTGTTGAGAGTCGACAATGAAGCAGTAAATGTGAAATGGGAAATTGTTGAATGTGAAGAACCGCAAGAACCTGAAAAAGATTCTGGACGTGATACATCAGGAAAGAAAAATGTAGCATCAACAAGCAAAACAAAAGCAAGCAAAGTCTCAACTAAGAACCTTCCAGTTGACGAACATCACATTTTTGGAGAAGAAGTTTCTGATTCAGAAGAAGAAGATGTGAATGTAACTGGACAGGATCTTGATGTCGAAGATACAAGATTGTCAGAAGATTCTCGATCACGCTTCAGTGATTCCAATTCAATGATGCAAGGATTGTCTCTGAGTAACAGTCGAATGATGACAGAGTTCAAGAGTAACATGTTTGAAAGTGGTCCAAGCACAAGTTCACAACAAATTGATGAAGAATACAGCGACTTCTTAGAACCAAAGGACCTCAATGAAAGCGCAAAAATAAATGAAATTCGTCGTGAACTTCATGATCTTCGTAACCAACAGAATCAAATTGAACAAGAAATTCAAACGATTGACAACAAGAAGTTGAAGGAGCGTCTTCAGGAAGATATGGACAATCTGATGGGAACAATCATAATGAAAGAAATGGAACTTGATGAATTGTTAGCCACTTCACAACTACAATAAATTTTCTTTTTGTAAAATATACTAAACATTTAATTAACAGAAATAAAAGTGATAATTAACTACAGAAACTGCATAGTTTAATAAAGTACATTTTTCATATTGTTTGTTAAGCATTCCATGCTTAATTTGCACATTAAACATTCCTTAAGATAAACCGCCTCTGACTAACTTATAATGGTATAGAATTGTTTTCCTTTACTGCTTATTTTAAGTCTAATTTTCTTATTTGTCGCATTTTTTTCCCGTCTTTACGAAACTTTCTCAAGGCTTCGACAGTTGTTTTTGGAATTGATAAGAATGGAAAAAAGAACGAAAAAATTTCAAGAGCGTGAAACATTTTAACTTGATGATCAATGTTTCAATGTCATGTATAATCTTCAAGATTAAATTTGGATTCCAAACAGCATATTGATAACATTTAATAGAACTAACAACATTTAATGTCCATTGCTGGTATGATGTCCATTTGAAGTGTTTTTAGAGTCAGGTTTTGAAGATTTCTCATTTGTTTCCTTGAAAAAATCATTATTCTTTGTTTTGAGGTGTTCAGGCGTTTCAAGAAGACGTTCTGCATCAGCAATATCATTTTTAATCGCAGTTATTAAAGCTTCAAGACTTTCAAAATTTTGTTCAGGTCTTAAATATCCCACGATGCAAACTTTTAATAAACTCCCATAAAGATCTCGATCGTAATTGTGTAGAATGTGTGTTTCCTAAAGAAAAGAAAGAAGAATTAATAAATTATATGATGTCAAACAAATAGCCTTTGCACAAGCACATTTAATAGAATGACGTCATGAGCTAAGAAAATAATATTTATTTGTGCACTTGAACTGATTCTCACCATTGACTTGTGTTCATTTTCGTAGTAAGGATTCCATCCAATCGACATCACCATCTTGTGAACATCGCCATTATCTACACTAGCCCAACCATAATAAATCCCTGTGCCAAGTTCCCGAGGCAGCTCATTCACGACATCAATTCCAAAGTTCGCTAGTTAGAGAAAAATGCAAAATCATCAACATCATTGAAACTTTCACATTTTTTTCGCACAAAATTTAATATTGTTTTTGAAAAGAATAATTAAACTTCCTGTACTTGAAGCTTTTGCAAATATTGACTTAAATAAGCTATTTTAACAGCTGTCTTTTTTTCATGTCATAATGACGCAAGTGAAATAATTACCAGTAGGAATTCCTGCAAGATAAATAAATGACAAATGAGTTTCCAGATATTTCTAATTTTTATAATAATTGTCTTTACCTAAATCTCGTGATCCCCTTCCAAATCCTTTAATAATAGGTCCACTTGCGAAATGAGGTAATCCTTTTATAACTTGAATAACACTTTTCATTTTTGAATATATCGTAAATTTATTTTAAACCTTGTGTATTTCACAATTTAAATTTTGTTTTCTTTCCAAGAAGAAAATTTATGAATTGAAACTTTTGTGTGCAAAACTGATAGTATAATTACTGACTGTCTGTCATTTCAAATTGAAATAAACCGTTATAATTTCCTGTATACTGAAAAAATCTAAAGACATTGATGGCATCAGATTGTGCCAAGTATTGAGAATGGTGTATGTAGAAAGAGATTCTAACAGTTAAGTAATAATATTCGAAATATTTGTTATCGTAGATAATTAAATCCAAACCTATTTTTGAAAGTCTTTTCAAATATTATCAATGATGTTATCATAATTTACATATAAACTTTAAGCAATTGAACATGGCCATGGAGGGATGGAAATTATTTGAAAGTTATTCATTTAGAATTGTTCGATTTAATAACTTCATTGAGAAATATCAACCATATTTTCAACAGAATACAAGCTATTGAATGGATTATTTAACATACATATTTGCCATCTCTTGATTTATTAGAATTGACATCAAAAGCCTGCACTGCTTCAACCATTGGAGATGAAGTCAATCGACAGCTTGAATTGTGTTATTTTAATAATGACGGGTTTTCACCGTCAACCGAACCTTCAACAACCCCAGGAAGTTCAGCAAATTTTCCAGCAACTGCAGTTATTATTGTCTTTACATTATTCTGTATTTATACAGTTATGATGTGAAAACATTAAAATCAAGGGAATAAAAATATTTTAAACACTGTTATCCAAACACTTATTCTTAAATGATGCAATTTGAGTCGTCGATTAATTTTGAAGTGAATGAACATTTGATAACTTTCGTCAATGATTTTTTTACAATATCGTTTTCGCTCATTCCACATTTCTTCTTTACAAGATTTTGAAAATCTTTCAATGTCACTATCGGTCCACCTTTGACAAAAAATGAGTTCAGGCAATGACAATCAAGAAAATAAATTTCTGTAATATTTTTAAACTGACTAAAGTTGATATGGATTTCTCTCAACTGATTTCCAATGAAGTTAATTACTTCCACTTGAAAATTGCGTGAAAATAATTGACTTTCAAGAGCAGTCAGCTTGTTGTATTTCCCATCAAATAAACGGAGATTTTTAAGCATTGAGAAAATATTCGTTGGAAGACTTGACAAGAAACTGTTTGTGATGGAAAGTTCTTCTAAACTCAAAAGGTCATAAAATGTTTCTTCTTGGATGCTTGTCAGATTTGTTTCGTCGATAGAAAGTCTCTTCAACTTAAGCATATCCTCAAAGTTCTTTCTTCTCAAAGCTTTTAAGGGCGTATGATGTACTTCCATATCGACTAAGTTTGAGAAAAACTTTCCAAATCCATTTGGCAAATAAGTCGACCATGGATGATGATTAAATTCAAGTTTCTCAACATGACTGTTACTTCTTCGAAAGTAATGATAACCATATATAGAAAATATCTGAATATTTTCTTTTTGTACAGAAACACCAAGTGCAGAACATTTGTAGGGAGTTTGTGGGCGACTAAAATAAATTTTGATTACTTTTTAAGCTTCTCTTGGATTATATTTACACTTACAGATTTCCCCAATGAACGAACGAACATCGAATGTTAATCCTTTCTAAACGAACATTACTCAACATTGAAGTGTAAGTAATTAATGTCAAAAAAAGAAATTTCATTACGCGATATTTACAAAACTTCAAACTTTTCGAATATCTCACAACATAATGAGAATGTATATAAAGATTTGATGTGAATATGTTTTGAAATGTGAGAATATCAATTGAAAACTGATAACAACATGTTCTAAGGTCACGTTTCATTCTCTCTCTATTTTCTATTCAAATAACTGTGAAAATGCTGATCAAATCGACCAAATCTTTTATTAAGCGTAGACATTTTTATCAATTGGCCAAACAAGTAAATTAATAATCACATGTTGATCAATAAATTGTGACGATACCTTGCGTGAATCATGAAGCAATTCTTTTATCTTTATTCTTTATTAATCTCATGTCATATGTTGTTGACTGGTGACAAACTGACATTGACTTAATTTATTTATGTAGTTATATAAAATATTTTTGAAATAAAAATGTCACTAATTACGATGTTTAAATGTTATCATTGATAACAATGTAAGTTTTGAGATTGGAAGTTTTAAAGATTTTTGGTTTTCTTTTACAATTTCTTCTTACCAATTGATTAATAATTTACTTTAATATAGCCATGACTGTTGATGATTAATTAATTTTCTTCGAATTGAAACTTTTATATTAAGCCATGGCTTGACGAATTTCCAAAGGATTTAAAACATTGTAAATTTTTCATTTTTATCGACCTTATCATGATAATAAACTTTATCAATAAGTCATTGGATAGTTTAATACTCAAGCACAAGTTTATTCTTATAAAAGCTTGTGCTCGACATAACTTGAGTCAGTTTATCGTGAATTTCGTTAAGTTAAAAGACAAAAAGAAAAGAAAATATCATGAAGTTTAAGTTAATCTTTCTTATTGCTATCATAGGAGCTTCTTTACCTACATATGATTTTGCAACGTGTCGTTATTTTATCAGTGAATTTGGATATTCTTGTGATATACAAAATGGAGTGCATTCTACTGCAGATCCTTTAACGTTTGAAAATGATGTTCATCTGTCAGGATTCGATGATGTTTTTGTAGGATTTGTCAATGCAACATTTGCAAGATTTGATACTATCCCACCAGCTATCAGCGAGAAGTTTCCAAATATAAAAAATCTTGATTTAAGAGCCAGTGAAATATCTGGAACACCTGCTGCGTTAGAAAATTGCGATAATTTGGAAACCTTACAACTCGATGGAAATGCAATTGCAACGATAGCAGCGAATACTTTTGAAGCTTGTACTAATCTGAAAAATCTTCATTTGAATGCGAATCAAATAACGGCTGTAGCATTTCCTGATATAAATTTAATTGAAATCTTATTATTAGCTCGAAATAATTTAGCTTTGACTGCGACTTCCTTTGAAAACCTTGTTAACTTACGAGTTCTTGATATAAGCGGTAATGGAATTGCCACCCTTCCAGCGGATCTTCTAGTAGCTCTCGTTGCACTTGAAGAATTAAATTTGTCTGGAAACAACATTGCGGTGATTCCACAAACATTCTTCACTGAAAAAGAGGCATTGAAATCACTTGCCATGGATAACAATGTTATTGCGGATATCGATATTTCCGAAACAATAGATGACGTAGAAGTCATTTCATCAACATTGTCAGCATTAATAAATCTTGAAAATTTGGAAATGAGATACAATCGTTTAACAAGTTTATCAGCAATAGCCTTTGAAAGTCTTACAATGCTAACCACATTGGAACTTGATTTCAATAACATTACTATCATTGATGCTGATGCTTTTAAAAGTCAACAAAATCTGGCGAGACTTAACTTGTTCAATAATGAATTAGTGACGATTCCTGTAAACACATTCAGAAATTTCGATCACATTATGGAGTTGAATTTGGGAAACAACAGAATCACCGAACTCGATCCTTCAATTTTTAAATTCAATGAAAATCTTGAAGTTTTAATTCTGAGTGAAAATATTTTAACATCGTTGGATCCGAATGTGTTGAAGCCATTGACAAACCTCACGCATCTTGACTTGACTTCAAATCAAATCAGTGAAATTCATCCCGACACTTTCAAGTTTAATGATAATTTATTGGCATTAATTATGTTTGATAATCAGGTCGCAACCATTGATGAAATTATGTTCGAATCAACTGGAAATTTGCACACTCTCTATATGAGTAACAACAGAGTTAATTACATATCTCCAAAGATATTTGAATCTTTACCAAATTTAATTATTTTGGATTTAACGGGAAATCTTTGCATCAATTCAATGTTCTCTGGAAACAACATTTCAAGTGATTTGGAACCATTTGCCGATTGTTTCAATAATTATCAAATCATATTCACACCAGCAACAACTGAGGAAACAACAACTGAAGAAATGACAACTGAAGACATTGAAGACACAACACTAGGATCGTCTTCAATTTATGCATCCAGTGTGTTAACACTTTTAATGTTAATTGCTATTTTCATTACCAAAATGTCATAATTTAGAATCATTCAATAAAAAAATTCAACAAATGTTTAGATAAGAAAATATTTATTCTACAAATGAAAGACGTTTCTTTACGACAACGCACGCAATAAATAAAGTTGAATGTTGGCCTTTAAAACTTTATAGCTTGTTTGTCTTATTTATTGCTAGATGACTTCAATGTAATAAGCAATTATATAACAATTAATTCTTAAGGCCAAGCGTTACAATTTCATAATTGATTTTGATAATTTACGTCATTTGTGGTGAAATTTTCATTCCTTCCTCATGGTGAAATTCAACATCATGAGTCGCACATGTTTTTCAGATCAAGTGCGCAAGTCAGCAACCAGCTGATGTGAGTTCGAGGGCAAAGCTCTACGCCTACAATTCACAAAAGGGCCTGGCGATTTTTATAAACAAATATATTTCTTTTAACCAATTCTGAAACATTCTAATCAGTTTTAAAAATTACTGTGAATTTTATTCAATTGAAATCAATCCATCAAAACTCTTGCGTTGTAATCTGTTGATGTGATATAAATTTTGTGTGAAACAATCATAAATAAAGTTTAAAAATGGAATTATAAAAGTTTTCCGACTGCAAAAACATATTTTTCTACTTTTTTCATCAATATTCATCAAGAATGGCGCTTAGCTTTAATTATTTGCATTTAATATGCGGAATTAGCGCGATTCTCATCATTCTCATGTATGTTTATCCAATTATCTTCTACATCTTCTTATTCATCGTTTATTCACTTCTTCTAATTATTTGTGGTGAGTCATCCAATTCAATGAACACTTTTTTCATCTTCTAATTCGATTTGTGTTTGCTTTTGCAGTCCTTTTTGTGCAATATAACAAGTCAAAATCAAGCAACGTAATTAAACCTGTGCAAGCATCAGCAATTTTGTACAATGCAACTCGGTAAGCAAACAAAAATCTATGACTCATTTTTAATTTCTTTTCTTATCACTCAATTTATATTGTTCCAGTTCTCGCATGTTTGACGTGCCCAAACGAAACAAAGCGAACATGTCAGTGATTTTTGGGAGGACTGTTGATAAATTACTTCAGCAGATCCTTGAAAATTCCTTAAATGATTTTGTTCACAGTTGGTTAAGGTAAATAATTATGATGAAGATGATTGATGTTGATAAGAAACTCATTAATATTTTCCTATTCTTCTCTGTACACTTTAGCAAAATCGTTTATGAAGGAGTGGAATTGATTGAAATATTACGTGAAGATTTCTGGATTGCTATCCAAAAGCTCGTTGATCGGATGCGAAAAGTTGATGCTTCGAAAGTATTGGCAGTTGATTTTGTAACAAAAGTAACAAATCATCTGGAAAAGATAAGATTGATGAAAGAAACTGGCGAAGTAACATTTAAAACGACATCATACTTGATGAACAATGATAAAGAAATCGAATTTCTTAAGAAAATTAGCGAGATTGTCATCATTCTTCTACTACCACGCGGATATTCAATTGCACCTTTGAAGAATCTTCTATGTGAAATTATCGCTTACAAAGTTTTTTACTGTAGTATCAAAATGATAACAGAACCTGATTATATCAATCAAAAAATTATTGAAGGGGTGCAGTCACGACTTGCGTCAATTGCTTTAAGTCGACGAAGCTATGAATATGCGACGAGCTTTCAAGATTTTCTTCGGATAATTAACAATTCAAGCAGTGTCGAAGATTTACTTCAGATGAGATCCTCAATAATTAATGACTTGATGCAAGCGACAACAACTCAAAATCTTCAACGAGCTAAGGGAATTAACATCGAAAGTGGATCAATAATTGGAGTTAAGCGTTCGGACATCAACGCTGCATTGAAGCTTAAAAAATACATTCAACAACTTTCATTTGCAAAGAGTGAAAGCGAAAAGAATTTGACAAGACTAGGATGGATTGGAAATCACTCAAATGACTTGAATTTGTCTCTCCAAGACATTCTTTCGACAGTAGTGGGACGAAAGTATTTGATACGATTTCTGGAATCTTTGAATGCAGGTAATCTCGTCGGCTTATATACAAGCATTGAAGAGCTTAGGTCAACTTCGAAAGCTAATATTCATCAGCTTGGTGCTGAAATTTATTATGCATACATTAGACCAAGTTTTGAGATTAAACTTGATAAGCAAGAACAAAGAAAGGTCGAAGGCTTCCTTTTAGGTGATGACGCAAATCATGAAGTTTTCTTTGACATTCAGAAGAATGTTTTGAAGTTGTTGGAAGAAAAATATTATCAGTCTTTTATTCTCAGTGATGAATATAAGAAATTAAAAAATTCCATAACTTCTGAAGACATTTCAAGCATCTCAATGAATTCCTTGAAGACAAGTTTTGATGTCAACACAGCAGAGGATGAAGTTGATGATTATGACACTGGAATGGATTTAACAAATCACTCAACATACGCTAAGAATAAACTTGAACAACTACAGGAACGTCTGAAGAATAAAAAGAATGCTTTGGAAGCATTAAAGTTGTCAGTGAAACCAGATTCACAAATCTTGTCGATTTTAGAGAAAGAAATCGAAAATCTGAAGAATGAGAAGAGACAACTTGAAGCTCATTTATTACGAACTGAAACATGGACAGAACATTTAGGCAAATGGCGTGCAAATGTAGAGACAGTTGAAATTCCTGAAGACTGCGACACTCCTGAATTTCTTATAGTTGTTCAGGTTGATGAGATACCTAAAGAGGCCAAAGAAGATGAAACTTTCGAACAGGAAGAAAACATTTCCACCGGTTGGGTTGTGTTGCGAACTCTTGACGACTTTCATGAACTGCATAAAAAGATGCGACCTCTGTGCACTCAACTAAAGAGCTTAGATTTACCATCAAACAATACTTTCATTCTGTTCTTTGGAAAGAACGATAAGGGATCTCTTGACAAAGCTAAATCTCAGATTCAACGATACCTTAATGTAAGTCTTTTCTTTTTTCCACCCCCCATTGTCAATGCGCTTATCAGATATTTGATACTTTTTTATCTTTTCTAAACTTTTCTTCTCCCAAACATAGTTTATAATGGAAAATCCAAAGTTGGTTGAGTCAGAGTTTTTGTTTGCTTTCTTAAGTCCATCATGTGACAAGTTAAAGACAATTACACCATCACCAAAGAAGACAAAATTCTTTTCCCTTTCAACGCTATTCAAAAGCAGCTCTTATTCAAGCAGTAGCGATAAAAGTGAACTTTGGGGAACAAGAGATGAAGATGATGATGATCTGTTGTTGGTGTCAGATGTTGCCAATGAGAATAACTTAGAAAGTGCAAGAGATAGTAAAATATCGTCACAAATTGATGACATGAGAGATTCCATTGCAGAGCCAATTTATCATTTGCTGAGTGAAATTTTTGATCTTACGGGACCTTTCAAATTTCTCCGCAAATCCTTAATATCATTCGTGCAATTGACATACGGTGGCACAATAAATCGCCAAATAAGAGACTTGATAAGTGGATGCTTTGATGAAACTAATTTACATCATTATTTGTCATGCATGTTGAAGACATTATGGCCAGCCAATGATGCTGATGATGAAGAAGAAAACGAATCTTCCGTTCCTGAGCGTACTGACGACATGAAAGAGATGACTGCAATTACTGCAAAGAATTTAGTAATTGACAACATCCCTGATATATTAAGTAATCTCGTTGGAGCTCAAAATGCCAAAAATGGATCCATAAAGATTTTCGAAATCCTACAGAATGAAACCTACAACAAACATCTGATTTATGACTTGCTGGAAGTTCTTCTTGTGGAAATTTTTCCCGAAATCAAAAGCATACCATCGCCAAAACTACCATAAATATCCCCCTTGCATGTCTACCTTTATAAACTTACTACCACCTACTCTATCCAAACACATAAAAGAGCACCGACTGAACAGCCGTATGTGAACTATTTTTATTATTCTTAAATGAATGTTGATGGAACAACATATCTAGACAGTAAATGAAAAATGAATATAGCCCAAAATTATTTTGTGGTATAAAGGGACGATATGTCCTGGTTCCAACCACCCACACTCATATTTTATGCATGTGACAAACATAAATTATTATTGTGAACAATAAAGGTTTATGAAAATTGAATTGAACATTTCTACACAAAAAATACAACAACAACTCTCTGGCTGTTGCTTATTAATATTCCTAAATATGTTGAAATTGTATTACGGCACTTCGTTTTATTCATCCCCACACACATTTTCTTTCACTAGCCTTTGTCGAACTTCATAACTTGCTTTTAAGTCAGGCTCCAAAAGACAATAATTAAACTTCAATTGCCTAACTTGGTGCCTACTTAAGTCGCAAATTAATTGCAAAAATTTTTTCCCTTTTTAAACTTTACTGCGATCAACATCAGCAGAAAACTTTTTGTCAACTTTTTCAAAAGGAAAAGGAAGAACAGTTGTTGGTGGCACAACTTTCAATGCTTAAATGATGAACTGATGGAAATGCATATTGCATTTATAGCACAAAATTTTTGTTACTTTATTATTTTCTCTATTATTATTATTTTTGTTACTAGCTTTGTTGATAATAAGTTGAAGCAACAAAAAAGGAAAATCTTAAAAGTCAACTTATGATTCATCAAAAGTCAGACAAGAAGTTTAATCTTTTGTGGACTTATTAAATACTTACAACATTATCGTCTTATTCTCACAGGAAATAAAAAAGGAAAATAATTATCTGCTTCTATTTATGTTTAACTTTGATGAGTCATTATTGATGTTTTGTGAGATTATCCTTGAAATTATCATGCTTCAATAATAATAATGGCAACTCTGAATAACATTTAATACGACAATGGACAGATTAATTTGTTTTACTAATCACAAGCCGCCACATTGGCAAATTTAATCAAATCGAAAAACAATTAATAATCAAGCAAACGACTTCTGGCAAGAAGGTCTCAAAATTTCTTTTGTTATCTTCGACACTTCCGCTATTAACGATCTTGAGATAATTTCTTGGCAAGCTATTAAAAGTTTATCATATAATTGGCTTCTGCTCTGAAAAGTTGAAGATAAATAAATAAAAGAAATTTATTGAGAAAATTTAACTTTATTTTATCAATCAGGATATTTATTCCCTTAACTTCTAAATAATTAATGTTTTTTTGCCTTAGATAGCGCATACTCTTCTAATGGTAATTTCGATATCTGATGAAGTAAATGATCACAGTAAATCATCATATCGGTGGTTTCATAACATGGATGACGATCGTAAATGTTTTCAATAAATTTGCATGCTTTCTTCAGCTCACATATTGCGGCAAGTGCTGTCATCGCATTATGGTTGGGTTCATTATAATAACTGATTCTTCTGGGTTGTTTCGATAACAATGGATAATGTTTTTGGCATGCAACACAGTCACAAAGGAATCCATAAGATTCCAGGTGCAGTTGTCGTATTTCTCGTGGCATTTCATATGAGCTGTAACCATAACTAACAAAAATCTGTTCATTCGCCTGGATTGGCTGAACAACAACAAATGCAATTTTATTGTCAACCGTTATTCGTTTTACTGATGGATCACAACTGTGACTAAATAAAGATGCAAACACACATAAGCCACTTCCAATAGAATGACCGTGTGTGCGATTCGATGATTTTAAATATGAATGTTCTTTCATGTCGTAGAGGTTTGTGTCTAAAATCTTCAATTGCTTGTTTGTGAAGCTTCTCATAAATTCACGTTCGACATCTGTTTTTAAAAATAAATCGAATGGATGTTTCTCAAACATTTCTTCCAATGAAACTGATTTAGTGTGCTCAGTTTCTCTCACTGTCGTCAGTGCGTTGATTGCCAATAGAATATTCAATTTGTGCGACTCATCTTGTGGTTTACTTAAATCTAAATCAAAAACTGTTTGACATTTTGAGTCGTTTAATATTCGTTGTAAATTTTGAATACTTCCAGTTAACGTCAATGCGGTGAGAATCATTTTCACAGTTAAAGCAACACTCTCATGCAGAGGCTCTTGACCACACTCGAATAGATGCAAAAGCTTGTCGTGTTCATCTTTGCATTCAACACAACAATACATTGCTGAAATTAAAAACAAACTTCTCAATCTTAAGCTGAAGCTTGTTTGCAAAGCTTACCATTTGAACATGACAAACATGGAATCAGACTCAAATGATTTGATTTCAAACAGTTTGTGCATCGTCTATGACATAATTCGCTGTTGATATATTTGTAGATGGGTTCGTCAATAGCAATGATATCGCCTGGTTTAAGATTTGACGATGTTGTTATGTATCGACCGTATTTGTCATCTTCGCGTACCTCCAAGGACTTGACGATGAATGGAATTTTCTTGTTTGCTTCGTATGAAAGTTTAAAGAAATCTTTTCTTGTTTCAACAATTTCATCTTTGAAGGTTTCGATTAACTTCTTACACGTTTCTTCTCTTTCATTCAATTTCGATTGCTTTTCTTCGGGATATCCATGTTTCCGTGCTAACTCAATATTCTGCAAGCACTTTTCAAAGAGCTTAACTTTAAGATAAACCGCTGATCTGTTTGCAAATGCAAAAGAAAATTGTTCTGTGTCAGGCAGTGCATGACAAAGGCTTCGGTTATAAGCAACTAAAGCTTCATGATAATCTCCTTTCTTGAATTGGAAATTTCCGATTTCTCGTAGTTTATCAGCAATCTCATTAGATTTTTTATCACGCATCACAATCAGTAATCACTCGATTAGAAAACTAGGAAAAATGTTTACTGAATATCTGCTTACTGCTTAGTAATCACTACAGTAAAAGAGCTAAATTTAGCACGTCTTCTCTTGTCTTCGGATAAATTTAGATTGAGACTTGAGAGGAGCACATATGCTTCGCATCCTCGATTCTGAATGCTAACAATAGTATAAAGTTTCACGTTAACGCTGATTTGATTTGAATGTCACATTCAAAGCTTATTTCATTTCTATTAAATTTTTATTTGTTTTTCATTGTGACAACATTTTTAAATGATGCAAATCGCATTGAAAATGAGTGAAAATATTTATTTCTTTTTTCTCATAGAGAGAAAATTTTAATTCAATTAGATTTTTCAATTTATTTTAGTGAGCGCTTAGCATGAGTTTGCTTTTGATTATTCATGCTAAGATGATTTGATGGCATCGTTTATTTCACAAATTTGATTTATTTCTCTTTCCCACATCAGCTCAAACATTTATTTAAAAACATTATGAGAGCAATTTCAATTAAAAACTTTTAAATTTTTGTAATAAATGATCCTTCATTGTTTTAATATTAAATGTCGAACTTCATAACTTGCTTTTAAGTCAGGCTCCAAAAGACAATAATTAAACTTCAATTGCCTAACTTGGTGCCTACTTAAGTCGCAAATTAATTGAAAAACTTTTTCCCCTTTTTAAACTTTACTGCGATCAACATCAGCAGAAAACTTTTTGTCAACTTTTTCAAAAGGAAAAGGAAGAACAGTTGTTGGTGGCACAACTTTCAATGCTTAAATGATGAACTGATGGAAATGCATATTGCATTTATAGCACAAAATCTTGAAGTGATAAGGTGCTGATAAATAATAATGGTTGAAGAGACAAAAAATCTTAAAAGTCAACTTGTGATTCATCGACCCAAACATAAACATTCATGAGACTCCTAATCTTTGAATATTGCATACTGACGAGTCTTGTTGTATTTTTAATGCTCAGTCATGAAATCTTTCTCAAGAAAGTGATAATATTTGTGCACATATTTATAGATTGGTTTTTTTTTTGGGTTATTGATTTTTCGTCTCCAAGAAGTAAATGCTTGACTGAATATTTTCTTATCGTCACGACTAGTGATTTTCTTGGCACTCAGAAACTCAACAGACTTTAAAGTTTACTCATCGCTTGCAAAGTTCAACCCATAATCTCTAATTAATGTTTCATAAAACTGCTATCCGGCAGAATGGATTGTAATGATGGCGTCTACGAAAGCAGCAAGCAAACGCCATATTTTTCCCTTCCATATTTTCGTTCTTTGCCATCGCATCCCATCGAACAAGGCGAAGAAAAGACTTCTTCGATGATGCGATTCCGATGAACGATAATCCGCCAGCATCATAAAATTAAATGAAATTAAAGAAAACCATTAGAGTTGGTCAATAAAGTTCCGCACTCTTAACTCAATTATTTATTTATTCCATTCATTTCTTTACTGGCTTTTTCACTTCGAAGCTGGGGATTGAAAAAAAATCCAACCTTTTGTTTTTTTTTCTCCTTCCTTTAATTAGTCTGCACTCAACTTAAAAGCATAATTACATTTTCATAAACACATTAAAAAGATATCGAGGGGTTTTCCGCTACTTTCTCCTTCCTAAACTGCCCTTACACTTTAGAATTTATATCCATTTCAGATTCAATTTTCGTTTAAATTTTTCTTTCCTTTTCCTTAGATATTCTTCTTCCAGTCTTGAGTAGAATTTTTTTATTTAATTTTTATTTGAGAGAAAATTAAAAATCTACAACGAGAAAGAATAACGTTTCACCAACGGTGTTTAATAGCAAGAATGGGGACGACGGTTTCATCTGTAATAAAATTAAAGTAGATTTATGATGATTTTGCTAAGCGTAAAAAAGAAAGACTTAACTAAAAGAGAGAAGACAATATGAATTTAAAACGAACTCTTACAGCGAAAGCAAGGCAAAGTTTTTTATTTCTTTTATTTCTTTTCTCTTTAAAACATTTTTAGGTAGCAGTGTGTGACATCAGATGGTTGGAAATATTTTAAGATTAAAACACAATCAATCAGGAATTCTTTGAGGCTATAACTGTAAAGACAGAAGCTTAAATAGAGTGGAGGAAAGAAACCACTATCAAAGGATTCCTTTTCATGTAACAAGTTCTGGTTTCTTTGGTTCAACAAACTTACTTATTTTCAACTTCCATCCACCAATTCCCGTTGCTGACTTATGCATGTACATAATTTCCTTCTCCAGAGAAATCTCTTTGGTAAATTTTCCTGAAATATTTTTTTTCTTCAAATTTTGTTTTTATTAAAACGAGAATGTCTCTGGTAAGAAATTTAAATTCGATTTAGCGAATCATGCATATTCAAAAACGGGAAGTTGATTTTTCTCTTTTCGTCTCCCCAAGGAAACAACTTTTTTTCGTGAAGAGAAAATCTCAATCGGGAAATTATGAATTTTCTTCTTCTTTTCAACATTTTATTTTCAATGAATTTTATTTGAAAGCGATTTTTTTATTTTTTGATACTATCAACCCTTGGGGTTTTTTGTGTAAATAATGTCAAGGAGTTCAGTGAACTTAATTTTGTCATTTATGTTTCAATAAAAATATTGTTTGCACGAACATAAAATGAAGAAATGAAGAAATTATTACATATCGGAAATATTTTTAATGTCTTCTTAGATACGAGTATTTGGTTGAGAAACATAAATATCTATTTTATTTATACAGCATTTAATCATACAAGCTTACAACATATATCTATATATCAACATAATCCGGTGGAGACAACAAAACGTGCGGAGAATTCAGGCAACCCACGATGCTTATTTATTATAAAATTGAATTTCAAATTTTCATCCTGCCCACATGTCACATTTTTTTTTCGCTTTGGGAAAAAGTTATTGCTAAAGCAGACAAATGTTCATTTATTAACCGGATATTATCATTTATTTCCGTCATCCTGTGCACATAAATAAAAAATAGAAATTTTTTTACTTCTCGTTCAACTTGCTTCATCTTTCTCCTTTCGTCATGTAGGAGATAAACTCATAAATTTAGTTCTTGAAGGAATAATAATTTACCGGTCTTTTTTCCCGATGAGTACACCTGAAAAATGAATCATCGTACACAATATGCCAACTTTATCTCAATCAACTAGATATAAAAGAAATGAAGAAGAGTTGGATAAGTTGAACTACCAACTCCTTGTTTTCACCCATAATAAAACTTTCTCTTCGCTATCACAATAGATTGAATCATTCCATTCATTCATTCATTCAATGCAATATGAAATCGATGATGCGATGCTCGAAAGATGATATGTGATGGTGATGACTTGAATACAAGTTGGAAAAGGTTTCATTTTTCCATCAAATAAATTCCACAATGATGGAGTATCTCGAATAAGACAAGATAAATATCATTTTCCACATTATCCTTAAAATTTTCAAGGATTTTCTTTTGTTCTATATCCACAAGAAAAGTGGTAAAGAGAAGAAGGGTTTATATGACCCCAAAAACAGAAGATATCAAATCCCTATTATGATTATTATTCCTTCTTCCCTTATTTTAAGCTGCAGGTATTTTGTCTATTTTCAATTCATTTTCTCTATCTGATGATGATAGAATCGTTTTTGATTATATTTAAGCTTGTGTTCAAGTCATATCTTATTTATTCAGTCTTTACAACTTCCCAAAAAAACATTTCAGACTTTTATCTTTTGTCGTCATCATCATAACATTCAGAACTCATTTCAAATTCAAATTCATAAAAGTTTTTTTTTCTTCATCTATATCTGAGAATTTCTGCTAACGTTTGAAATTATTGATGCTCGATAAAATTGATGGCTTTCGAACGTTAAGTTAAATGATAGAAACGCGTATGATGTCGAATACAAGCGAGAAGCATACAATTTCCATTATCAAATTAGAGCGCCAAAAGATATCAAAAATTGTAGAAATAAACATTTCGAGACGGGAAAATCATTGCTTTCCTCCATTTCTATTCAATTTAAGTAAGGGAATTAACAGGGAAATTCGGGAAATTCGTAAAAAGATATTAATTTTATTGCACCATTTACTAGAGGGTATCTTCTGCTTCAGACACGCTCAAATTGTTTTAAAAAGCCAGAAAGAGATTCTTGTTAGTTGTATTGAAAAAGGGGATTTGAAAACCGTAAGCATTTTCAATGAAATTGAGGCACTTACGTTGAAGTTATTTCTCAAGACCCTCTCTCACATCATAAGCGTGAATCGATATAAAAATTTTAAGTTGCAAAACACTTCAATTCTTTTGACTGTCTATTCCCTTGTTTTTGTATTCTTGTTTTTTTTTTTTTTATATTTTGCATTGAAAAATTCGATTTCATTAGGGAAATTGTATTCAAACAAGGGGTGAATGAGGTGAAACAGAAAAAAGATCCAATTCAAAAGGGCAAGAAATTGTCCCCCTCCTTACCTTACATTTGAGTGTCGGTGAAACAATGTTTCTTGTGAAAGTTTCAAGAAATAACTTCAGAATCAAATTAAATTTTCCCTTTTTTTCATTCACTTTACTGGCAAACTTAACATTCCATTCTTTTGTATTTCATTTGAACATCATGAAATAGTAAATGTTCAATTTGCTATGCTGCAGTTATGATTTCATGCTTTTAAATAAATACTTAGACAGATGCTGCAGTCTGCAGTGAAAAAGAGATTAAATCATAATCTTTGTAGAATTTATCAGTTATCTGTGCAAATAAATGTGTATGAAAATATTGAAGCCTAAAACAAATCTTGTTTGCATTACGGTCTCTGGTCAATACTTAAAAAAAGCCGATCTGTTCAAACAAGTGTATATAGATGATTAAGTTTGACTTCGAATCATGAAAAAGAGAAAGAAGAGAAAAACCCTTATCAATCTAAATGCTATCCTTTATCAAATTTCTGATGGATTAAAAAATTGGATCGGAATATTAATGGATTTCTATGTGTGGACGGTTTCAACAGCATGTAGTTAGGAGATTTTTTTTCATTGAATTGATGTGTTTAGTAGGTCGAACTGATGAATGCGTGAAGCTTAAACAAGGATTTGATATCAATTCTACTTAATTCGAGTTGTAAGAAGTCCTGATAGGAAATTATGATTTAGTCAACCTAAAGACCAATCAGCAGACAAATCTCTCTACGCATATCTACTTACAAAAGCTCTTTCTATATGTGTAGACATGGAAAAATATTGGGAATCGCTTTGACTATGCTTTGAACAGAAATAATTCAGCACAAGGCAGACAAAAATTGTGTGATGGTGGAAAACCATTTATCTATAATTTTTTTTTTGCGCTCAAATAAATATATCTTAATGAAAACTCCTACACATTCTGTCATGGCTCGCGGAAATATATCATTGCATACAACCAAACAACATTAATAATGGAATTAGTGGCGCTGGATGAAAAGCAATCGTATGAGTATTGCATGCAAATTTTCTGGCTGCATGTGACCTTATCGAAACAAGATCAGGGAGTGGCATTTTATTTATTTGAGAAAAATTCAAAATACGAAATTTCAATATATTTACCAAAGGCCCAATTATCCTTAAATCTCTCAGGGCTCATTGTTCATGAGATGCTTTCGCATAAAAACTTTCCTCTTTCACTCTCCAAATAATGGCTTTTTGTATTTGTAGTACAAAAAAATTTAATTAATTTTATTTACATAAATGTTGTTCGATGTATGCAAATTACATGTTTGGGAAAGTTGCGGGATGAGAGATAAAAAAAAAGTTAAAGTAAGCATGGATGAACCAATATCATCATTGAATTCAAATATCATCGAACCCGAATTAAATTTAATGCATTGACTATTACTTTTGTGCACAGAAATGTTTGTTAAACGATCCATGAATGTGCGTTGTTTGAGAGAATGTTTTCCCTTTAAATAAATTGGAAACTGTTACGTTGATGATGCTGACGTTGCTGTTAGATCTGTTCTTTTGAAATGATTTTTCTCATGAAAAGGATTTCATTTTATTTGAAAAGAGAATCAAAGCTCATATTGGACTAAATGGTATTAATAGTCATGATACTACAACCTTAAGTCTGGACATCTGCATTTTAAAAACATTTATCAGAATCAGGTAGATTGTATGAGAAGGAGTGATTCATGAATAATGTATCATGTCAAAATCACAAATGTAAATGTTGATGAACTATGTGGCTCATAAATTACACTAGAAAATGAAAAGATTTAATTATGAAAATCATGACGAAGTTGTGCAGCCGTCAACTTATGCAACAAGCGGATAATTAAATTTCATTACATCGTACGACATGTTAAGCAAATAAGTATCAACAGCCAACCATATTTAGTATCATCAATTCAATTCAATTGTGATTATAAGAGCAACAACTTCTCCCACATTATTTACAAATGACCCCGCTTAAGTTATTCAATTTCGGTGATAACATAACAGTACAGATATACTAATATATACACACACACACACAAAAAGAGAGAGAACCGAGGAAAAACAATCATGATCGAATAAATAATCTATGAACTGAAACGAAAACGTTCATAAAATATTAATGAGGCAAAAAGATTTATCAGCTTAAGTGCGATTTTTGTATCTTCAAACTACATAAAGTTTTCGTTTCACAGCAACTCCACACTGTTGATAAACAATGTAAAATGCTTTGGGTGGTCGATGGTAGATTTTGGATTTTATGTTTTTCACTTTTACCCAGCTTTTCCCTAGACTTTTATGTTGGAAAAAGAAAGAAGGAAAAAAACAATGAGATGAGATGAGAGGAAAAAAACACCTCAAAGTCAGACAAGCAACCCTTTTCCCCTCATTTCGTTTTTTAAGCAGCATGAAAAGTTTTGAGATTTACATTCAAATGGAATTTTTTGATTCATTAAGCATTTACATAGTTAAATTTTAAATTATTTACATCCGCCCAGGCAAATACAAGTGTAGAAATTTGATAGAAGATGAGATGGCAGGCAAGCGAATTAAATCCTCACTCATTAAGCTTGTGCAACAAGCGGTGCAGAAACAATCTCGTTAGGTTGGTTTTGCATTAATTATGCAATGTTCATTCACTGGGAATTTCAAATTGAGTAGAGTCTTGAAGTGGAATGAGAATGGTAAAAAGTTTCGCATGAAATATGTATCTATAGATGAAAGACACGATGATAGAATAGAGGAGAAAAGCATTTCTTTGATTGAATAATGAAAGGAATGAAGGAAGATTTAATTAATAGCATTAGCGACAAACAGACGTGAAAGAGTCTTATCAAAATATTGATTTGTACGAAACAAATTTTCTCGATTCATTGGATTTTGTTTGTTAGCAGAAAATTTCTCACTTCCACCCGCTGTCTATCTTCATTCCCCGCTAGCACATTCTCATCAATCATTCGAATACAGAATCAACACCAGAAAACAGTGCAAAACTTTCGACATGATTTTGAGATGTGTATAAATGGGAAAAATGATATATTTCGATTTGATTGATGATTTTTCTATTATAAACTTTCTAATGAAACAAATTCTTGTGGTTTGCTATCCAGAATAGAAACGAGAAACGATAAATGGAAACAAAGCTTCTTTCTTCGTTTATATACAGATCATCTACATATCTACATTTATCTATCTGTATAAATGTATCATAACAACATTAACTTTCATACTTTAGAGTTGTGGTCACTCACTGTTTCATGAATATTTATGAATCAAGCATACATCCATGTGTGCATTCATTCTCTATTTAAGATTCTAAATGAAAATTCAATTGAATTGTTTTCCAATTGAGTTAAAATGTCGAAATAAAATTTACTCTTCTGCGGCAACAACAAAACAAGGAAAATCAAAGTTATGGTTCAGCAAATGTTGAATGCAAGGCATGCATAAACAATGGATACTTAATAATGAAATAAAATATACTTTTTATGATGCCATTTGAGGATCAAATAATAATAATAATGGGACTCCACTCAACGTTAGCAATTCCAAGTAATAAACTCTGGTAGATGGTCAAACACCACAACGGAAATTATATTTCATTGTTACCAGCAACAGCAGTGACTGACGTCGGTTTTATTATCGCTCTTTTTTTTGTAATTTCAATTCCGCAAACTGAAACGAAAATGACAGTAAAAAAAGTTTTACTCATTAATTTTACCAATGACAAAAGACACATCAGGTTTAATGTGTACCTGAGACCAATAACGTTTGCTGCTATCAGAGTAGAAGAACGATAGACGGATAAAAGGGAAATCTATCATATATATGAAAAAATGTATACATAGTTTGCACTCTCCCAGACCTCTCTTGTCTTCTACTTTTCCCTTTTTAAGCCACAAACAGCACAATAAACAGGAGCCATAAATCTAATATATCTTTCAGTCAGTTTTGAGAAATTGCTGTTTTTCTCTCCTGTTTATTCAGTTTACAAATGCTGCAAATGTTGTGATGGAAAATGAATGGTGGTGGAGGATGGAAGAAAATGCAATGCAATTTTACTATTGATAATGTTCCATTCCCTCGTCGGGATATCATTTATGCTCTGTTCGCTTTTGTATGAATTTCTGACAGATGAAATTTCCTTTCCAACTGAATTATATTGAGTTGAAATGACTTGTTGTATGTGGATGCTATTACATCATCATCATCACCATCATCACCTTCATCATTATCAACATCGCAGTCATCAAGGTAGACAAAGACAGAAGCAGAGGGTGTTGGAAAGCGGAATGAATTGATTGAATGAATATTCATTAGTGCAAAGGAAATGTATTTTTAATTGAATTTTCGGATTGTGTACATGTTGTTTCAGATATTGTTCAATATTTATTAATTTCGGAATTATTTATTCATGCTTAGCGTACTAACAATTATTGCTATGAATTGTTTTTCTTTTCAGATTCATAAGATTTAATTTTTTTATCGAATATTTAATTGAATGAGATTCGAATCGTTCGATGAAAATAAAATGTCAAAATAATTTAAGTAAGTTATGTTGAAAGCGGAAAAAAAAGTTTTCAATTATATTTAATCCCACTCAAAGAGAAAACATTGTCGAAAGTTCCCTTTTTAATAGAGACATAAAATCGATAGACTGTTGGGAGATATTAAGTCAATATGAATAAATTAACATAAATTATCCAGAGACATTAGAAATGAATGCATACCGCTGTTCTATTTAGGATATTTAGAATTGGGAAGCTTTTCTTTCACCCTTAACATCATAAAAAATTCAACCAGTGTTGAAATCAAATCTATCTACCTACACATGATTGTAATCTAGTGAAATTGTTGTCAAAGCCTTTTCAGAATAATTAATTGTTGTGTTCTTTTAACACTTTGTGATTATTTATTTATTCACATATTAGGAACGATTGAAATTGAAATGTGTTTGTATCATTAAACATCGTAACTGAAATATTGTCAAGGAAATTTTGTTACTAGGAGTATTGACTGCTTTGTGTTTAGACAAATCAAATATTGTTTGCTTTGCGAACATTTGAAAGAATTTTATAAATGAATAAAAAATCATTATTTACTTTTGCCATAGAAAAACAAAATAATCTCCTTATAATAAGCAGGCATTTGTTTGTTCTGTGATTCTATGAAAAACAGGTGGATTATAAATTCTTTCAAGCATCTATTTTGAAATTGCTGTAATTGCCAATTCTTCCACATTGTCAAGAGCTTTCGAGAGTTTCTGCTCTTGTTTTGATTTTGCTTGGTAAAGCTTTGTGGAGATGTTGTGTTTTCATCATAGCAGTGTTTCTCTCGTTATATTGTTGAATCGAAATCACGTTCCCCTTTTTAAGTCGTCGTCGAGAAGAAAAGGTTCAAGAAATCATGAATATTCATTGAGAAATAATAATTCCATTAAAATGCATAAAAAAATATGAAAGAAAAACTCTTAAGTGTTTGAAAAATCTTACCGAAACGAACACATAACAATATTTTCGAGATGAAGCATAATTTTTCTCTACGCCTCCTACCCTACTTACAACTCAACTGTTCGCTTGTAAATCCTTTCGTTTCTCAGACTCAAAAATATTTGCGAAGAAATTTGCTTTCAAGATTACTTTTCAATCATCGCAATAAACAAGAATTAAAATGGATTAGGTTGAAAGAGCACACACAAAAAAAAGGGGAAAGGAAAAATAATTCCCTGCTTCAAATCTTAGAGCTTGAAGAAAGCGTTCGTTTTCGGAGTTTGAAAACTTTTTCTCCGTCTGAGATCAAAAGGGAAAGCGAAGCAATGGGATGCATCCACTAATAACGCTAGAATTGGTTGTTAATTTCAGATAAAATTAACAAATTCACATACATTACGAAACATTCCCGAATATCCTTGAGGAAGTTTTAGAGGTGAAATATATTCCATTGAATCTAAGACACAACTGGCAATTTGCGAAAGCAAACCTTTAGATAAAATGTTTATGTAAGGAGAATATTCTTCCAGTAATTGAGTCTAACTCCTGATAAATTTATAAAGAGAAAGGCTTGAATGCATATACACGACTTTCTCCCATTTTGCGTAAAGTTAAGCGGAAATAATTTTAAGATAGACTGAAGCTAATTTGCTTCGTCTTCTTCTTTTCATTTAACTTTTTTGCTCTGAAATCATAAACTTGCATTTAAACAACCCCAACTACCATTAATATAACAATTTTCCATTTTTAAGGGTAACTTTGCCTTTTTTACCGCCTCTGCGTATTAGACTTGTGATGGAAGAAAAAGAAGCAATAAAGCCAGAAGAGTTTGAAAATTCAATTACGATGACCCATGTCAGCAGACTTGAGTTAATGAATAATTTGTATCAGTGTCCATGTTGTGCAAAAAAATAATAAAAATATCGTCCCATCCATCTTGTCCCTCGAGGGTATCTCAAGAGATTTAATTAATATGCATTTTCATAAACAAATTAAAAATTAAATCGAGATGAGCTTGTGATTCTCCTTGGGTTGGTTAGAAAAGGAAGAGGTGATTCATCATCTTCATCACAAACCGAATGGAAGAAGGTGAAATGTTTCAAGCAAAAATCTTTACGGAACCTTCTGATAGCTCTTGAATCTTTTAATAAATTTTTATACTGCTCCCATTTTTTACTACGTTAGAGTTTTTGAAGACTTGTGATGGGCGAAAGAAAGGGAAGCAAACATACAGTAAAACATTCCGCTGCCATTTTTTGCGAGAAGAACTCCGTCTCGCTGTTAAAAATATTAATGCAAGAATGGAGATTTATGACGATTCCTCAAGCAAGACCGCTTGATCTCTTTCTATTCCTTATTTTTTCCTTCTTCTTCCAAGTCTTGACTCATTGAAGAAATGTACGATGATTGCTAGATGACATCAGATGGTGAAGTGAAATGTATTATCTGAGATTAAAATATAATCAATCAAAAAGTTTAAGAATGAGGTTTGTGCAAAAATCTCTCGCTCTCGATCTAAGTATTTGATATGTCTGGAGAGGTAAATAATTAGTATGAAGCACATAAATAAATTATTTATTGAGTTCTTCATAATTAAACCATAAGAATTGTTGATGTTCGTTTATGTTTATGTCAAGAGAGAAATCCTAAAAGATTAATAATTATCGTTTTTATCCCTCTAGGGATCTTTTTTGGGAAATTGTTTGCTTTATGTTTAAGCGTAGGTGTTTATGAAATTATTATTTCGTATGTTTTTTCATCATGAAAAAGCGATAAAATTTGGGAACATTTTTATCATTCGTTCCTCGTTTGAATCGCTTTTTTTTTTGTCGTTCCCCAAGCAACACTTTAAACAATGTGAACAAATTTAAAACCATCATGTTTTATCTTTTTTTTTGTTGTATTTTGTATATTGTACCTAGATAAAGCACACAAAAAAATTTAGCGAACAAGAATACGCCAATATTTGATATTTCCCAGTAGGAAAAGAATAGAAAACTCGATTTGAAGTGTAATATCCTTGAACAGAAAATACGTACATTTCACTTGAGAATTTAAACGGGAATAAAAATAAAAGTTTCATAGATATCTCATATCTCACCGATTTGATTCGAAGTGGAAAGCTTTTGGGTTGATTGAGGTTAATTCAATATTTTATTTCCCATAAATTTCACCAATTTCCTGTCTGGGCATCGCAACATTGCACACAGGATAGAATGACTGCAAAAAAGGAAATAGAAACTTTTATTCATTCGATTGTATTTCATAATATACGCTGAAAATATTGAATGCAGGCTTGTACATAGTTGCCAGTTGGATTGAGTAAAGGAGTAATGGGTTGGCAACGTTTGCACAATGAAAATTCATATAAAAAATATGTATCCGAAAAAACATGATGGCGAGAGATGGATATTTGGCAGATTAAGAGAAAGCTTTTAATCAGAGGTTGTTGGCTGCGAATCATAAACGAGTGAAATTTGATTGCTTTGGACATGTGATGATATGGACAGCCTTCGATTTCATTTAATACTTTTTGTCAGAGTGAGTAGAGTTAGACGTAAAAGAAGAAATTATTGATAGGAAACTTTTCTGAATGTCTCTTTTCCATTGAATATATTTCACAACGATATGTAGTAAAAGACAGGATGTCAATTTTTGTGTTATCGGCTGGGCACGTTCAGGGCTTTTCATTTAGATGAAAGCAGAAATGTGCCTCCCATGAAGCTTTCAAATCTGTCACATTTCATCTCCAAACATGATCATTTGTTGACGACCCTGCCATTTAAAATTATTTCCTATTACCCTGTATCTACTCTAGTTCACATTTCCTCCTGTAATAAGTTTCGAATACTCTTTGATAATCATGGCATATCCTTATTTTGTTTGCAACCTTTACACATACAAGCGGGATTTGAGACATTTTGCCTGGTTTTGCGCGTCAAAAACTCATTTCAAATTCATAAAACTTTTACCATTTATCTGCTTTTTGTATCGTGACTTCCTGTTCTGTTAACTTATGTAGGAAAAAAAAGAGGGAGGATACGGAAGACAAAATAGAATAGAAACAAACATCAACACATTCCATCTTATCAAACAAGATCAAATTGAAAAAATGTCATTTAACTGGGAGAGTGAGAGCGAGTAAGTTAAAGAAAGTGGTGAAACGGAAAAGGAATTTCAAGAATGAATGGAAATCTATTAACTTGATTACGACATCAAGTGCGACTGTGTTAGGTGGAAAACAAACAGGGGAATTAAAGGAATACGAACAAGAAGAATATTTTTATTGAATTTTTCTCAAAACTTTTCCTTTTCTTCCTTTCAATTTCGAATGAAAAGACTTAATTGAATTTGAAAATTTGCTTATTGTGAAAATCATAAACATTCATGCTTTATGCTTTTTAAATTTCACATTAAACATTAGTACAAATGAATTCCAAATCATTTAAATAATTCTTTACCATATCATTTAAATGCTTGTAAAATCTCTTGTAATGTATTTAATTTGCCGAAACCCCCACCGACAACCTTTATCAATCCCAATTTTCTTTCATCAACTTTTCTTCTACCTATCTGAGCTTCCATTTTCATTCAGATGTCATCATTGACGACAAAATGAAAGAAATTCGCTTTAACGGCAATTATAATGTGAATGGAATGGATTTAATTTCGAATGATTATGTCACAAGTTATATTATTCATACTGAATGTGTTTGAATGTATAAGCTTAGCTCGAGGCGTATTATTTAACAGAGAAAGAGAGATTGACGATGCCAAATACATCATGTTTCATTGCCTAGAAAATGAATTGTGATGTGTGACATAAATTTTATTTCGAAACGTCTCTTTTGCTCTTCTGTGAAAGATTTAATTACCATCCGCAGGATGATTTATTCCTGATTTAGCAGCCAAAATTGAGACTTTTATGAATGTCGAAATGAAAGAAGAATTGCAGACGCGCATGGAGTGGTAAAATATTTTTCGTTTCGCCTGTTTCACTCCCTCCTCTAGAATTTCACAAGCATTTTGGTTTTCAATTGCTGGAAGCATAAAGCAAAATATTATTTTTAGTTGAGTGGAAGAGCACAAAACCAACTGAAAACAAGTTAGAATTACTCTAAATTTAAAGTGCTTTCGGTTGAAAAATAAAAGTCATTTCCACACTAACCACCACAGGTTGTTTAAATATTCAAAACGTTTTAGTTATGCTAACCTATGCTTATTCACCTCTGCTTAACCAATTATCAACCAAAAGAAATTTTGATAGTTATTAAAGTCATTTAAGAGTTGATTGGATATTGAAATTGTAGATAGTCGAGAATTTTCAATTCAATAATATCGTTTTTGAACGAATTTTCCTGAAAGTTCTACTGCAACTTTGTGAAATTTGATTTCTTCTGTGTTGTAAAAAGCTTAAACGTGAAACTTAAAAAATAATTAAACCATAAGCGTGACAAACAATTTAAAACTCTTTCGTTTTCCTAAAACATGAATAACTATGTTTTCTCGAGTACACTCGTCGCATGCAAATTGCCACTAAAAAACTATAGTAATTAAACTACCGTACATAATCTGAAATGTTCTCTCAAATCACGATGAATTTCCTGAATAAAAGCTGTTTATGTATTCAGGATAAATGCTGTTGTTACTATTGAAATGTTTTCTTTTTTTTTCCCTTTTTGTGCTGTTGTTGCTGTAGAGTCTTTTAAGGTAATTTGAAATCCTTGCCGAAAGTCGTGAAATCATTCGAGTGTGAAAATTATTGGCTTACATTTTTGCATATCACATTAAACATAGCAAATCATTTTGGTGAAAGTAGGGAAATTGTCAGAAGTCAGCGATCCATTGTTTTGCTCATTAACACGACTCTTGCATAATTATTTCACATAACGACAAACTTTTCCCATTCGAAATGAATAGAAATGACTATCGTAGGAGAAAGGAAGAACTAACTCATTTTCAAAAATACGGTAAAAATACAAAGCAGCAACAGAACGAGAAAAGTTCTCAACTCATTTTTCAAAAATTCCTTTCACTTCATCGAACATTGAGCAAATAACATCAGCAGTGGAAAAATGTTTGAATAAAAATTCCTAGTGTTTTGTTTTACCATCATTTCTCCCACACACATTTTCCTTTAAGGGAATAAAAAGTTTCTGTATGTCTGCATTTGTTTTACAGAATGCTTTCTGTTTGTTTAATGAAACAAAAATGATGGCGCAAATTTTTACATTGTAATTAAAAGACTTTTAAGGAAATTAAAATGCACATCACCCGAAAAATTGTGCTTCGTTTGAGCATGAAGCATATACATGAATGGGGAAGAGAGACGAGAGTGTGTGTGGGAGACAAATTTTCAGCTTTCATGTTCATCCAAACGTAAAAGGAATCTTTTGTATGTGGCATAATCTTTAGCATTAAGTTTTCATGTATGCAAAATAGCAAGAAGTGATGGTGGAGAAGGTATGGAGGACGAGGGTAGAAGTTGGTTTCAAAAATCAAATATCCATGTCCTCAACATAAATTTCTCTTTCTTTCTCCCACGAGAAGTTTTCATTTCGAAAGTTTATAATCTGTTTTGAGAAAAGAAGAAGAATTTTCTCCCCGTCAACCTATTCTAGCTTTTTTGCATTCTTCCTTCTTCCTTCTTCCTTTACATTTTTTACTTTTTCTTTCACTAAGTTCGAGTTTAAAAGAAGAAAAAGTAGAAAGGAAATTATGTTTAACTCATGTTGCCTGTGAATGTGATGTTTATTTTTCGGTGAAGTTTTGAAGAAACTTTTCTCAATCGTTGAAGCAAATGTCTCAGAGCCACCACATACACGTAAACTCCATAAATTAACTTCTCAAGAGTACGTGCTAGTGCTGGTAGAGCTTTTGCAGAAAACACCTTTTAATTGTTGTACAATAAAACGATAATGGCGCTAACGTGATTTCAATTCAAATCGTATTGGATATAATTTAATTATTGCTTTTCCTTTTTCTCGCCATGGCTACTTCCGGAATTTCATCATTAAAGTTCCTTTGCATTTTCATTAGTTCTAAATTCAAATTAAACTGTAAATTACCAATTTAGATTTTAATCCAAAAATTTCTTGGCATTTAAAATTTTTTCATTTCAGATTCTATCGACATTGTGTATATTTATTTGAACAGGCTTTATATTTTCTTTCATTGTCAGATAGCTTATAAAATATATATTTGGAACTCTGTCATAAAAGAAAAAAAATCATGTCATGAAAAATCATTTCGAGAAAGTAATATAATAGTAACAGAAAATAACGCTAGACGGCATCAGTGCTTTCTTACATTACATTACACTTTACATCATCGAAGTAACTTCTGATTTAATCGTAACGGTTATAAAAAATCTGAAACCTTCACATGCACGAGAAATGCATTACGTGGCTTTATAAAACTGTTTTAAGAAAACTTTTCCATCCACGAAAATTCAAATTTTCTAAAAAAAATTCTCATGAAATATTCTGTTCATGAATGGAAAATCTTCCACGTGAAACTTTTTCCATGCTTGCGAGCAGATGCATAGCATAAACATAAACATCGATATGAGCAACAACATTTATGAACCTTACAATTGTTGAATCGAAGAAATAAAATGCAGGGTTGGATAACTTTTGTTAAATATGTGTAGCATAATCTTATGTCATATCGTGTCATATGCTTTTGTAAAATTGATTAATTAAATAATTATTTTGTCATAGAAATTCAATGTTAAATAAAATTTCAACTTTCTATCTTCATTAAAATTAAAGATTGTGAAACTCTGACGCACGGAATGAGTTGCGCAAAAGAGTGGCAAAAAATTACGTCGTTGCTCAGTGAGACTTGGCTCATTTACTTCGACTTTTCTATGTGTTTCGTTCGCCAGTTGAATTTCAGTTTTCTATTGGATATAACACGGCTTGAAATCGTTCGTAAAAAGAAAAAAAAACCTTCAGTGGAAACACCAGCCCAGCTACAAGCCAAGAGAAAGAGAGAAAAATAAATTGTTGTGCAAAGTCCCATCGAAAAGCAAAGCGAAAAGTTTAGTTTTTAATATTTTTTCCTTACGAGAAAAGCGAGTCAAGAAGTTAAAAAAATTTGTGTAATCTTCAATACACAGTGATACATCTTTGTAATAATATTAATAAACTGTTTACGTATATTTCTTCTCTGCTAAAAAAAAGTCTAAATCATTCTTAGAATATTTGCAAAATAAATAATATTACATAAAAAGAAAAAGAGAATCGAGAGAGAATATCTAATAAAAAAAAGAAAAATAAATCAGGAAAAAAGTAAGAAAGGAAAGCGATTTTCTTGGCTTAATAAAAAAAATAAAATAAAATACGCGGAGCAGTGAAAAAGTCATTTCGCTAGAAATTCTTCGAAAACAAAACGTCTTAAAATTTTTTTTCTTCAAGTGTAAATAAAGAATCACGAATTGCTGTATAAAAAATGAGTATTGCAGTGCTTATTGAAGCGGCTGAATTTTTGGAAAGACGTGAAAGAGGTAAGCGATTCATAAATATTTATTGCCAATCGTATTTTTTTTACCAAACCAAAAAACGATGCAAAAAAACTTTCCATTCGAGCCCCGATAAATTTCCTCGCACTCTCTCAAATCGCAAAAACAGTGAGCTGGAAAAATTGAAAAGAGGCGAGTAAAGCAGAGGGGAAAATAAAACAAATATGGCGCTTTCGGGTGATGATACACAAAACTCTTCTACATCAGCTGTTTTGCAAAAGTGTTCGAATGCGATGCTCTTCTATGAGAATCGGTAGTGGATAAGAAGAGATTAATGTAAAGAGAAGAATAATTGTACGGAATATAATATCGCTTTAATTGATGCGATAAGATTAATTAAGTCAGATTCCATAACATTTTATATTGGAATTTATGATTTCCACATCCTCCCTTGGCATTGTCATTCATTCAAAATAAAGAGAAAAAAAAGCCACTCAAAAATTAAAATAGATGCCTAGCCCAAAAAGAAAGAAAATAAAACCACTCAGTTCATCATCTTCTTGTTGTGTGTTTGCTACAATATTCACACGAACATTTATCTGCTGTCTAAGTGAACTACTTGACACACAAATGCTTGAATGTCGTGAAAGGCCCCGACTGTATACATGTTCCATATGATATAAACGTGTGGTTGGGTTGGATAATGCTCGCGTCACTCATTGTTGTTTACGTCCAACCGTTCTGTTTCCTTCTACATTTTGCTTTGATACTCGAAAAAGAAATAAGAAATATAGATATTGAATAAACGAAGGAAGAAAAAAATAATATTTAGAGACTTTAAAAACTTCAAAAATATTTTTCTTTTCACGCTCGGGCATGGCGAGCACGATTCTGGTTCGATATTCATTTTTATTAGTTCATCACCGCTTTCCACGTCGAAAATTTATGGTTTGGCTCTATGACGATGGGATAAATCCATCAACATTTTTATGATTTTTCTTTCTTTAGAACTCTCTCATAGAAAGCAACTTTGACTTTCTACTGACGTAGAAGTTTAATGAGCTTGTTTTTCAAAAAAAGAAAAGAAAAAAGTTCTGCTTGTTTATCAAAAGATGAAGCATAATTAATTGATTCTGCTACATGTTTTGACCAGAAAATGAGATCATAAAAATGTTTGTGCATAATGAATTCATCATCAGTCTCTATCTCTCCAGTCATTAATTACGCAAAGTCCGAACATAGGCTTCGTTGACTCAAGTAATTAAGTCAACAATCGAATAATTTCTGTCACTGATTCTTCAACTTCTCTCTGCTTCTTCGTTTTCTTTCTTTCCTCTCCCATATTCCAAACTTGTCGCCCCCAATACGTGCCACGAAAACAAACTGTATTTTAATGAAAAAAAAAAACAAAAATTGTGAATATTTTTATTTTCGGTTGATGATCCACAGCGAGTGAGAAAGATGATGATTTTATAAAATAAAAATGCTTATTTTTATTGCGAGTACAACGAAAACAACAACATCAACATCTTCATAAATACACTCGATTCCGAGCCGTTAAAAATATAAACATAAACTCAAAATATTAATGTAAACAATACGATTTCAAATGCCATAGTATGGCAATAAGTGATCGCGCTCGGTGGTATTTGTGCAGTCGCAACACGATTTTTATTCTTTCTCTCTCCCTCTCTGTATTTCTATTCTTGTTCGTTTTCTCTCTTTTCCCCCTCATCTGACTTTTGTATATTTCGTTTAATCACAATCCATTTGATATTTATAACAGACAAACAAGAAAGAAATAAAGAAAGAAAGAAAGAAAGCAAATGAGTAAATGAACGAACGGCAGCAGCAGCTCATAATGTTTTACACAATGTGACCTTTACAGAAATGCGATGAGTGTATGTATACGCGCTCCGGTAGTGAATGACGAGAATATAGAAGAGAATGAACGGTTACAATGTGAAGGATTCGCGCGCACATCTGTTATTTTGGTTGATTCTATTTTTAGCATCACCGTGCAAGAAAAAAAAATCCAAAACAACACATAAATCGATTCGATCTTTTAGAAGTTTTCTTTTTATTCTTTTCCTTTTTTTTTGGGTGGCGGTTACCAGTAAGAACCATTAGCTTGGCAAATATTTATTTAGCAATATGAGGTTGCGGCTATTTATGACGTTGCTTTAGAGAGCCCTTCAAAAGATGTACCTTTGCTTTACTGTTTCGGTCTACACAAATATCCTCGCGCACTGGTGATTCAAATTAAACAGTAAAATAATTTCTCGTAAAATCTCATTTGAATATTTCACAAATTAAAATCTACCGGCTTCCATAATTCATTTTCACTCGAGCTGAACTCCATTAAAAACAAAGTAGAGACGTATGAAGAGTGAGTGAGAGAAAGTTGTAGAATTAGTAATTTAATGATCGTTGGACAGTTGCTTTGTTTTGCGTTCTCAACACAACCGAACGGGTTTGAAACAAAAGAACAAGCTAACGCATAATGCTGACTTTATTTACAGTTCATAATTGTACATAAATTAATTCAAGACGTGTTGGAAAAATGAGCAAAGCGCTGTAAAAAAATAAAATGTAATCATAAAAAATATTGCTAACACGTTCTTCGTTGCTAGTCTCATCATTTTTCTTTTCTCTTTTTGACCACTCACAACTCTAATAAATGTCACTTCATTTTAGGTGATCTGTGAAAAGTATTTAGTTAGCGTAAAAAGAGTGGAAAACAAGTGAGTGTGATAAAACATTTCACAACGTCATGTAGGTGTAAATTTACATTTTTATTTAATTCCCTAAGCGAGCGTGATGTTGTTTTCTCGACTTTTATTGTTGCGTTCAGCTACGGCACTTAACAAAACATATTGTGGAACTTGATTTTCAATTAGGTAATTCTATTATTTACCCTACAGTTTGGGTCGTCTCGCTTTATTGAAGTGATCATGTTTTTTTTTTTGAAAAATGACTTCCTTTGTAAATGTATTTTTTGCGTTAGGTCTTTTTCTTCTTTTTGTTCTCCTTTCTTCTTCTTCCTTTAATTTTTGCTGGTTCTGCATCACCTACAGCCTTTCGCCCTTCACCCTGAAGTGTATGAAAATAATAACAAGAAGATGAAGGAAAGCAAAAGACTTCATTTAAGACACATTAGTGAATATTTTTGTTGTCAATGACTGATACATTTTTGTAATGACACTAAAGAGCTCTTATGAAATTACAATAAATAATTTCTTTTTATAGCGACCAGTCATGCATCAGAAACATAACATTCTGGATTGTTTCATTCTTCCTGTCGCTTGTTCTTCGTTTACTTGAGAGGGAAGAGCTTCTTCTTACGCTTTTTCTTAGTTTTTTTTTATCTCCAGACATAATACTGCATCAAATATTACCCTGTTCAGCATTCACTCTTCTTTCTCATTGCTTAAATTTATTCTTCTTTAAGCGTCTTCAATCTGAGTGATTCACAAGCCAGTGCACTTTCCGAAGGATGATATTATTCAACACATTATGATGCCAGGCACCATTATTTATCGTAAACAAAAAGCTCGATGAAAAATAAAGACGATGTTGGGAGAGAAAAAATGTTGAGCTGTTTTTTGTCAGTTTTCAGTTCCATCATTTGCCATTGAAATCTTCTTGTTATTTTCTTTTCTGTATGTTGTTATTTTTGTTATTTTTTTTTCTTCTTTCGATTAATACAATTTCAAAGTAGCGCGAGGGAGTGAGACGCTGAGAAAAATATAAAGCGTATCGAGTCGACTTAAAATGATATTTCAATGACAAGAAAATGTCACACATGTACATACACATGCATAATATCGTGGTGGAGAAAACCTCGCAAAAAAATAAAAAAATGAAATAAGTTTGTTAGTTAAGAAGAAGCAAAACGTTACATCGTTTTTTTCTGCATACACTTACGTCAAGCTGTGATGTGAGTTGCAAATGATGGAAATATATCAGATGGCATGACTCTTTCTGAATGTTCATATAAAAATAATTTGCATTTAATTACAGTGAAAGAAATGAGAAAACTATAATTTCATGCTTCTTTTGCAGTTTATCTTTTTTCACACATCATCACCAGTTGTATATTTCTAAAGAGTCGCGTAGTCTGAACACTGTCTTTGTATGTTCGTTTCTCGAACTTGCGTCAGTTCTCACTTACTTAATGATGGAACACAAAAAAAAATCATAAATAATTAGAATATAATTGAACGTGTTTCTATGAAAGCCAAGAAATAGAAAGAGAGAGAGGGAGAGAGTGCGAGTCAGGGAGAAAGAAGGAAACATGATAAAGTATGAGATATAATTAAAAAAAGAACTGGTTGTTAAATAAAAAGGGAAGTTAAATTCCTCATGTACACAAAGTGTGGCTATAATTTTTTTAGGAAAAAAAATTATTACTCATGTGTACAGTGAAACATGTGAAAACAATGCTGATAATTAAAATCTACTTTAGTATTTATGCCGACAAGATAAGTATTATAGAGTACAACAAATTAATAAATAGTAAATTTGATTTAAAAAAAGTTTTCTTTTGTTTCCATCTGTAACCAGTGATTTGTCTTCACATGATTTGAAAGTAATTTCGTTATCAAACTTTGTCATTATGGCTTGAAGAACGAAGACATTTCAATACAAAAGCAAATCTGAAGTTTTGAGTGTAAATATCCGAAGAAAAGAAAAAATTTCAACGAGCGTCCGACACGCATCCAATTATTTGATAATTAGAATAATAAATGGTTACAATTTTCGTTTTTATTACATGATTGTTTCGGCATTGTGGGCACTGAACGACAGAGAGAGATAAATGAAAGGCGAAAAGAATCAAAAATTAATTGTAAAAAGGGGAGGCGCTATTACCGGAAAAATCTTATCTCTTTGCGATACGCATTAGAATTGTAGCTTAATGACTTTCCTCTTAGCCTAAAAAAACGTTTTCGTTCATTAAAAAGCAACTTTACGATATGAATAGAGCTTTATTATAATATTTCGTGATAGTTTCAAATTCTTTCTATTTTTCTGGTTTCAGAGCAAGAGCATGGATACGCAACTAGTTTACCCGTTCCGCTTGAGACAACGAAACTTCGAGCGACGACAGCGACTATTAAAAAACATTCAAGGGGTGGCAATAAGAAAACACAGGGGAATAGGTGAGTCTCACAATTTCTAAACATTTCTTTTTTGTTTTCGATGACGTTGCTTGTGAAAAGCAAACCTGAAAGAGTAAGAGAAAAACGAAAAATTGTGTTAATTTGAATGGGGAAACGGACATGTTGCTAACAATTTTCTCTGTGAAATGCGTAGTCGAAAAATATGAATATGCAAGCAGAGCAGTTTGACTGCTTGCTTGCTTATCCCTTTCCCTATTTATATAAGGAGAGTGACAGCAATAACAAACAGCAATGTTTCGTTGTAGAATTATGCCATTAAAATGACAATCAGAAATTAAACTTTGATTATTCATGAAAATCCATGCTTTGACATCGAAATTTCCACTTCGATGGCTCACAATCTAAACAAGACAAATAATAAATATTGGACATGATTGAAAGCTGAAAATAAAAACACTCGTTCAATTAATAACAGCAAAACAGAATATCTATTTGTTTATTTGTTTAGTCGAGGCTCGCCAGGAAAAATATTTTTCAGAGACAAAATGTTGTTTCGATCTATCGAAATATTCAGATGTAGTCATCTTAAATTTTTCGATACTATTTTTATATTATCCAGATTTGATCGCGTGATCGATTTTTTTCATGTTCTCGCTCCACATCCATACTTACTTAGATACTTTTTTTCCCCAATGAAACGTATAATTACGTAATGTTTTTAATTTTCTTACGAGTTTGACGAGAAGAACAATAAATAAACTGGTTTTGTTCTACACTCACACAGCACGCTCTAATCCCGTGCACAAACATTGTCGGCTGCGAGTAAATTATTTCCACTCAATCTAAATGTGATTATTGGAGATTGTCATATGAGTTCAATAACTGCAGTTGTTTGTTTCTCCTTCCTTTCATAGCTACATTCATGCCTCCTGATCAAAAGCAAATGTCATTTAACCAAAGCTTATCTAAATTGCGCTTGTTTTGTAGTAACCTCGACTTTGCCTCTCTTGATAAGATTGCACATTTAATAGTACTGCAATGCACATTTAAAGAGTCTTTCGTTTCGAATAATAATATAGAAAAATGATAGATTCTCATGTCGATGACAGCTTAAAAGATCCTCCAAGTCTATTTTTACAACTTTCGCTTCGTGTTTTGGTTTCACGTCGTCAGCAGCACATTAAAGCAGCCAATTTCCATTTTTTCTTTCTTTCTTTCTGTTTTGCTGTTATTTCTCATTTCTCGGGTGCTATTCAAATGTTGATTTGCTGTACTGTGCTGCCGGTGTTCGAGTTATTTCTTCAGGGTCGAAAATTATCTTTTTAATTTCTTTTCTTCATCGGCCGTTTCCATGAATATTATTTAGCAGCCGTTTTTTTCTTTCATTCTTTTTTTTTTTTTGGTTAATCTCAAAGCATCATTTTCGTTAACAATTTCGTCCGATTTCAGTATTAATTATAACAAAAGGTGATTAGAGTGAACACATAAAAAAGGTGAAACATTGAAACTTGAAAGCAACCACGTCGACCCGAATCGATAACAGACGACGACGAACACACAAAAAAAAAGTCATGAGAGTATCACGTAAACCACCAAGGCGAACATGTTACTTATGTACATATAAACCAAAATAAATAAAAAACGATTTATGGTGCACATTGCACACATGTAAATGATTTCATATTTTAAATGTTGTCCCAAACTCACTCTTCATGCCTTCATGACGACACGTTGGGATATTTATTAAAATTCTGACGCTCTTACAACACTGCCCGAGTTGCTTTCTCAAATTTCTTGTCAGAAACGTTATGACAATTTGGTTTAATAATGGCGAGGGACTTTTTTCATATCTTTTCGTCTTTCGACTTTTACTGTTTCATTTCATTCCATCATGCAGTTGTAATATCACATTGCGTAGCATTTGGAAACCCTTTTAAGTTCCCTTACTCTCATATCTTCTCAAAAAATATTATTCAGGGGAGTTATCTAGATTACAACATAACTAAATAAATAGGTTTAAATAAGATGTAAAATTGCTTCCAGTTGTTCTCAACTGACTCCGATGAATCTTTCCCAGAAGTCAGAATTAAAGAACTGTCCCTGTGCTCGACGATTTTCTAGCGACAAATTTTCTATTAAATTTTCTTGCATAAGCACTTTTTGTTTTTCTCTCGTTTATCTCCATTCTTGCTTTAAGGGAAGACGTGAGGATGAAGAGGGAGGAAATAGATTGTGAAGAAGGCGAAAGATACGAAAATATGTGAAAATCTGTTCTTCACTAACAGATAAATAAATTTGCTAAACAATTTGACAAGAACTAATTTACATTTTTCATGGAAAATGAGGCGGAGAAGACTTCGCATGTTCGACTTCTTCTTGTTCTTGTTCTTTTTTTTTAATTTCTCAACAAGTTTACTGACAATTGAAACAAAAGCAAGAAAACATTGAAAAATTAGAAATAGTTTCATTTGATTCGAAAATTGTCTTCATCTACGAAATAATAACAAAAGATTGTTTTTAATCAATTTTTGTTATGCTCAAAGAACATTGAACTTCTTTCATTATGTTGAATCGACAATTTTTTATTTTGTTTATTTCATTTCTCTGACTTTATGCAGCTAGTGTGGATCTAGTTGGTATTATTCTTATTCTTGTTGGAATCGTTTGTTCAACTGTTGTTGCTATAGTTGCTCGAGTTGGTGGAACTCTAGATGGTCTCGTAACAACTCTAGATGGCTTTGGTTTTGTTGTTGCCGTTGTCATTGTCGATGTCGTTGTTAATATCAGACCAGTTGTTGTTAATAAGGGAAACTGTTTATATGTATATCTTGCTGCTACTCGCAGTCTGTCCATGCTTTCAATGCAATGTCTTCCTTCTTCTTGAAAAACCATTCCGTCAGGACAGGTTGAAATTATTGCTTGACCATCAAGACATGTAATGTAGTTTTGTCTAAAAGATGTGTCAGCTATTAAAGTCTACCAAAGATATTCGCGTTATGTTCTGCACTTTAGCAACGATTATTCTAAAAGCACTTACGTCGTCAGATTGGTTTTGGCAAGGATTTCCTGTTATTAAAGAAATATCTGTTGAAGTGGAAGGACTTGAAATTGTTGTTGTCGTAGATTGTTGAACTTCAATGCACACAAGATCGACTTTGTTGAATTCAAAACCTTTTCTACACTGACTACGAAATGGACGTCCATTAGAGCAATAAATGTAACGTTCAACTGAATATGGATCAGGCACAAAAGTCTACGAAATAAATTTCAAGTAATTTCTTTGTTCTTTACGATCACTCATTATTATTGGTAATTTACACCGTGCGGTAGATCGGAACAAGGGTTCATTGTTTGACCCCCCACGAAACTTAAAATTGACAGAACAAAATTCGAATATAATAAAGCGCGCATTTTATTTTTTATTTTTGCTTCAAAACTTCTTTAATCTTTCAACGTATCTTGAATGAACTTATAAAAGAAACTGTTCTTTTTACCTTCTCCGCTATTTACTTTTATAAGTTTTTCGTGATGTTTGCTTCTTTATCAAATACTTAAAAAGTTATGTTAAAAAATTTATGACTAAGTGAACCAAGCTCAGGAAGTATCGTACATTAAACAACAAGATGTTCACTTAGATAATGAATGTTGTGGGCAGATAAATTAAAGCTAATTCATATGTTTGTATTTCTTAGTGCCACCTTGTTCCTAAACGCCAAAAACCTTCTAAAAACTTCACAAAAAAATGCTATGGTTTTGCGTAAATGGTAAGAAAGAAAATCAACCACAACCTGGATCGTTAGCTGATAATTTTATCGCTAATTCAAACCTGTAAAGTAGCTAAAAGAAAGATTGAAAGATTTTTGTCTGAATAACGACTCGTTAAGCAATGAAATGGCAACATTTGGATACATTGATGTGTTATCGTTTAATAAATAAATGAACCATCGTTGGCACTCCTATCAACAAGTTGAAATCTACAAAGCCTCAGAAAGCATTCATTTGTACATAAAACTATTTACAATTATGGTCAAACGAAATAATCAAACAAAAACGCAAATAAGAAATGAATAGTTGGTAGAAGGTTGAAAGACATGGCAATGCAATAAAAGAACTTTTTTTTCTCTTCCTATCGCCGACATTTCTAACTGTTCTTACCCGCGACTTTGCACACGTGTCTTCTTTTCAATGCCTTCGCAGCAAAATCGAGCTGGTTTTTTGTTTAGTCGTGTACATAACTAACAACCGACGATTTTTCTTTCTCTCGCGCTTATGTAAAGAAATAGTAAACATCGTACAATGTTCTCAACTCCATTATTTTATTGTCTTTTCTTTTTGTTCCAGGTCAACTCACAACGAATTGGAGAAAAATAGGTAAGGTAACTTTTATTTTATTATTAACATTTATCTGTCGTCATTTCGTTTGTTTCGTTTTTTTCTATTACTGCTGCTGTTGCTGCTTAAATATGTTTTTTTTATTCAATCGACGTGATCATAAAAACTTGTTCGTACAAACACACAACAAAAGCAAACACTTAATTTCCCAAATTAGAAACAAATATAAGAAATCTTTTCGTAGAATGAGGCAAGCAAAAAACAAAAAGTTTTTAATAGATTAACTCACCATTCCTGTTCCATATGTTTAAGCGCGCACAAGTCATTATCAGAACATTCAAAGGTGGATAAAGAATAAAATAATTTTCTCCACACATGTCCGTCTGTCTCGAGTATCTATCGATAAAAATCTCAAACGATTCATGTTGCTAACGTAAAGCAGAACAACTTACTAATGGAAGGCAATAAAATGCATGAATTGTAACCATTAATTCACTCACATATCGAACAGCTTTACAGTTAGTTGTGATGTGAAACTTTACTCGACCGAACTTCACTGTTTTAAAACAATTCCCCTCAACTCGACTCTCCATGCCAGTGATGATCATAAATTAGCCAACGCTTTCAAACTTTTCTTTCAGCTGAAGAAGTAGTTCATTAAAAATATTGTTTGTCTAGGAGTTTGCCATTTCTCTGCAACAGAAGTTGTAAACCATGCTCGAAAAAGATTAACATGAGAACGAAGAAGAAAGTTCTAAATTTCAGCAATTTTTTTTATTATTTATATTGGGTGTAACTTGGAAGGAGCGGATTAAAAGTTAGGTAGTAGGAAAGCTTATTATTATTATTTAGAGGAGAATATCAGGAAACGCGATGCAACTTTACTGTCGCTTGTTGAAACTATGTTATCAAACAATGGATAACGAGCACATTCCCAACTTAAATGTGTTTAAAAACTCAATTCAACAACTGCGAAAAAACAATACTACAGTTAAGGAATTCTTTTTTTTTATTTTTCGTTATCAACAACAACATGAAAAGTTGAAGAAATTTAAATTCATTCTGAAACTTCCAAGCGTAGCTTCCACTTGTTAGCAATGAACTTTTTTTATTCGAACTTTTATGTCGCAAATGGGATATTTTCAAACTACGAAAAAAATTGTGTTTGCTTAGTTTGTTGTGTTCTCATATTCTTAAACTAGCGAAAGAACGAGACACATCAATGTTCACGATGAACAACTTTTACAATCCTACTGAAACAAAACGATAAAAAAAAGCGAGGAATTATGAGTTTATGACCATAAATCCATGATTATTTTAATACGAAAGTTGAAATCATGAAATCATAATCCCATGAAAACGGAGAAATGAAAAATCCTTAAGAAATTCTTTAATGGTCTGCTTTAAGATTTTCTTTGATTTATTCACGCGTAAATATGAAAAGGAAAACAATAAATTAATAAAAAGTCCAGATTACTCCACTTGTAACCATAACGATGGAGAATCTAAGAGTTTTGTTTTCAATCTCCCTGGATCGACATCTTAGGATAAGTAAGCTCAGGTTTTCAATGATAACAAACAAAAACTTTTTATCTTATTTTTTTTTGTGTACGCTTCTTCGGCGCTTTTTAATGGAAAAAAAAATGCGAGCAACAGCACAAAAATAGCATCAAATTTTATCTTCAATCTTGTATGTATATTTCTTACGAAAGAAGAATTTCTTTTCTCATTTCCATCAAAAAAGAAAAAAAATAAAGAATCGCGAGCGAGACGAGAATTTTGTTTATTCTGAAGTGACTGGGGCTTCATACAGCGACGCAAATTTCCATTATGTAGATATTCATTACGCTTCTTCATTCTCGTCGTCATCGCTGTCGACGGTTGAAGAAAAAGTTATTAAAATTATAATTCGATATGGAAACTTTCGACTTAAGTTTCATTCATAAAATAAAATAAAAACTTTTCGGAGGAAATTTAAGAGTCATGGAAAATTTTCGAAGCGAAAACAAAGTCTCAACAGAATCCATCCTCAAACTTTAACAAACTCCAAAATGTGCTATGTGCTCATAATATATTTTTTTGTGTGCTGTTGCATAGCTCATTGAGATTAAGAATGGAAAGTTCAAGCCTTTGAAAAAGCATTAAATATGCAAATTTTAATATTTTCCATTAAGTTGCAGACGATTTTCAAAATTGCTTGCATTAATAGATTTTTCTTCTTTTCTCGACAAATCCAATCGAATGTTTCTGTGTTATACAAATGCAAATATAGCGTTGAAAATCCATATATTGAAATGTCTCTCCAATGTGCAATTCTTCTCGTCTTAACAGCACATTTCATTTTCATGAAAGACTTGTGACATGATACTTTTGAAATTGTTATGCAAAGTCTACCTCTAGAGATCTTTTTCAACTCTACATCTTACACACTCCCATGCATTCAGTTGCAATTCAATTATCAATAAATAATTCAATCTTATATTTTGTTCGACTCCATACAATTTCAACGGTAGACTGGGTTGAAAGCGGAAAAGCAAATGATTTTTAAAAGAGCTTTTTAAAGCTTCTTTGGGATTTTATAGCAGATTTCTGATTACAGGCAACAGCTGATGATGAAAAAGTATTTTATCATTTTCATTTTAAGCTTGAATAAGCATTTAGGAGAAAAATGAAAATTATTTGATAAAGGTAAATGCAGAGATGCCTATCTATGTATGCAGTTAAAATAAATGAATAGTTAGCTGTATGACAGCCAAGGGAGGCTTGGCAAATGTTTATCTTGCGCTCGAAAACTGCAATTTTATTATCGTCGTCATCATCATCAAATCGAGTCTTGTAGATGCAGAAAATAAAATAAAGAAAAGGCAGCAACAGCAGTAGAAATCGTTTATGCAATTTTAATCTACAATTTTTCCCTCGTCTCCATAAATTATATTTTTCATTTTTGTCTCTTTCTCAATGCTCGTCTTTGTCTTTATTTAACATTCATAGGAGAGCTCATTTGCGAAGCTGTTTAGAGAGACTGAAAGAAATCGTCCCGCTTGGCTCCGATACGAGTCGACACACGACGCTAGGGCTGCTCACGAAGGCAAAAAGATTCATTAAGGTAAGCCATTTGCCGCACATTTTCCCTTCGCTTTTCATTCATCATACACTTTTCCGTAACACAAGCAATTTTTTTAATTATGAATTTTTATAACTCGCGGGTGTGCGAGCGTTGGTGCAACAAAGGAACTTGAAAAAGGAAACGAGTGGCAGTAGCAAGTTGCAGACATAAATTTTAATGTTGACTTCAAGAATTCTACTTTCTGTTTTATTTTTTAATATTTTTTTTTGTTGGTTTGATACATGAACGAAAGGCAAAAGAATGGCAGCAAATAAAGTCGAAAAGGATAAAAAGTTGGGGAATTTTTTTTGCTCTTCTATTTTTCATCATAATTTTTCTCATTCATTCTGCTATTTCATTGTGCTATGAACAACAATGATCCTTGGTTGCTTTCATTAAAAACTGTGCACAATTGCAGAAAATATCAAAATGAACTTTCGCCTTTCCCGTCGGTTTTTCCCTTTTTTTCATTTTTTTGTGTGTTTGTTGCAATCGCTATCGGACAGTCAGAACGTCGCAAATATTTAAGAGGGAAAGAAAAACGAAAACATTTTCACAAACGATGAGCTTTGCTTTTGTTAAAAGGCTGGTTGGTTAGAAAAACAAAGATAGGATGAGATGATGTATTGAAGTGTAGAGAATATTCGACAAAGGGTGGAAACGAAAGAAAATTAAGAATAAAAGTTTTCGAAACCGTTCATCGTTAGTTTTAATCATAATGCAGCAGTTGGTTTGCAAACTTAGCACTTCACACAAAATGGAACAAAGAACTTCACTAATTCATCAGAAACAATCATCTGCATTGGGCCAATTACCCAATCAATTTCTTACAATGAAAATCAAAAATTAAATTAAAAAACATTCTCCCTTTGTGACTAGACATTTTCAATTCAATTTAGAAGCAATGAAAGCTCAACGCATTGCATTTTCGATGTGGTTTTGGCTAATTATACGATTTCATATTATAATTAACCACTCGTATAGACTAAAATGTTCACCAACCTTTGATTAAAATCAACAATAGAAATGAAAAGCTGAACATTTTCCGCTATCATGTTCTTGTGGCACTTGTGTCGTTATATTCACTACAGTAATTAGTTAAAAACAACAGAAGATTGCAAGTGGCGAACAATTCTGTCACTGCTCTCAGGACACAATAAATTTAACAAATTATGAAATATGTGACATTAAAAGCACGGAAAACTTTAATAATATTTTTTTTCTGTCTTTTGCTGTCTGTTCCTGCTGCTACTTTTTTTTTATTTTAACTTATCTCGTCTTTTTTTTCCTCTCTTTATCGTTCATCATGCAACTGACTTGATATCATTGTAATTTAGATGAATTATTTGCTTCATTTTAGAGGACTTTTCCTCATTTCATCATTTTCTTCTTCTTCTCTTTTTATGAAACAGAATTTAGAGCGCAAGGAGAAACATCAAGCGACGCAATTAGAACAATTGACAAAAAAGCAAATATTTTTGAAATGGCGTTGTGAACAACTGATTTCTTACAATGAAGCGCTCTGTAAGAGACGATCTGTATCGGAATGTTCTACCTCTACCATATCGAGTACAAATTCATATGAACTTACTAGATCATCGTCATCTATCTGTGAATCAGGTGGGTTGGCTTTAATATGTTCATTTTTCAGCCTTAAACTGAATGTTTTTTTATGAAAATTGGGAAGAGATTATTATGGCAAAATATTATAATCGCTCAATCCTTTTGATTAATAAATAAATCTTGAAACTAAGAAAAGATGAAGCAAACTCTTCTTTTGGTTTTTGCATATTTAATGAAGGAAAATTATTCAAGCAATGAGATTTCAAAATGAAAATGACTTTAAAAATCAAAACAGAAAATTAAGAATTCATGAAATCATCAGTACGAGGCTTTTATACGAGTTGAGTTGAGTTGAGTCGTATCGCAATATTCTATCTTTAACATATTCTAATGAGAAAACATAAATTTGAATGTTTGTCGAAAGTGCAAATAAATAAAAGCTGGCTGGAGAATGCAGGAACGTAATTTATTTTCGTTTGCGTTGTTTGCGGTATGCACCATAGCCACTGGTCTTATTTTATAATTTTTTGCTTTGTAATTATTCGTTTCACGCGGTGTTGTAGAGAGTTTTAGCTTAGCAAGCCATCTAGCTTGCTAGCCTTAGTGGCAACAGCAAATAAATGATATTTACATTTTAATAAAGAGCGAAAACCACGTCAAACGGTGTCAACGTGGTTGAAAATTTATACTCTAAGATAAAAGGAATGTCAGGAGGAGAGAAAGAGAACTTTAAATTTTATTAGTGCTTTCTGCTTCCGTGCAACAATAACTTTTACTCCGCATGGTTTGTCGTTTACTTGCTTGCCATGAACACAGAGGAACAGTAGAAATTTGAGTGAATGTGTTTATTCTATAAATTTAACTCATGCTTTCATAGAAATTCTTTTCATGTTTTATCACATTAATGAATTCATTATGCTTTATTTCTATTCTTTATTTCTCATCTCCCGCCTCTTTTTCGGAATATGTACAAAACTTTTCTGAGGCAAATGAGAGAAGAAATGAAAGTTGTGTGTATTATTATCCATTTTTGGATGATAGTCATCACCCCAAAAAAGGGTTACTCAACTGAACAATTTATGATGATGAATAAATTACTTCAACTCTTAACTCTTGGCCTATTCTATTCTTCATCGCTCTGCTTTAGAATTTCAGATGGTTAAATGTTGAGACATGCGATGGTGCTAACAAATTTTCAGTCGGTGCTAAAAGAGATTGTTAAGCATAAACCACGTTGATCTATAAATAAAGTTCGAGCCTCATGACTTTAATCTGTTAATCTCTGTAGATACTTTTACTTGTAAACTTTTATCAATGTTTATATTCAACCCCGGAAAAACAATAGTAACAAAAAAAGAAGAAGAAAAAAAATGAAAACATTTTAAAACTTTCCAACACTTTAGGGATAACAAGTTACAAAGCATGCTAGCTAGAGAGATAGATACATAGATGCGAGGGAGAAGCAAGAAGGGAAAGAAAAGGAAAGAAAAATCCATTCCTCATCAAAACTTCATATTTTAACTCGATGGATGTTCGGTTGGATGGAAATTGTCGATTTTACTTTCGCTAAAACTTTTCTTACGCTTCGTTCATCTTCTTGCCCTCTGGGGAGGGATCCTCAAGCTTCTCCCACCGCTACGAAAAATCTGAAATGGAAAGAAATCTCAGAATTTTCCTCATTTTCGGGTTAAGTTTTCCATTCCATCTTTTTCTCTTTGCCTTTCCTTTTACTTGGGGTTAACTTCAAGTTCCTTCGAGTTATATAATTTTGAATCCATTTCATGCAGAATTAATAGACGTGTTTCCTCAATCTCCTTTCGTATTCTTTTCGCCACTGACTGCCACACATCTAGCACATACACATTATGCTTGCTTTTTCTTTCCTTTTTTTTAGAATGATACAGTGTAACAAATTGTTTTCCTTCTTTCTCGCCTGCTCTCACTCTCTCGCCTAACCGCCTTTATTATGTTTGAGTAAAAAGGCAGAAATAAAATAGAAGTCAATTTTGTCAGGGAATAAAATAAATGGAAATTTTTTCCTTCTGCCTTTTTCCTTTCCCTGTTTCCTTGTGAGAGTTTCGTGTTTGTTTGTGTGTTGAAGCTCATATTTTCCTTATTCCTTATACATTCGTCTTACAACCATTGCCATTGCCATTGAAGAAAGCAAGAACGTTGTAGAAGAAAAGTAAAGAAAGGAAGAAAAGGAAAATAAAGCAGGCAGAGAAGCAGAAGGAAATTATAGTCGAGTAATATATACGAACGAGTTCAGTGGAAAAATCTCATAATATTTTCACATTTCAACAATTCAAATTCACATTTTTGGGATTTTATTCTTCTTTACTTCGCTTTTCTTCCTCCATTCAAAGAAGAATCAGCCCCATGCATATATGAAGAACGTGAGGGCTGCTGCTGCCGCTGCTGCCGATATTTGGCACAAAAAACGCTTAAAAAGCTTTTATGAAAGCGAGAAAGTGTGAGAAACGAGAAGCAAGACGAATGCCATAACGAAAAATAAACAATCTTGATATATTCGCTATAAAAACATCACATTCTAATTTTCATATATATTTTACTTATTCTCGTGTAAATAAATTCATACATCATTGTTGAAATTGGGGATAAGTTGTTGGGTTTGAATCGACTTCGGAATGGAACAATGTTGTTTTCATTCATTTTTCTTTCTTTTTCAAGCAAGCTACGACGAATCGCATCAGTGAAGATGAATAGAAACTGCAATATTTACCTTATAAAAAGACTTTTGTACTTATTGTTGAAAACCAACACTCGTTTTATGAATAATATAAAATGCATAATTGCAAAAAAATAAATCCGCCGGGAGTCAAGAAGAGAAAATTTTTCTTTCAAACTTTTTTTCCTTCTTAATGGAGAAACTCATTTTCCTTCTTTTTTTTGCATATTTGCAAAAGAGAAAGAATTTGTCTTGAAAGTTTTGGGGAAGTTTTGTCTGTAACGTTTAAATTCTGATTAAGCTCTTGTGACAAGTTATCCGTAAGTCGACGGGCTTTTCATACTGGCACAAGAACAATAATAAAGAAGAAGAGGAAAAAGCTTTTCTATAGATTCAATTCAACTGCTAAAAAGCTCTGCGTCTATTTTCCATCTTTTCTTTCCTTTTTCTTTTTTATAACTGCTTAGCAATGCTGCTATGTTTCGAAGCAATTTTCTTTCCGTCTTATAATGATACAAAATGCTTTCTCTCGAATCATATTCATTTTTCGTTTCTACGATGAATGAAGATGGCAGCGGCAACAAAACAAATAGAAACGACGACGCAGAAATTTATACACGATAATATTTCTCCATTTATATGCAAAAAAGAATTAAATCACAGATTTCAAGCACTGAAGTAGCACACTCAGTTGAAACAAGAAGCACAAACACAACTCGAATAAACATGAACGTTTTCTACCCTAAAGAAATCAACATGAATGAATGAATGAATGAATGGGAAGTGAAATGAAAATAAAAAGTTTTTCACTTCTAAATTAAAATTGAAATCACGTCGAAACTTAAATGTATATCAATTAAAAGCAGCTTGAGGGATACGAAATCACGTATTGGATGTAATTTATAGAAAATTTATTGCAACGCATGGTATTAGATTAAGTTTGTGTGTTATGTGTGATTACTCTAAGCCTTAATGCCCTACAGGTGAAAGACAGACACAAACTTTTGTTTTGTTTTCTACCAACTTTCCTTCTCCCCAAATTTCAACAAATTCACTGAATCACAAACATAACTTTTTCAGAAAACGAACATTCAGTGATGTTGGATTAATAAAAGTTTCCCATACTTTCAACTCTTTCCTTTCGACTTGCACATTCACAATCACGTTCCATATATATTTGAGTCTTTAAGGTAGATCAGAGCGATGAAAACTTTTATGTTTACAACTGTTTATATTTTTCTTATGCCATGTCATAAGCTTTTCTCTTTCCAGCCACGTTAAGCTTTTAACAGGGAAAATATTCAAATGAGGAAAGGTTTTTCTTTCTCCATCATAAGTTTTTCTTTGGCATAACTTCTCCTTGTTCTTCTTCCTCAACAACATCAGCACTCTAGGGACAATTCTTTTCTTTTCTCTTTTTTCTTCTTTTTATCTGAGAAAAATCGTTTGGATAAATGAAACTTTTCAAAAAGGGGGATTTTTATGAAGCACTTTAAGTGTTCACAATAAGCCGAAGCTTTTATTTCCCTTGAAAATTCAATAAGCAGGAGGTGTCTTCATTAAAATAATATTTTGCCATGAAACATTAAGCATTTGAACGATAAAGTTGATACAAACTTTTGTTTTCTCGCAATTTTCTTTAGATGAGATCGACGTTATCGGGTTCAGCAGCAACCAATCGGATTCCGATGATCATTTGTCGGTACAGTCACTGAAGTCAGGCGGATCTGTCGATAGTGGCGTTGTTTTGAAGTCCACATCGCGTTTGACTTTAAGCTCCACTGGTAAAACTGTTATTGCATAGGTAAGATATTTATTGATTATTCTTAACGTCAAAGTTTAAGACTCGCAAACAACTGAAGCATTTTTTACACTTCAGTGGCTTTCATTGATGCTTCATTATTCAATATTAAATTCTAAATAAATTATAGCGGGTAAAAAAGAATAAATTGTACGTTTCACTGGAGCTTTCATCAGTCTCGTTAGCTTCTCCTTGTTTATCATCATCATCGATGTTTATTATTTTTCAATAAAGCATCGAAAAAAATTATTGCACGCTCAACTGATCACCAATTTAATGTTTTTATTTTTTTCTTCTCATTTTTTTTCAATCTCTCGTCAACACAGGATAACGATAATCTTAACAAGAAAATGCACATCCAATAAAATTTATACGTGCCTCTTTAAAAAAGGATGAAGATAAAAATTGTTTAAAAAGGTTTGAGATGATGAAGAAGAAGACGAAAAAAAAAGTGAAGAAGTTGTCGCTCTGCAGCATCAACCAGCGAGGAGAAATAAAAATAAAAATGAGATATCAAAGTGAAAAGAACACATGTTAGATGTATCATAAAATATTAATGAGAGATGATGTAACATAACAAGCAAACAGTTTTTTTTTGTTTTTGTTTTTGTTTCTTTTTTGTAAAAGCTCAGATGATGAAAAAAAAAGAATTGAACTCGACACAACTTTTCAATTCTTAACTTTGGCGTATTTTGTATCTGTTTCTTTGATGTATTAGCTTTTTGGACTCGAGACTTTAATTCAACTCACAGCTGAGAAAACGACTGAAGGTTCTTTTTAAAAATATATTTAAAATGGTTATGATGCGAAACGAAAGGAGAAAAATGTTCAATTGCATAATTAACAAGCATAGAGAAAGATGTTCCAGATTGTCCATAGATGTAAGTGAAAAATAAATTAAAGGCAAACAATTTTTAAAAAGCCATGACGTTGTTTATCGATTACGTTCTTATCGCATGATTTTCTTGAGCTTTCAATGAAAAGCTCTTTTTTTTTCTTCGTGTATTATCGATGGTCATCGCCTTTATCGTCAATTCTTCACTCAATTTTTAATCAATCTTAACTCATTTTATCTATGACATCAACAGAATTCTATTTGAAAAAAGAAAACCAAACTTTGCACAAGAAAAAAAAGAAAAACACTCTCATTCATTTTTACGGAAAATATGAACTAATCGATACTTTCTCACAAGCGAAAGGCATGAAAGACATGAAAGAAAAGTAAAAAAAAAATATATTTTGTTAATAATACAGAAACTCTTGATAAAACTCTTTTGTCTTTTTAGAAAAGGTGGAAATGTTTAAAATGAAGCATTACAAAAATAATAAAATAATTAAATGTGGTAGATGATAATCGTCACGTCGTCGATTTTTCCCTCTTTTTCTCTTCCTCCCAGCCCCTCGCTTGAAAATGTTTATAAATGCCGCAAATGTCAAAAGCAACTTTTCCTACGTACATACATATATTTATATGAGAAAATTGATGAGAAAAAACTATTATTATCTAAATATTAGTGAACTAAACTGATGAATAAAAACGGTAGAGTGACAAACAATAATACATAATGAATGATGATAATAGTAAAACAAATAAATGAAAAGCTTTCAATCATACGGAGCAACTGTTTCCTTTTTTCTGTGGTGTTGAGGACGAAAAGAAAACAGAAAGCAGAAGACAAAGAGATAAAGAATTTTTAATAGAAGAGGAAAACTCAAAAAAAACGAGAAAAAATGTTTTACTTTCTTGCAATAATAATGAAAATTTACGGCACTTGCACCTTCTTAAATTATAATGTTTTTCAACTGCCTGCGAATGAGAACAGGTGAGAAGAATGATGGAAAGGAAGAAGAAGAATAAAAAAAGAAGAAATTGAAATTCAGTCGTGACAAATTGCCCGAAAATCGCACGAAGGTGTAGAGAGCAAGTGCACTCACGAAACCAAAACGTGATCTCCTTCAATAATAAATCCACCGTACTTTATATACTTTTTTTAAACGTAATACGAGGGCATTAACGTTGTTCCGACCAACAGATAAAGGATGAAAATGATTTCACAAAGTGTCCAGTTGAAGCTTCGTGGTTTGAGCTACCTTAAAAATGGGAAAGGGAAAGATTTGTGACGTTACAAAACTTATTTCATTACCGAAATGTAATTTTATGTTTTGTCACAACATAAATTCTTTTTCTATCTCCCTCTTTGCTAGACGGAAGCCTTTTTGTCGTTCTGAAGTTAACCACACGGCACGTTCGTTCTTAACTGGAAAAACCCGAATTTTCCTTTACGATTTCCTCGGAGAGGCCGTAAAAACTAGAAATTGAGTTTTCACAAAACTAAAAAAAACAAAAGTTTCCACAAGCCTCAACTCCTTGTCATATATTTTGATAGCCAATCAAAAAAAGTTCCTTCTTCGAAGTTAGTTCATTTTCATTTTCGTCATGTCCGGGGCCGGCAGAAACTTAAGCCATCAATTTCAACTGGGCACTTTTATCATCAATCGGAATAAGAAAAAGAAAAAGAAAAAAAATTTCATTTTGAAATCGAAAACCAAAGTTTTTTTTTGTTATTTTGTGCTTTATTTTGGAGAATCTTTACATTTCTCTTATGACATCCGATAAAAATTGTCTTTAATATGTATCCCGTACCGACCATAAAACTTTGAAGAATAAAGAAGGAAAAGAAAAACTATCAAATTTACATATTTTTTCAAGCAATAAAAAGCATTCATACACACAGTCACATACACACACATGAGAAGTAGTTTTTTACCCTTTAATGACTTCAATTCTAACAGAAAAAAAAGAATAAAAACTAAAAAATAAAAGGAAGAAGTTTTTGCATAAAATTAAATAAGCTGATATGATGTAACAAAGAAGTGTTGAAATTGGGAAGTCGAAAGATTTTGTATGATGATGATGATGATGGAAGCATTGATGGAAATAGCAAAAAAACTGAGGCAACGAGAAATGAGAGAATATGAAAAATATTAAGAAACTTAATAATAGGTTTTAAGACAAAAAAAATTGAAAGGCATAAAAGTTGTGTTAATAAATGAAACATGGTATAATTGTTGGATGAAAAAGATGAAGGAGTAACAAATAATTATGACTCAATTGTAATCAACGAAAAATGGAAAAAAAAACTTCAAATTGATAAAGAAAATTTTATTAGCTTTCTCATGAAAACGACGCGAAATGATGAAAGACGAAAGCGTTGTAAGATGTTTTCTTATTTTTTTTCTTTGTGTTGTTAAATATATTCAGGATAATGAACGAGCTCGTGGAGCGAACACAACACTTTGTAAGAAAGCCAAAAATCCAAAATTAATGATTCTTCATCATCCCTCCGTACTTTAGCATCGCCGTATACGCTTGAAATGAACCCGCATTGCTTCCTTTTCTTTGCTCTTCCTTTCCTCCCGAAATTATCGTTACCCCATCTTTTTTGTGTTTCTTTATCGCTCTATCTCTCTCTCTCTCTCTCTCTATCTCATTTATTAAAAATCAGAATCGCAAAAGTTGTGCAAAAATCAATATTGAAACTTAGTAGATGATGAAACATTGATGAAACATGATAAATGATGATATAATTTTGAAGTACAAAAAAAATTATTTAAAAAATAAAATTAAAAAAAAATACGTGAAATATTACTTGTAGAGCACTGATGTGTTATGAATATTAACAAACAAGAAATTAAATAAAATGTAAAGTTATCTCTGAAAAATAATGAATAACAAAATTGTCTTTTTTTATTACTTTCGTTACGTAAAATCTAATTGAGATATTCGTGAGGAAATGTCGACTGAGTGATCAAAGCTTGTTTGATTTCTCTTCTTTCTTACTTTGCTTCACGAAGATTACAAATTTAATTAATTGTGTCATCAAAAAGTCGTCGAATTGAGAGTTTGGGGCAAATTTTTAATTAATGGTTTTTATTTCTTTCAATGATTTTTAAAAGAAAGTTTCAAGATTTTTTTATCACCGGATCAGGTTGCAGTTAATTCTGTTGAATTTGTTTTTTTTTCGTTTGATGCCTGTAGGCAGTTTTTTGTTTGTTTCAGGTTCATTGAACTGGAGTTGACGACCGCAGTTAAACTTCCGTTTCTGCACGAAGAATCTAATCTCCTTAATCACTTTGGTAATCACATATTTCTTTTCAATTAAGAAAGGACAAAAGTTGAAATTGAAAGCATTTCTTATTGCTAACAATATCATCATCCGGTTTAATCAAAAGTAAGCCAAAAAAAGGTCGCAAAAAGCGAGAGGAAAAGTGCTGAGAAGACAAAAGAAAATCCTCGGAATATTCATATTGAAAATTGAAAATAACAAAAAAAGGAAGAAAAGAAACTCATAATCATGAGATTTTCATTTGTTCCAGAATAAGAAACATGATTGCGATGTTGAATTCATCCGCGAACCTCTCCATGGATTCCGTTCTAAAAAATAGATTTCAGATCCAGATATTTTTGTGTGCGAGCGTGTTGCTACAACGCATGAGCAGCAAGCAAAGTCAGCAGAGAACAACAAGAAATTTTTTTAATGTGGAGCTGTCCTTCATCTATAATTTACTTCATATTAATTCATTTCTGCTTTTCTTTCACTCACAATAGTGATTTAATGGAAAAAATGCTTTCGTTCCCTGTTTTCTCTTCCCAATCCCCGCTTTCATTCCATTTCGTGTTGAAGCAACAGGAAAAAACTTTCTTTCGTGGAAAATATTTCTTTCTTTGACGTTTTTTTTTCTGTTTTAGAGTTACAGAAAAGCGATTCTGTTAGAAAAAGTTTTCCCTTCGGCTTCCTTCCCAGTCCTTACAAACTAATGACAATTTCCACGAAACATTCAACGAAAAATGGAATAAAGTGACATAAGTGAAAAAGAGTAACTTTCATGATAGGTATAAATCGATTTGGGTAAAGTGAAAAACGAAGAAAAAAAGAAGGAAAATTTGTCACTTTATGTGACTGTCGCCATTGCCGCATTCCCATTCCATCTAAAGACACAAGAAGTCGTCTAGCTGCATTTGATATTCTTAAGCAACTCCTGATTACTACTCATGGCATGTCAAATGGAAATTTCTCCTTGCCTGTATTTAATTTCCTCGTTTTCCTCGAAAAGAGAGGAAAAAAATATAAAAATGAATGAGAATAAAAATAAGAAGAAGTAATGAATAAACTTTAACAGGAGTCATTTATATTAGAATCTATAGCTTCCATTCATTCATTCGATGGGCTCTTTAATTCATCGCCATCATTTCGGGAGACATGATCAAAATAAATGACATGCTACAATGTCTCCACTCACTCGACAACAAAATTCTAGAGATAAATTGTCGGACACGAATTTATTATTCAATTTGTTTATATTTTCTTTCATTTCGACGCTTATTTTTCGTGCTCATCTCCATTCTCCCACATCTACACGTCTAATTTTTCTTTTTTGTATTCTGAATGTCTTCTGCTTAGTCGAATTTCGATTTCATTCCGATTGACAATTGGAAGATGGTAACTGATTAATTTTTGATATTCACAAATGTTTCAAATTCACCCATAACCACCCACATCAACCTTTATCTCGAGTCTATACAACTCCTTCAAAATTGATTTCTTATCTCGTTTCCATTCTCATACGTCGCTTAACTTTTGATCTTCTTCGCCATACACTGGTGCATTTGAATTTTCAATGTTTTGTTTTGTTCCATTTGTGTCGTCTTGCTTTGCTTTCATCCACTAACTCACTCATTCCTTTCTTCAATACGTATCGCCATTCAAACAAATGGATTCAATTATTCATTTGAAAAACGAGACCGAGAGAGAGCGAACGTTGTTGATTCCTTTTCATTTGCCATTTTTCAAATCAGCAGCAAAGCAAGAAAAATATTTCACGAAGAAAAAGGGAAAGAAAAAAAAAATTCTTGTCGTCATGTCTTTACAATCATCCTGAAAGAAAAATATTTTTTGTGGCTTTATCTCGAAACATTTTCCTTCAAAGTTTGAGATGAGAGAAGAAAGCACAGCACAACAAGAAAATGCTTTTCCTTTAAACTTGAGATGTGGATAAAATATAAATCAATTTTTTTCCATACGATATAATAAAAAGCGTACACAGATACATTCATTTATCTGGTAAGTTATTATGATTTATGATTATGATTTCTCATTATTAATACTAAATACACATATATAATTTTCTCTGTTGAACCCAAAATAAATTGATGTTGAAACTCCCACGATCGATGCAAAAAGAATTTCATAACTGATTGCAATTAAAAGATTCAGAGACGAAGGTAAGAAATAAAAGTTAATTGTGGAAAGATATCGAATTTTTGTCAGGGCGGTAAATGAAAATTATACCATACAAGTAGATGACAATTCGATTTGTTTCTTCTCCAATTCAATAATTAATTGATGAAACATCATTTTCATTACCAGGTCCATTGCCACATCGTCATCGCCGTCACCATCATCATCATCATTGTCGTCGTAAAATGAAGAAGAATTTTCATTTTTCTGTTTCTCTCATCAGTCTTCTTTTGAAATATTTTGACTAAACTTAAAGTGAAAGGGTAAAGAAAAGAAATGTCACTCGAACCCGAGAATTGTTAAAAGAAGAAGCAACATCTTTATTACGATCGGAAAGATAGATGTTGGGAGGGAGACAGATGGATGTTTGGGTGAATAAGGAAGTTCCAGGGTTTTGACACCAAATCTGTCATGATATTAAGTGGGGGTGGAAGGAAAGCTTGATTGAATAAATGTTCAGATAATTAAAATATTTCCTTTTAAAAGGATTCTTTGTAAGTTTTTTTTACAAAAATGTTTAAAAGGTATCTAAAAGCTTTAAGTTTGCAAATGTTTCCACAACCACATAAGTAATTTTTCTCTTCAACCCAAATCATCAAAGGAATGTCAAGTTACTTCAATTCCTATCTCCTCCCACTCATCAATATCCCGACCAATAGAACCATGAAATTTCATTAAATATTTAATTATAAAATGAAAAGCAAAGTTTTTAAAAGTTGTGTTTACGTACGTTTAAGATGATAAATAAAATTACTTTCATTAACAAAAATTAATTTAATGGCTTTTAAATCAATCTTTGAAGAGGACGAAAATCTTCTCATCTTCTTTTCTAAGAAAAAAATAATAATTTTGTTTAAAGACCTTTCTTTAGAGAAAGCCACTATTGACTATGACTTAAAATGTGTCCATGAGATGGTTTGTTACATTTTCTTCTTCTTTAAGGCCATAGGGAGTAAAAGATGAAGGAAGTGAGTGAGTGAGCGAGAGAAAGAAGCAGAGTGAATGTATCAAAAACCGATAAGAAAACAAGTTTGAAGGAGAATTAATATGTATCGATTGAGATGGGAATGTTGGTGGATAGCGATTGAAGGGTGGAATGGTTGGGGAAGTTGACTGAAAAGATGAATCGGACAGAAAAGGTTTTAATAGTCTCAGGAGGGGTTGAAAAAGGGATCACAGCACGAACAGCCTGAAACGTAAGAATGTCAAACACCCAACAAATTTGAAAGGCAAAATCTTTTAGCATTATTTGAGAAATTTCTACTTTTCTCTATCCTTCCACTTTCATATAAACAACTCTTACACACTCTCACGTACACTTCTACAAGCACACTTTTTTATCATATTCGGTACAGTACTGTTATGTCTTTTGTGTCGATACCCTTTAAATATCGACATGCAAAAACAGATAGAAATGAGCTTTTTGTCATGTGCTTTGATACGAGAAAAGATTTTATTCTTCTTTTGAATTCAGCTTTCCCTTAACGGGTGACTAACAGTGAAACATTTTTTTAGGAAAGCATCAGGTTTATTGTCATCATTTTCAATGATATTTTCTTTTCCTTTCTGACCGACACCCTGAGGCAAGTTTTCGAAGCGAAAATCCTTTCGTTCGATACGATATTATCTATTCAATGTTGTCCTCAAACCAATGATTCACCCTTCTTTCGTTCATTCGTTTCTCTCATCCCCAATCAACAAAGCAGAAGTAGAAGCTTCGCTCATCTCGTGTTGTTTTTTTCTCAATGAAACGTAACTTAGAGCTCATTCTTTTGCTTTGTGTCAGTCATTTTCATGCTATAATAATGCCATGATAAAAATGTGTGTAAGTAAGCGCATGCAAGGAAATGGAGATGGAGGAGAGGGACGATGAAAGAAATTATGTATGCGAACATCGCATAATATTTTTCCAAAGCAGTTCAAATATGAAATAAACGACGGCATCGAACGAGCTGCGTGGAGGGCAAATGGAGACGGAAACCTTTTCAAACTTTTTTTTTTCTTCTTATTTTCTTTCAGGATTGAACAAGTTTCGCTTTTCTTACGCAAAGAAAGCAAAAAAAAAAACGAGAAAAACATCATAAAGAAAAACTGCTTCTTGAGAATCTGTAAACATTGCTGTTTTTATTAAACAAACAAAAATGCAAATTTAATGATGATGTATTCAAATGAGGGCAATTCATCGAGTGGGCGGAGAATACAAAAAAGGGAGAAAATTTCATAAAATTGTTTGTTATCAATGAAAGAAAATAAATTTATGACACCTGATTTGGATTTTAGCATGAAATATTTTCTCTCGTTTTGATTCCGATTGGAATCTCATTAAAGGGATCGTCACTTAGTTTAGTCACAAAAGGAAAATTTAATGACACAACAAGTGATTCCTTAAAATGTTGATCGTTTTACATTTTTGTTTTGTTGTGCTGTTGAATGAATATTCATTAGCCGAATACCTAGCAATAAAACGAACAAATAGGTATTTCCATATTCATAAAAAGTTTTAAAGTTCTTCATGAAATAATTGAAGATAAGTTGGGAAAATACTTTTCTGTATTTATTTGAAATGAACATGAAGCCAACTAACATTAGAAGACTTTTTAATTGTTCAATATTAAGTTGCCAATTAATAAACTTCAACTGCAATCATGGCTTTTGATGAATGTTTTATTATTTTTTCTTTCCTTCTACCTGAGCTTAAATCATAATCGCAGCCATTTAATTTCCACATTGATATTTGATATTTTCATTCTGTTGCCATCGTCGTTCGGCAAGGGAAAAGAAGAAGAAAAAAAACTTTTAATTGAGCTCCACTATGAATGAGATTTTCAAGCTATTCACCATGTTGAAAATATCCATAATAATAAAATATGCTGTGTAAGCATATTACCACACGTTGTGAGAACAAAGAAGGAAAAATGTTATAAAACTTTGATGTTGGAGTCCTTTTTATTATACAATTTCTCCATCTAAAGTCACCCATTCTCACTCATTCTCTTTGCTCTGTCTTTTCACGTTTTGTGTGTTTGTGAAATTATTATTCTCATTGCTGTTGCTGCCTCCGTCGGTGCCTCTTGTCCCCCTGGAAATGACAAATCCTTTTACTGATTTTCGAATGCTTTCATCTACATTTCTTTTGATGGCGCTCGCACGCCGCTCACCATGGAATATCAATTTCGTGAATTATAAATTTCAGCTGTATCGCATGCATGTACGTGTTCTCGTGTTGTGTAGCAAAAACTCCACTGCTTGCTTATTGGAAAGAAATAAAGCGCGAAACATCGCCGGATGTACGTACATTGCGAGCTATATGTTTAATGAAAACGTCATTTAGTAACACGAAATAAAGCTCTTTTGTATTCGATAAAGCCCATTCAACTTCCTCCCATGCTCCTCCCACCCACACTCAACCCCACTATCAGGGCTTATAGAAGAAAGAAAAAAAACTCCTGACGCTCAAACATAACTTGTTGAGTCAACAGAAATGTCCAATCTGAGAAAGAAGAATGGTGGGGGAGGGAGAAATGAAAAGAAAAACAGAAGAATTATAATTTTCCCTCGGCATTTCGTGGCTGAGCGAAATTATTTATAATTCAAAAACCATTGAAAGAGTTCGCTTGCTTTTTTCCGTGATACTTACATACATAAAAACATGGAAAATGTAAAGCAACACCCGAGAACGATAGAGCGATGAACATTCATATATGCATAAGTCTTTGGGAATCAGAAATAGAAAGGTTGTATTTAAGCAAAATCAAGTATAATGTTTGACTTGAAGCAACATCACCCTGTCCGCGTGTACGAATAAATTTATTATAATTTCAAGTCTCTTGAAACGTCGAAACACGACAACAAGTCATGGGAAATTTCTCGATTTTTTACGTGAAAACTTTTCACTTGTCACATAGTAAAAAAAAAAGAAAAAGTTGATACATTTTTTAGTATGCGAGCTGAAAATATGTTCAGGCATAAAGATATCTATGTAGTGAAAAACACAGCCGAAAGCATGAATAAAATATTATTGAATGACGAGAGAAGTTATGAATTGTCAGTAGTAACGTAGATAATGGAGATTTATTATAAAATTCTTTAAGCATTACAGTAAAACCGACGATGTTTCTACGTCACTGCGCGACAGTGCGGGAATTTTTGATTTGAATTTTGCTCACACAACCGTAAGTTTCTTTTTTTCCTCTCTGCTTTATTTCATTTTTTTCATCGTGATATGAACTTGCATTTTAACCCTCAGATTTTTATGAAAACCATTTGATATGAAGACGATGATGGCCTGGAATAAGCATAAATTATCATTTTTCTACATAATTTTTATTTATGCTGTGAAATTTAAATTATTCTATGCTTCAAACAAGGCTTCTTCAGAGATTAGATTGATTCTCGTGTATGTTTAACAGTGTTTGTTTGATATTCAAACATCCCTCTGGAAGTTATCTCCAGGCAATAAATAAAAGAAAAGTTCAAACGAATCTTCTGTCCAATCCACCATCATGGAAATGAAAAAGAACGAAAATTAAAAATAAATAAATACTTAGCTTACAGAGAAGAAGAGTCAGGCTCGTGGATATAGCTCGGCTTTCTCCTATTTTTTAAATTATTATTTCAGTGAGTCTTCCACGAAAATAAAATAAAGAAAAAGCGAAAAAACTTCTGCATTTTATTAGCGTTGGCCTAGACAACATTTTCCCTTTTTCATCGTAATGTTCGTTATAGAAAAAATGTAAGTGAAGAAAAAGGAAAACTGAAACAAGATGTAAATTTACATTCAACTAAAGTTTAAGCAAATAAATTAAAATTTTCTATCTCGCCTGAGCGGTGTTGAATGCGGGGGTTGCATAGTTGCTGCTTGAGTGTTAGTATAAATGTGCCTTCTGAATTCACACTGCATCGTACCAGACAGATGAGAAGTGAGAATGTTTTGAAATTTGATGTGTATGCACATGATACAGCAAACTTTTTACATAAATAAATATTTGATTCACTTAGCATGATGAGTTGGAAAACAGAATAAAAGAGTCAGTCACCCTTGAGGGAGTTATGGGAATAATGTAACATAAATGAGAGTAATTTTCAACTTTTTCCGTTTCTAATTTTACGTCTGGTCTCTTAAGAGAATTATGAAAAATATATTTTATTATATTTTTGTGTAGGTAGAGAAAGCAGAGCTTGCAAAGTTCTTAGATATTTGATAAAAATATGTTGCATGTTGCTTATTTAGTTTAGTTTTATTTTAGAAACTTTGCTTAACTTTCACAGACGAATTGATGGTGGGTACCCAACAGACCGGAAAAATTTTAAGCTCAACTTAATGATTTCAAAAGCTCAAAACTGCATTGTCATTATCAAATTGAAATAAAGTGAAGGAAAAGGAAAGAAAAATGAAGAGAAGGGAGAAGAGAATCGCACAGCATTTAAAATCATCATTAAGAAAAGGAAAATTTTAAGTTTTCACTCTTCTTTAACTTCAATTTTCTTCTCCTCTATACACCCCTTCGTATATTTAGACTAAGAACTGTGCAATGCGGTGCAATGAGACTCGTATTATGCATAAAAAAGGCATTAGCACGAAACATAATAAATTACATTGCATGGTGAAATTGTCTTTTATGTAAAGTATTTTCTGTTAATGCTCACCGGTGTATAGTTTGCCGGTTGAGCATAGCAAAGAGAGAAAATAATGAAAAGGATATTTTGCCTCAGGCAATTAACGATTATGCATTTGCACGTAAAAATCCAATTAGAGCATGAGGGAGCACCATGTGAAGGGGCTGCACAGAATAATTCTATTAAAATGTTTATTGTATGGCAAATTCAAATTCAAAAGGCTCAATTTTTAACTTTTCTTTTATATACTTTTCACTTGAATGAAGTTTTTTCGCAAGCGAGGCGAAAAATCGTGTCGATTGAATTCAAATGAGGCTCAACGATTGCCTCGGGAAGAAAAGCTTGTTAAGGAAAAATAAAGAGTTAAGCTTCTGAAGGGAAGAATAAAATACTAAATTGCATTTTATTTTTCAATTGCTTTCTTCTTCCTTTTTATTTTATTTCATTTTGAGATGTTGTGTATCGACGTTTAAGGTTTGGAAAGAATTCCACTTCGAATCTAACGAAACATGAAACTATACTTCAAAACCTTTTATCCCTTCACATACACTAACAATTCATATCAATCCATCATGTTTTGTTTAGTTTTAACAGCAGTTTTTTTTTCTTCTTTTGCAATTTCATTTCTCAACCGTCTTTTGCTTTTCTATGATGGAAAAATATATAAAAAACGACTGTTTTCATGCTCCATTCATCAATGATTGATGATGGTGCTCGACTACAGTCGATTGTCGAGCGAGAAGAAAATTTAATTTTGATTAAAGTGCATGATTATGTTGATAATTATAGTGGTGAAATCACAGCTCACAGCTCCAATGAGCAGTCGTGATGATGAAGGGAAAATCAATAAACTCAATTTCTGCTATCCAGTCTTTTCCATCGTGTTCGTTCTATTCGCTTGCGTGGCGTAACGAGCGAGTCGAGTGTAATAAAATTGAATTTCAAGGGATTTTCTCGCTCGCCCATCAATATAACTTTTTTTTTTTTTTGGTTGATACATGCAATTTCATTGAGGACGAGGACTATAGAAAGCTTCATCATCAGTGATGCTACACTACAAAGTAGAAGAGTTGTGAGTGCGAGTGCAAAAAGCCTTTGATTTATAGTTTTTATCATTTGGAAACCAGTTTTTCTTTTTTTTTCATCACGGTTTTTGAGCGATGTAAAAATGGGGAATTCCATTCAGTTTTATTCGTAGATATATTTAAACAAGGGGAGACCGAGCAAGTAGCTACTCAAAGTGGTGATAATTCTCAAATCTATGGCTTTTCATGCTTTACATTTTACCAATAAATTTAAAACGCACTCGAAACGGATAAGTAAAGTTTGTCATTTCTAACATTGAAATATTCACCCTGAAAATAAATCTGCGAAAGTTTCATTGTAAAGTTTCGTTCACCCACACTCATAATACATAGTTTTTCAATTAACTAAATAATAATCCTCTAACTGCAATAAAATTTTGATAAGGGTTTTAAAAGTTTAATGGAAATTCAATTTTTATAGAGTCTCTCTCGTATAATATTTAGTTAGGATTTCAACATTATCTACAGAAAATTATAGAAGGTTTCGCTACCAAAATGGATAGCGCAATTAACTCTCATGAATGTAGAAAAGTTTTAAGAACTTTATTGGTTGCAGAAACAGTGAAACCAGTTTTAAACTTTTGCTAATTTCCAGCAATATTTCTTCAAATATAGTGGAAATTTAATTGTCGGTTCATTATGACGAGTTTATAAGTACTTTAAAGTTTGAAAATGTGAATTAAACTTAATAAAAAGTTAGACTATGAACATACATTTTAAAATTCAATTGAAAACAATGTCAATCATCTCCATCTACTTTTCTGAAGATAATTAGTGAAACCAGCATAAATACATGTATGTAGATAAATTAAAATAAAACCGAAGAGTTCTCTTCAATCATTAAACCAACATGCAGACGAGTAAGAAATGCTTCTAACTTATAGTTATACAATCTAAAGTTGTGAGTCAGCAAAAAATATCAAACAGCAAAAGAAGTTGTCGAAAAGTATGATGTCAGGGAGCAGAGCAGCAATGAACATAGTTCATGAGTTAGTAAATGTGGAAAAGAATATCGATGGATAAGAATTTATAAGTATTATTCATATGAAATCGATATAAATTTAGTAAATGTCATTATAGACCATAAATTCTAAAAGAAAGAAATTCCCAATAGTTTCATTTTTTCGGATCACCAGACTGGGGTCTCCTTCTCGAGTATATTTTATTCCACATCGGCAATGACAATATTTTTTCTGTTCGATTTAGTTTCAACATAAATTATAACTTTTTCCTTTGCTGCTGTTTTCCCTATGGCTTCTCCTCCATCCCTCGAAGCTCGTTTCCAATAGTTCTCGTGAAGCAAAGTGAAATTTTATGAAGAAAATAAAAATGTTGCACCACCGGCTCGGTTATATTTTCATTTTTATTCTTTGTCGCACATATAGTTCTGTCATTTGCCGTAGTTTATATTTGATGTTGCTTGAGCATGTCGGTAGAAATTCTGGAGAAAGGCCCAGTTGCTTCTTATTACACCCATAATTTCATCTTTAATGTTTATCCCAAGCTCGATAAATAAATATAAAAAACCATGAACTTTCTTGCATTTCTACCATTCCTGCTCTTTGGCTTGCGTTTCAGTCTCTTGCACATACTAAATGTCGAGCTGAAAGCAAAACTATACAATGATTTAATTCATCCCAAAAGATTGCTGTTTTGCGATATTTACATTGCTGTTTCTATGAGATTTTCATTAATTAGATAGTTATAATTTCACCCTCTCTCTCTCTCTCTCTCCCTTATATTTTCAGTTCAATTCGCCAAAAAGTTGGATGATATAGCATAAGAGATGCAATTATCTTCCTTGAAAGGAAATTTAATTATAATAAATTATGGTGAAAAGAGTTTTTATCTCGAGTTTTGGCTGTACTTAAAATAAAATAAAATATAATAAAATAAACATATTTTTAAGTCATTTATATAGAAACGATGTAGCAAGTGGAAGTTTTGTCATATATACGCTTCATATCTCTTCTCTGACGATTAAGTGTTTTATGAAATTATTTATGTTGAAAGCTATTTAAAGCTCATCATCATTGCATGATTCAAAAGTTCCCCTTTTTTTGAGTAGAATGTTATTAGAGAATACTATAATGGAATCGCTTCCTGAGGCCACTGATTATGGTGATTGCTTTCTTTTATGATGCAATCAAATGATAAGAATGAATATTCATTCTTACGACGTAATATTCACACGCCCCCTGAAGTGAGGATATTAATGCACGAAGCAAATAAAAAATTAAATCTCGCAAAGCATCTCGTGAATATTTATGTACATTGTTCAGTGGTTTACCATTTAGAGAATTTATATGTTGTCTCTTCTTTGCAAGCAGGCGCGCGTATTATATTTCACTCAAACCACCTCAACACCCCCAACAACTTCCTTCACTCTCTCTCTTTAATTATAACCAAACAACCTGATATTTCCCCAGAAAGGCTTTATTTCACTATTCCTCAATGAGATTTTAATTCTCGAAGAAAATTTTAATTCAATTGTTATAATGATATTAAATAGTAAAAGAATCAAGGGAATCAAGCAGCGTAAACACTCAAAGGAACTTTTTCTCCCGCTTATAATTTTTGGTTCCATCTTTAGCAGTATAAATTGCTTTGACAACGCTTTGAAGAACGACACAAATCCATAATTTTCTCTCAAGTATATGACAATCAAGCCATGATGATGTGTAATGAAAGGAAATAAATCCTAGTGACTAAAGGATAAATTGATGATAGAGGTAAGAACATAACAACGTTGATGGAGATTGAAGGAGACGAGAAAGATATTGCTAGGGAATCAAATAAAGAAGATAATATATTAAATTCGTTGTCTTGTTTCTCTCTCTCTCTCTTTCTTTCACTCTTTTTTAAATCATTTGACATCTGCTAAGCCCCGTTATGGGAATTGCTTTAAATGTTCACATATCCTGTTCAATATTTCAATACGTTCAGGAATAAGTGAAAAGAATGTTTACTTTTCCTCTGATTGATAAGCATCTGAGACGATTTCAACATTACATATGACGATACTTGGTAACCCTTCATCTTCTTAGATAGAAAAATATCCGATAATTGAACAATTTTTACCCGTCGTCAAGTAAAGGAACGAAATAATGACGATGACAGAGTACTGAAAAAGATTTCAAATCGCTTCACGTTCACAGAAAGTTCAAAGAATATGTACGTCGATGCTTTGGAATTATCATCAACACATTTTCAAGAGATACAAGTCATTCGCCATAAACTTTAAACAGCTCACAAGCCAATGATGAAAAGAATTTCTAATCAAATAATTCCGACTTCAATCATAATTTTTTCACTTCTTCACCGCAATGTATGCTGATGTCGTTTTCTTGATCCCCCTATGGTTATGTCCTGCATATCTCTGATATCTTTTCTTTTTTCTAAGCACCCACCACAGCTTGATATTGCTCTTTTTCGCAGTAGATATCTCCCTAACCCTCTTCTTACAAGGCCAAGCATAACTCCCGAGATATTGTGTCGCATGGAAGAATTTCTTCCTCTTAGTTTTATGCCTTTTTCTCCTTTTCTTTTTTTTTTATTCTTTTTTTGTTCGTTTTGGATCACAACAATAGGAAAAGTGCACATAAAATTTAATCTTTTCTTGAGATAGCAGAAAAGCGAAGAAATAAATGAAAGAAAGTCGAAGGAAAGCTTAAACCGCCTAATATTACAAGTGTAATAATTTATAGAAAGAAAGCAGAAGCCTCGCCGTATAAATTTACTTCATATCATCTTTTGAACATCTCTTCGTCGACTGTGGCATAAAAATAAATTTCTCGCATGTTAAATTTGGGTTTCCACCCTCGCACACTTGGGACTGGCTTTCAAAAAATCAAAAAAAAAAAAAGGAGAGAAACATAAAAAGAAGGCGCAAAATATCAAACGATATCGCTTCTGTAGTTTATCAGCAGTTTCTTATTATTCTTTCAAATGAGCGCTACATATGCTTTCTTAAATATTTTTCCACTGTTCTCTCATACCGTATAAATGTTTGTGTTTGAGTTGGAAAACATAAAAACATAAAAGCAAGGAAAATTTTTATCGTTTTTAGATTCAACAATAACTATAACGAACACTCCAACGAGCAACATTGTAGTCATAGAAGAAGAGGGAGAAGAAAGGAGATGAAGTTTTCCATTTTTTTCTGCCCTGTCAACTTCCAAACTTTTCCCCGATAAAATGCAATTTTCAACTTTAAACTCTTTTCGCTGTTCGGAAAGATGCAAATTTCACTATACACAAAATGCAATTGCCATTATTCTGGGTGCAATAAAACAAGTTAAAATGGTTTGAAATTTCTATCTTCTACTTTACAAAACAGCCAGAAGCTAGAGGTTATAACACCACAGGGAACAAAGTAGAGAATAGAAAAGTTGATAAAGAAACCATGCATTGAACGCCAGCCATTCCATGATGAAAAATAAAAAACTAAAAACTAAAAAGACAAACATTTATAGATTCTTTTAGAGTGAATTTTTTTTTCTTGCTTTCAGCGACAATTCCGGCACACAATTAGTGTTTACGACTCCAAAGAATCTCTCGTTCCGACTCCTATCCAAGTGATATTTATGTATCAAGCGAACACCCTCCAATAATAGGACTTTTCTTCTCTTTCGTTAACATAAAATTTCGCTGCTATTCACACCATTTTTTATCCCATCTAATAACATCATCATCACATTGTCGTCGTTTTAAGCACAAAAATGGAGTAAAATAAAGAAAAACAAAAACAAACTTAAGCGGAACTGAAATGTATTGAAGGAAACAAGAAACCGAGATGATCCAAAGTCCCATTATCCTTTTTTTTCCTATTTCGTCTTCTTTATATGGTTGGCTGAAGCGCAACTAGAGACTAAAGAAGGAGGCAACCATGGTTCCCATTACTTTCATAATGTTTTCTATCTCCCGCCCGAAATGTATACAAACGACCCAAAAGCACTATTGTGTAACGGAAAAGAAACATTAAAAAAGTTGATAATTATTCAATTTTCCAAAATTAAACGATCTGACCCGTCATAAATATTCTTTCTCCACCCAACCCCGCAAGCTTTCGCTCATCGTTCGCAACACCGTCGTTCACGGTTCTCGTTCTCCCTCACTTATTTTCATTTCACAATGGAATTAAGAATTCTCCTGAATGAAAAAGCAAAGAATAGAAGGAAGAAAAATTGAGAGAAACATTTTTATTAAATTCTTCGTTCCGCACCCGATGTAGAGGAGACGAGGAAAAAGTAAATAAAAACAAAATTGCAATTTTTTTTTGAAGCTGTACAATTAGTAGCTCGAACAATAAATTTTACAACTCGAAGCATTAAACTTTTTAGTATCCTTCTGTTATACCCAATTATTTCGTAGCTAGAGCGAAATTGGAAAAAAAGAAGAGCTTTTCGGGAAGATCAATCAATGATGTTATTTTATGGCGAGATTTTCTCATCCCCTTTATTGTGTTAATAGTCGAAAGTCATAACAGTTCAAGTGAACCATTGTGAAAAACAAACATTGTGTTCTTACCAAAATGATTCTATTGCTATGTCATTTATAGGAAAGTTAAAAAAGATTTGAAACGAGGAAATGACTTTTTTTCGGGGGTTGAAAACGTTTAAAGACGATCAATGCTGTTATCATCGTCAGAAGTATTATCGACGTAATTGAAGGAAGGAAAATTGTACTGTAAATATCTCGGGTTCACAATTGTCTATTTTCTCTCTTTGTTTTTTTTGTTTTTCCTCTTATATGCTCGTAAAATTTTACAATCTTTTTAATGGAAATATTTTCCTTTTTAATTTTCATACATGTGATTAAGCACCAAACATTGAATTTCAATTTTATTCTCGAAAAGAATGTCGTTTTAGACTCAGATTGAGAAAGTATTGAAAAGGGGGGAGAGAGAGAGAGAAAGATGTAAAGATATATGCACATGTTATGTGTACAATGTACATAGTAAATGGGAAGACGACGAAGCAAAACGAGAATATCGTTTGAAATTAACATAATAGTCATGTATATGGACTTTATATTTCAATCCAATCGATTTGCAATAATGCTTTTGTTGAGAAAGCGAGAAACTTTGCTATTGAGTTTCAATCTCTCATCAGAAGCACCCTTCTCATCCACCCAAAACATTCAACCACTTTTCTTCAAACTCCACAAACTGCAAACCACAAGTTATTCGAAATATGTATGTACATATCGGAGTAGATATGTATGATATGTACATACATGAAATGAAAATTTTCGATATACCACCACGATGTCATAGATCAGTTCGAGCAAATGAGAAAAGCGACGATTCAAACGTGTGTTATTCGCTCGTTTGTCCTTATCTCAATCGAACAAATTAAAGACTTTAATTCTTTTCCCTACATTTCCTACTCCTACTTCTAAAATTTAACTTCTTTCGCCTTTTTCTTCTCATTCTCCGTCTCTGCTATTCTACTTTTCTGTTCTGTTCTGTTTGCTTTATTGGCACATTTGTGAATCTTCACTCCGCATAAAATTATTGTCTCCATTCGACTGCTGTTGCTGATACAAAATAATACAAAACAATAAAATCGAGATAATTTATTGAAATAATTAAATTTATATATTTACCAAACAACACACAGTAGCGTAGAAAGAAATAAAAAAAATAAGTGAGATAGAGGAAAAGAAGAAAACAAATTATTCATAAATGCAACAGCAAAATATCTGCTGCCATATACACATAACAATCATATCATAATGTAGATGCAATTCATTCGTATGAAAATGAATTATGAGTGCGAGGCTAGTCAACATTTTCTAAAAAATTATTTATTTATGAAGGAATGTCAGTGGCGCCACATGAACGCTTTTATTCTTCCGTCATCATGCTGTGCTCTAAGTATCGCTGATTTCCTGTGAAAAAGCTCCAGAAAACTTTCTCATATGCAAACATGTCCCATTTAAAGTAAATTTAGTGCATCATTTCAATTCCATTACAAATGACTTGGCATTTATTATTATCTCAGCTAATAACTCTCCAAGAATCAATGATAGCAACAAGAGAAACGTCTCATGTGTTGTTCAGCTTTTCTTTCTTGAAAAGAAAACGAGGAAAAGAAAACTTTAAATTATTTCTTCTCGTAACAAAAACTGAACACTTAAGTAAAAATCTTTCGAATCATTAAATATTTATGTGAATTTGTTTCAGCTCATTGATTTTTTATCAATGTTTCTTTCGGAATGTACGTGTTTTGCAATGCAATTTGATACAAAATTGGAAGGAAAAAGTCAAAAAGGAAAAGATTTATCTCGTAAAGTTTTCTGCGTTAAACTTTTTTTTCTTCCTTTCTTTTCAAATGATAGGGGAAATTTCGAAAAAAGAATATTTACTTACACTACTCGTACATACTAAATAACACGTGCAAGAGTGAATCGTTTCAAATTCATTTAACTGCTGTTGTTTTCATATCAATTCGAATCACGCAAATAATAAATGAAGAGATAAAACGAACACAATTGCAGCTGATATTCTAGGATTCACCTTAATTTATTACATAATACCTAATACGAATAGTTTTTAAGGTTTTTTTTTAATCTTTTTAAAATCTTTTATTCGGCGAACTAATCTTGAATCTAAAGAGGGGGATATTTATTTGTTTTTTCAATTTGTAACAGGTATTCAAATACCTCCAGTAGATAAGTGATACTTAAATTTATGACTGCAAAATTTAATGTATTTATGAAACCATAACGGCTTTATTTTATTCAAATTCTGATTGAAGCGAAATATTTAACCTTTAATGGGAAGCGGAATCAATTTTCATCTGCCAAGCTATGAAGTGTAATTTTGATGATTTTCATGAATCTCAAAAGTTGGGACTTGATTTAATTGCAATTTTATTTATAATTATCGTTTTTGTTGTATCATAAGTGAAGCATGATTGCAGAACCTACAGAATAATATGACAGAACTAAGTACTACAAGAATATCATGAATTTTTATTCATAGCTTAAATTTAGTCGAGGCTACAAAGTTGGATGAAAAGTGTCGTGAGGTTTTTCTTTTCAATGCGCCTTTAAATAAAATTTAAGAAAAATGCTATTTTAGCGTGTTGCAAACTTGTTTTATGTTAAAATTTGCTGTAATTATATTGTTTGCTTAGTTTTCCGATAACAAATAGCTCGAATTACAATTGCTATCTGTTAAAAGCTATAGATTAATCGAGTAAGTATTCCATTGATCAGTTTGTTTACATTTTTCAATCATTTACAAATTCATTATCTTCCGTATTGTGATTCGTATGTCATAATCTGACTAATGAATGATAATAAAGTAAATTAAAGTTCACAGTTTCATAATTCTGAAAGTTGTTCAAGCTTGACCTTGCAAAAAGTAATCCACGCATAAGGCAGAACCCTAAAGAACAATTGAATTGCAAAAGAAAAAAAAATGATAGCAAAAAAATCAATTTTCATTTAAAAATCGTTTGTTTGTAGTTCAGTAATTACCAAATCATGAGTGTTTCGTATATTTTTTCGAATGACATTTTTAAATAATGATCGAATAGGGGAATTTTTGTGCCGACTCAGGATTTAATGAAAGTATTGATCAACCAGTTAAACTGGAATATTTTTATGCGAATAAATTATTGACGTGCGAAATCTTCCATCAGGTTTGTTTGTTCTGAGAGATTTTTATTGCCACTTAAATTTTTTTATATCAGAAACTCGACAGAAATAGTTATACGTCTTTTAATTTTAATCTCACATGATCGATATCATAAATTAGTTAAAAAGTAAACAAACACATTGTAAAATGAAACTTGGAATTTTTGATTGAAACAGTGGAAAAATGAGAAATTCTAAACTTTTGTGATGTACACAAGACTTCTCTCAGTGTTTTATTTGTACACTTACATACACGTTTGTGAAGTCACAATCATCATCATCATGTCAACTGATAATGTTTCACAATAGGGAATGAAAATTTCTTCTGAGGTCTCAGTCGTGTATTGTTCTCGCACGAGGAAACGTTTCAATTATTCAAGAAGTTTAAAAAATAAAAAAAGAACACGAAAGGGGTTGTGACGTGCGTGGTGAATTTAATTTGCATGAACCATCATTCATTCAGCTCATTGGCTTCAATCACTTTAAATTAATTCAAAAAGAAAAAGAAGAAAAATCAAGAAAATTTCGAAAACATAATTTTGACCCTAATTTGGAAATTAAAAAATAATTAGAATCTTAATGCATTGATTACTAATTTAAATTAAAGTTACAAAGATGACATTAGGGGAGAAGCCTAAAAACGGTGAGTCAAACACTCTCGCCACGACGTCTTCTCAAAATGAATGACGGAGAAGCCACATTTGAGGATACAATGACCGACCAACTTATCATTATTTCTTCATTAAATAACGAAATGACATCAAAATTCTAGTTTTGCTACATACTCATTAAACTTAATCACCCAAATTGAAGTGCTTGTTTCTTTTCGTTTGACTAAAGTTTAAGTCAAAAGAATGATTTGTGAATTAAATATTTGCTTCGTTATTTATTGAATCTAGTTTTCGTCGCCGTTATCAATTATCAGACTAACGAAAAAAATACAAGTAATCGTGACGTCACGAGTCACTAATTTTATTTAAGTTGTCAAGGTCATCAATGAATGATGAAACCATAAATTAACAATCCCCTTTTCATTCTCTTATCATTGTTTGATAAACACTCAGTTTTGGTTACTTACGAGGTAATGGTTTGCGATGTCAATAGAAAGAAAGCAAAACCGTGGAGAATTATTTCTGTCTACCTTCAATTGCTCGCCAAATTTCAATTAAAAGCAACTTGTTTGTGTTTACAAAATAAAAATGGAATATTTTCTTTCGTCCATAGGATTGCACTTATCTGATGTGTCAACATTGAATCATGCTGCTTTTGACGACATAATTAATCAGAAAAAATTATTAACATCATCAAAAATCGCTTCAACAGCAAACACTAAAAGAATGAAAATGAATTGCTTTGATGTGCCAACGCGCCTTGTTCTCTATTTCTTGTCATGGAGTGGATTCTTGGTGTCGTTTATGATGCGCAATGACATCAATTTTGCACTTGTTGTGATGGTGAAGACGAAAAATTCTACGCAAACTTTACTTAATGGCAATTCATCTGAAAATCTCGCTGATCAACTTTCAACACCACATGTAAGTTTGAAGATGTTGATTTAGATTCGCGATGTTGAATGTTGTGAAATGTTTGAGTTTAAATTCTTAAAATCACTTTGATTTGATTTTCAAAAATCAATACTTGAATTTCTGAATATTTAATGAAATCACCCAACAACGTTTTTAAAGCATAAATTACTGATTTGTTTCTATTTCTTATTAAAGGACCCAACAGTGATGACAGGCGATGAGTTGGCTGAATTTGATTGGGATTCAACTGTGACGAGTATGATTCTGGGAAGTTTTTACTGGATGTATGTGTTAAGTCAGGTGGTTGGTGGTGTTGCAACGCAATATTTTGGGACCAAAGCAGTCTTCGGATGGTCACAATTAGCGACAGCAATCGGCTCTCTTTGCATTCCCTTTGCCGCTTCAACACATTGGCTGCTGTTGATTTTTGTGAGATCAATTCAAGGCTTTGCAAGTGGACTAACATGGCCAGCAATGTATGCGATTGTCGGTCCATGGATTCCTCCAGTTGAAAGAAGTCGCTTCATGTCAAGTTTTCAAGGTTTTTCCATTGGAATTGGACTCACATATCCACTTTGCGGCTTCATCATCGCACATTTCGGATGGCGGCCTGTGTTCTATACGACGGGAATAATTGGCGTTCTATGGTGCATCATGTGGTACTTTCTCGCTTTCAACACACCTTCAGAACACCCCAGAATATCTCCACAAGAGCTTGAATACATTGAAATGAATGTGTCAGCAGAGATAAAAGAACATCAAGGTATGAAAGTTCCATGGCGCGCAATATTTACAAGTCTTCCAGCATGGTCGATTGGCATCACAACTTTCGGTCGTATCTGGGTGCATTACACGTTCATTATGCAGGGACCAGCTTATATGAAGAATATCATGAACTTTGACATTCAATCGAACGGCGTGATGTCTGGTTTACCATTTTTATGCTCATATCTGTCATCCGTTGTCTTCTGTTATGTTGCTGATGTTCTCGTCAAACATAAAATTCTTAATCTCACGAATGTTCGTAAGTTGATGACAGCATCATCTCAAATCATTCCGGGACTTCTTGTCGTGTTGGTTGGATATTTGGGAAAGGAAATTGTTAGTGTTCTCATCATTTGGAGTATAGCTGTGACAATGATAACAGCAAGTTATGCTGGAGCAATGGCCAACATTGTTGATCTTGCACCGAATCTCGCGGGACCTGTCTTAGCATTTGCACAAACGATTCACATGTCCGCTTCATTCTTATCGCCGATGGTCAATGGAATTATATTAACTGATCAAAAAAATCTTATTCAATGGCAACATTGCTTCTTACTTTCGTCTGTTATCGCGATCGTTACTTACATCATGTTTCAAATTTATGGAACAGCAGATGTTCAGCCATGGAATTACCCAACATCATCTCGAAATGATGCCGAAAGAGAACAACTCGCAAATAATGAAATTGCAAATACAAATAAAAGAACTCATGACAATGACGATACTTAAATTAACTATTTAAGATGAAAGAAAAAATACAAAAATTGAATTTAAGTGACAAAGATTTTCTTCACTTCGATTGAAAAATTCCAATTGAATCTATTCCAAAATATTAATTATTATGTTTGTTTGTTTTTTTATACTTATTTACTATAAGCTTATTAAGTTTATTATGTTCGAACCAGATATTCAATAGAAATATTATTATCACTGATCTCTGTCTGTTAATTTCTGTTTCCCATTAAAAACTTTCGTTCTCTATCCGATTAAAAACACATCATAAGTGATTAGAATTGCACAACAAGCTCAATGTAGAAATGAAAATAGAATGTTACCAACGAGAAACAATTTTTCAAAAAAAAAGTCACGTTATAACGTGACAATGATTACTTATATATAGCTGCATACTTATTTTAATTGCGAAAGCAATTGTTGACAACATGAGAAGACTTTATCAAAAGAAAAATTATAAATGTAATAAAACAAAAATAGTGATTTGTTCCTGAAGATAATTCCTAATCGTAATTATAATAATTATAATAATATTAATTACTAGCTATCACAGCCATTGGCTAGAAATGATAATATCCTACCTTAGAATGTAATTTCTTTCAACTAAGTATCTCGTTAAGTGGCCTTTACTTAGGAAAACAAAGCAGAACATATATCTACTTAATTCAGTCAGATATCGAATCTACAGAAACATGTAAATTCTTATTTTTAGAGGAATTTAAAGATTTAAAGTTTCGGTTTCTATTTTTATTTGCATGAAAAAGTTTCAAAGCCAATCACGAAAATAAAAATTTCATTCAACTTATTTTAACGAGTTTTTAGAATTTAAATTTTTAAATGTTTTCGCTTCAATTAGGTTTGCTTCCGCGGCTTTGAATTGCTTTATTTTGTAAACATGGATGTAGAAGAGAATGATGAAGTTTCTAATCCACAAAATGTTCAATCGTCAAGTTCAGATGAAAGTCCTAAAAGTGAAGAAAATTCAGTTGCAAAACGAAAGCGCAGAAGGTGAATTTAATTTAATTGATGTTTGTGCTAATGTAATCAATGCGAAATGTTTTTATTTTAAAGGACAACACCAGTACCTATAAGCAATAAAGAAGATGAAGATGACGATGGAGCTACATGTACAATTTGCCTTGATAACTTTCAATCTTTCAATCATCGAATAGCATCATTGAAATGTGGACATATCTTTGGAGAATCTTGTATAAAACGATGGATTAAAGAATGTGCTCATCCAAAATGTTGTCCACAGTGCAAAACAAAAGCCAATGCTAGAGACANACGACGCTCTTCCGATCTTTTTATTTTAAAGGACAACACCAGTACCTATAAGCAATAAAGAAGATGAAGATGACGATGGAGCTACATGTACAATTTGCCTTGATAACTTTCAATCTGCTGGCATTCATCGAGTCATATCATTGAAGTGTGGGCATCTTTTTGGAGAATCTTGTATAAAACGATGGATTAAAGAATGTGCTCATCCAAAATGTTGTCCACAGTGCAAAACAAAAGCCAATGCTAGAGACATACGATTTATTTACGCTTCAAAAATTCGTGTGTTTGATAATTCACGCGAGCATGATCTCGAACTTCAAATACAAAATCTAAACGAAGAAAAGAAACGTTTGGCATCAGAAAACCAAATTAATAGTATTATGGTAATAACACAAAAAGCTGAAATCAAAAGGCTTAAAGATGAGATTGAAATGCTTAGAGATTGTGCTCGCGCGGAAAGTAGGCGAGCAACAGCTGGGATCAGAACAATCAAGAAAACTAGTAAATTTTTCTTAGAAAAGAACGTCGACTTTAAGGAAAACCTTGATAGTCGTTTGCTAAAATATTTGAGTCGACACAGAAAGTTGGTAGTTTCACAAAAAGCCTGTGAACGGTCAATGTTTCCTGGTTATGGCATTAAATTAGTTGATCTATCAACATATCGTCAAGAAAAATTCATCAACACAAGTAATAAAATCGTTAATGATTTTAGTTTTGATGTTAATGAAACTTGTGTGATAACATCATCAAAAGATGTGACATGTAAAATGTTTAACATGTCATCAAGTTCGACTGTTGCAGCTTTCACTCCTTCAGAGTCTCCAATATGGACAAGCGCGTTTGATTATGATCGTCATTTTACACTCTACCTCGGTGCACAAAATGGAACAACTTATATTTATGATATACGACAACCAGCGGCATTCATCAAAGAAATCACTCCAATTAATAAATCTCCCATCAAATACACAATTCCGATAAAGAAAAATGATAATTTTCCATATGGAGGATTTTTAGTCATCCATATGCGAGGAATTTATTTTTATGAATATTCGGCATCAGTTGAAGTTCTTTCAACGACACTCAACTTTCAATACCCCATTCTTGTTGCCAGTTATGATGACCGAACTGAAATGCTTCTCATAACGAGAATTGTCGCTGACCAAACAAGTGATTTCAAACAAACGCAGCACGTTCTGATGAATCTTGTGAGAGTTGAAGGAATTCCAGTTCTGCAAGAGATTTACAGCTTCAATGGAACAAATGCAAAACTTCCGGCGTTATCACGTCCAACACAAATTAAAGTTCCTGATGGTGTCATTATAGCGACTTATCTACAAGACACAAGAATGATTGAAACGTGGTCACCAACAACCGGCAAATTTCATGAAGCTTCGTGCTCTGACGCTATCACTGATATTTGTCCAATCTACAATGATAACATTCAATTTTTCGGAGCGCTTTCTTTGTCACGTTGTAGACTATTCAAACTCAGTTTAGATTATTGATTGATAATAAAGTTATAATTACTTTTCATACCATTCGTTTTATAATTCATTTGTGATCATGACAATCGTCTCGATAATATAATAAAATTGACAAAAGTCAAGTATTTTTAATGAAATGTAATGTTCGCCTTTTTTCTCTTTATACAACTTGTAGATTAATGAAAACAACCGAAACATTTTGTTCAAATATGCTGATGTTGAAACATGCAAAAACATGAAAATTCATTCATGAATAAACAGCTTTTGGTCGTTTACAAAATGCACTTGGTTTGGGAAGAGATTTTTGTTTACTTTTTGTAAACAATAAAATTAATCTGGCAGTCGATTATTCTTCAATTTAATTTCATACCAACTCTCAATTTAACACAATTAAAAACATCAATTTGATTTTTCTTTCATTCTCAATTTTATTTAATTAAATTTATTGTTTTTAAAAACTTTTTTCTTTCTATAATAAAATTATAAATT